GGGGGGGGGGGGGGGGGGGGGGTGGGTATAGGATAGATGTTGGTGATTGCCAATGAAACTCCTGTTGCCTCTGTGATATTGTCAGCATTTTCAAAGTATAGAGAGTAGAAGTGGGGGACCAGCGCCATCCTCAGATCCACAGTAGACCGATCCCAGGAATGATTTAGTGGACGAGGGGGCATACAAAGTCAAGATACACTCAGAATTCAATTCAGTCTACCAACCGCTAGAATTTAGAAGCTACTAAAGAGAAGTCAGCACAAAATCAACTAGGTAGCAATAATTGCTTGAAATCATTGGCAGACAAGGACAATCCGCAGCTCCTCTACAGCCTATATGGCCCTTGGCGTCAAGGCAGCGCCAAGAAAATAAACAAAATTATAACCATTAAAACATCACTACCTCGAGCTACCTCGGTATAGTATAGCAAGTTTGCGATTTCAACGGTTCGTTGACTCGCTACACTCAACTTACCACGCGTTCAGGATTCACCATAAAGGCAAGTTTTGGGGAAGGCCTACCTCTCACTGGCATTGCACTTGGACACACTGGAGATGGTGTGAAACTGGTTGTTTGATCAGTGGAGAATTTGGAAACAATTAGACATATGTGTATATGTATATATATAAGGATTAGCGAAGAGTCCGAAATGGGAAGTTTGATTGAGGGTGTGAAAGCAGAATGGGTGTTTAGTCTGAGTACGTGGATATTCAATCTGAAGGGTTGGTCATAGTGTCCTCGGAGAATCATGGAAAAGAGAGAATTCCTTGATAGTTACTACGAGAACCCCCGATTTGTGGAACGATGAGACGGAGAGATACCTTAATTTGGATGAGGTGGTGCTTTGAGGTTCACGATGCACGGGAAAGCCAAGAAGCGACTCACCGCCAACGCGCCACATGTTTTTTAAGAGTCTCCAGGGCTACCATCTGTCCACTTTTGCAGTGATTCCTGAAGAATTTACTGAATCGCACACAGTCCAAAAACAACAGCCAGAGACCTTTCAACATGAGTCTACAACCTCCGTCGCTCGCAATGAGGGCCAAAGGAGGAGCTGCTCCTTCCACCAAAGCTGTCATTTTGGTATTCCCAGCTCTCACCACCTCGAAAGCCATGATATCTTACAATTGCAGGTTGGAGGACCTTCCAGAGGCACCAGATTCAGGCCATTGTCCATGGAACTGCCCAAGGTTTGTCGCAACGTTTATTTTTCCCTCCGCGCCATTCATCCCACTAACGACCCACAGCCACTTTTCCCCGTTGCAGGTCATCCGATAATCGAGCACTGTTTCCGTGCCGTCTCCAAGGTGCCCGAGATCAAAGAAGTCTTCATCGTAGGCTATTATGAGGAATCCGTCTTCCAGCCCTTCATCAACTCCATCGCCAACGTCTTTCCTCAACTCAGCGTCAAGTACCTCCGAGAATACCAGGCATTGGGCACAGCAGGCGGTCTATACCACTTCAGAGATGTCATATTGAAGGGCCGGCCCGATAGGTTCTTCGTCCTCAACGCAGATGTGTGCTGTTCGTTCCCACTCAACGACATGCTTAAGCTATTCGAGGACAAGGACGCCGAGGCCGTGATGCTAGGGACGAGGGTTGCGAATGAGTCGGCCACGAACTTCGGTTGCATTGTGTCGGATGCGCATACCAAGCGAGTACTTCACTACGTCGAGAAACCAGAGTCTCAGATTTCAAACCTCATCAACTGCGGAGTCTACCTGTTCTCCACCGAGTGCATCTTCCCCGCGATTCGAAGCGCTATCAAACGCCGCACGGAGCGCCCACGACTACTGTCGTATCCATCTTCAGAAAATCTCGAGTCGTCTTTCTATCAAGGCGACGAGGATGACGAAGACCGGGAGAATGCTGTTATTCGCTTGGAGCAGGACGTCCTGTCTGATATTGCGGACAGTAGGCAATTCTTCGTGTTAGAGACCAAAGATTTCTGGCGCCAGATTAAGACCGCTGGCTCTGCGGTGCCAGCCAATGCTCTGTACCTCATGAAGGCCTTCCAATCCCAATCCGAAGAGCTTGCCACGCCATCTGCAAACATTATCCCACCAGTCTACATCCACCCCTCAGCACATGTAGACCCGACCGCAAAGCTTGGACCTAACGTCTCGATTGGCCCTCGCGTCCATGTCGGCGCTGGTGTCCGCATCAAAGAGTCGATTGTATTGGAAGACTGCGAAATCAAGCATGATGCGTGCGTCATGTACACAATCGTAGGCTGGCACAGCAAAATTGGCGCTTGGGCCCGAGTCGAGGGTACGCCTACACCAATCACTAGCCACACGACATCTATCGTCAAGAACGGCGTCAAAGTGCAGAGCATCACGATCCTTGGCAAGGAATGCGGTGTTGGAGACGAGGTCCGTGTGCAGAATTGCGTATGTCTGCCTTACAAGGAGCTGAAGAGGGTAAGTCATGTCTCATGTGATCGAGTATTGAATGTTTTACTGAGGACGCAAATAGGATGTTTCTAACGAGGTCATAATGTGAGTGGCTTTCTGGCTTCATGATACCACGGGCAGTGTTCTGCATGCTTGTCACATAGAAAGTTATGGGATGGTTTGGTAATGATTGGGCTCGCTGTACGGAGGTTATGCACAACATGAAAAGTGATCAGCATGACAACTGGATAGAGAATTCCACTAGCATTTGAGGATCTACTCAGCTCTTCCAAAAACAAGCTACTATGCTCTGAATGGTGTCGGCGCCTACATACATATCGAAATTCTATGCATGTTGACCGCATGCGAGCTGCGGAACTGCGAAGCGATTTATGTGACTTCATACATGTACCCGACGGTCTTCCATTGGGAACCTTATTTCTCTCCACACATCACGAGGTGCCTGGCGCCGTCTTTTGACAGCAGCCGCACGACAGCCTTATGATCCAATAGCCGCTGAATGCGGTAGTTGGAAGGCGCTATTGGCTAGACTGGTTAGGGTAAACGGACCCGAGGGGACCTTGACTTCACGATTGTCTTTCTCAGCTTCGTCCATCCCGCAAAGCAAGTATCTAACCATCTTGAACTTTCTATTCTCTGTAGGCGTCAAACAATGGAGATATATGCCAAGGCTACTCTCTAACGTGGTTCAAGCAAGTCGTTCCGCTCTATCTTTTTTTCTCAAGACAAGGCAAATGATCAGATCATCAACTGCGTTCGACTGAATCGTGTCTGTATCTCCTCCCTTTCTGTCCTCTTTGATTCGTTTAGTTTGTGATCACTAACTGGCTTCTATTGGTGTATGTTTATCCCTCGTTGCTTGCAATCCCGATTCAAGCTATTCACTCCTAAAGCCACATCCGAGAGGGAAATCCGGAGAAAATCTAGCAATAATAGGCACATCAACGGATATAAAAGGTCAGTATTGTTCTCTTCAATTTCTCTGGTTCCATCAAGCCTACCTGAGTATCAGGATTGGGATGCGTCATTCTTATGTCTGTATGCTCTTAGACTGCTCCATACATAACTCCTTGGACTATAACCCGCTCTTTGCACACCGCCTCTCTTGCCTCTGCCCTACCCGCAAACATGGCTGCCGTTGCGGAACTTAACATGGATTCTATCCCTTCATCAATCGGTATGACGGGCTGTCTTCCGCCATCTCCAGCCGCCACTCCCCCAATCGAATCCCTCCCCATCATCGACATTTCACCATACCTTGACCCGTCTTCTTCTCCTCGATCACGCCAGGAGACCGCCTCGGCTATCAACCGCGCCTGTATTGATTATGGCTTCTTCTACCTCACTGGCCATGATATTCCAACCTCCAAGCTTGACGAAGTCATCTCCCTTGCCCGGCAATTCTTCTTCTCCCCTTTGTCTGAGAAAAATAAGATTAAACGTTATGATGCCGGCGGCCCGGAGGGTGGCGACGGGGCGAGAGGATATCAGGGTATGGGTGAGAATATTACATTAGGGAGAAGGGACGTCCAGGAAGCTGTTGACCTATACCGAGAGTGGGATCATAGCCCGAAAGAGGAAGGAAACGGTGGAAAAGGCACATATAAGACCCTTCAAGGACCTAACCTCTGGCCCGCACAGCCCCCGGAACTGAAGGAAGTGTATCTCGACTACATCGATCAATTAATGAAAGTCGGGGAGGCCGTTGTTCGGGCAATGGGCACGGCTCTCGATCTCGGCGCACCCCAACCCAACGCCAACACGACTACCGAAGACGGAGACGTCTTCGTCCGCAACACTGATCATTCTTTCTGGGTTATGCGCATGATCGGATATCCTCCTCTCCAAGCTCCATACAACCCCGACTCCTCAGACGTCACTGAGTTCTCCTGCGGCGAACACACAGATTACGGCTGCGTTACTCTGCTCCTCGCCGACCCCACCCCGGGCGCTTTGCAAGTCCTGCTCAAAGACAACAAGACATGGCTAAACGCGGACCCCATCCCGGGCCACTTTGTCGTCAACATCGGCGACATGATCGAGCGCTGGACGAACGGGATCTGGAAATCCAACAAGCATCGCGTGATCCACCGAGGAGAGGGATACCGTGTTTCTGTACCTTTCTTCTATGAGCCGAATTTCGAGGCCATGGTGAAGCCGTTAGGGAAGTGTGTTGAGAGGAGCGGGGAGGCACCTGTGCATGAGGGGAATACTTATGGAGAGCATTTGCTGGGCAAGGTGTTTAATAATTTTTATAGTGAGGTTATTGGAGAATCTCTGGGTAAGAGTATGCTCTGACTGGTATGCAGAATGATCCATTGGCCAATGGGAAGGGGAAAGCGTGGTCTGCACGCCACATTGTGATATATGCGTGTTATGCCGGGCTTAGGGAAGTGGTTGGACGGCGGGCATTTGGTTATCTTCTTTTTAGCATTGGATGTGCCCTAGCTAAGGTGGCATTAAAAAAGTTTCTTCTGGAGAAGGTGTAGTGGGGCTTAAATGATCATTTTACGGGATGTAGTGCCAATACTGTAGCGAAATTTTAAATTCCCAATTTAATAATATGTATATATAGATGCCGTTGAATCGTTACTCTTACACTTCACACTAAACATGCGGCCAGCTAGCACATATTATCATACTTAATTATTCTTCTTGTGGTTTTACAGAACCGCAAAGACATGCTATTTACCTATCTCTCCTCCGTCATCAACTGAACCAAAGACTCCAACCCACCCTCATGCTGATCGACATCATACTCCTTCGGATACCTCTCCAAAATATCTCTCAACTCCTCCACATGGGCCCTCTGTTCCTCCGTCAACTTCTCATAAACCCCCTCAAAAGCGTGCCTAATTGCTGGTTTCTTTTCCTTCTCCGCCTTATCAAAGGCCCCCAATATCTCCTTTCTCAACTCGCTTCGCAATGCTCGTTCTTTGTCTTCATCCCACAGACTCCGACCTTCTAACCACTTGCGTAACCGGGCAATGGGGTTGTCGCGACGCTTCCAGTCCTCGACCTCGACTTTCTGGCGGTAGGCGAAGGAGTCATCGGATGTGCTGTGATGTCCGACACGGTATGCCATCATTTCGATTAATACTGGTTTACCGCCATCTTCTAGAGCTATTCGCCTGGCTTCTTTTGTTGCGCGGCGGACGGCGAAGATATCGTTGCCATCGACGCGGAGCGTGTCCATGCCATAGCCTGGGCCGCGACCGGCAATGCCATCGCCTCGGTATTGCTCGCTTGTGGGTGTGGAGATGGCATATCCGTTGTTCCTGCAGATAAAGATGGCTGGGACTTGGCGCGTTGCGGCGATGTTCAATGCAGCGTGGAAATCACCTTCACTTGCGGCGCCTTCGCCAAAGTAGCATACAGCTATCCGAGGCGAGACTTCAGGTTGCTGCTGGTTCTGAAGCTTTAGAGCGTAAGCTGCGCCTGCGGCATGGGGTATCTGGGTTGCAAGGGTGGAGGAGATGGTGTGGATATTGAGTTCACTGGAGCCATAGTGTACGGGCATGTTGCGGCCTAACCCGACATCCTTCGCGTTAGAGAAGAGCTGGTTCATGAACTGGTCTAGAGTGAAGCCTCGTTGCATGTATACGCCGGTTTCGCGGTACTGGCAAAATATGACATCGGAAGGGGACAGGACACTTGCGGAGCCGATGGCTATGCCTTCTTCGCCAGCAGAAACCTGTTGTACGCATCAGAATCATGTTGGGCTAGGAAGTGGATGATAAATACCATATAGAAGCTCAGTCGTCCCTGTCTCTGGGCCTCAAACATGAGGAGGTCCATAATGCTTACTACTCCATGTCAGCCTAGTTCCTAAGCATGCAAGGGTTCTCAAGACGACAGCATACAGCAAACCATATTCCGATATAATTTCAAGGCTTCTTCATCCTCTGTATCCACCCCAGTCTCCTTGTCCAGCACCTGTCCATACTGATCTAGCACGCGGTACGTTGGGATAGCTTCCTTTGCCGCTGGTCGGAGAAAGGCGAGCGTATTAGTGAACTGGCTATTCAAAGCACCAGGGAATAGGACTCTAAGACTTGGTCAGCGTCTATATAGCGTATACTTTGCTCTACAAAGCTCACCTCTCAGCAGTCGGGGTAGAAGCAACAGTTCGACAAGCCTGCCATGCAGGTGCCACTTGCGGGGGTTGCGCGCCATTGAGGCAGGCTGGAGAGCTCCAGGGCTTTCTATACCGGAGTCTGCGAGCTGAATAGCGAAAAGACATTGTGGTGAGGCTACATGGCCTCTTGTGTGCGGCGTCGAGACTTAAAACCTGGGGAAGCGGAAAGGGAGCTCGGAACGGCCAGCGTCGGCTCAGCCTAGAGCAGCAACGTCAGCTTAGTCAGGTATCTTAAAGCACGTGCCAACGTGAAGCACTACTAGATTTCAGAAGTTAATGGTCCGTATCTCGGCTATACTCCAGCAACAGTCATGAGTATTCAAGCTTCGAGATCGCTGCTGCGGCGCCAATTGCTCGGAGATGTGAAGAGGAGAGTGGCAAGGGAACCATACCGGTGCTTCTCTTGTACCTTTCCACATGCGCAGCAACACACACCACCTCCCAAAAGCCCGCGAGATGCACCTGGAACAACGCATTTCGGGTTCGAGACCGTTGCGGAAGCAATGAAAGAGCAGAAAGGTCAATACCCTCGTTACTGAGCATCTCTCGTTGGGAATGAAGGCTAATTGAACCAAGTCGGCGCCGTCTTCTCCTCCGTCGCCTCATCGTACGATACAATGAACGACCTTATGTCGCTCGGTATCCACCGTCTCTGGAAGGACCATTTCGTCCGCAACCTCAACCCTGGTCGCAACCCCCTCACAGCTCCCTCGCAATCCTCTTTGTCCTCCGAACAAGGCTGGCATATCCTAGATATCGCCGGCGGAACTGGAGATATCGCTTTCCGCATGCTGGACCACGCATCCACTATCAATAACGACGCGCACACCCGCGTCACAGTTGCAGACATAAATCCACACATGTTGGAAGAAGGAAAGAAGAGAGCCATTGCCACACCTTATGCACGGTCACCACGTCTGAAATTTGTCGAGGCAAATGCAGAAAAGCTTGATATGATTCCAGACTCAAGCATCGATCTCTATACCGTCGCCTTCGGTATCCGCAATTTCACGCACAAAGATGCTGCGATCCGGGAGGCATTTCGAGTTCTCAAACCCGGTGGCGTGTTCGCTTGTCTCGAGTTCTCGAAGGTCAACAACTCCATTTTCGATGCCGTGTATAAACGCTGGAGTTTTGGCGCTATACCATTGATTGGACAGGTAGTTGCGGGCGATCGGGATAGCTATCAATATCTTGTGGAGAGTATTGAAAAGTTCCCCAGCCAGACGGAGTTTAGGGACATGATTAAGGAAGCAGGCTTTTTGGTACCAGGACAGGGCTGGGAGGATTTGACGGGTGGCATTGCGGCGATACATAAGGGGGTGAAGCCAGTTTCCTGAGTTCTGGTAGGTGTATTATTATACTTTGTAGTTATATTGATGGGAGATGAAGAACCAGTCGTTAAAATTTTTTTTTATTTTTTTTTTTTACAGAAAACAGGTCCAAACATACTACTTACCAAAACCCAGCAACTAATCAAGATGATTTAATTCAACAGCTACATCGAGGCAGGAAATACAACAACTCAAGATGCCACCATCCAGTGAGGATCTGATAAAACCCTAACAGTTTTATACACATTGAGAGAGTGCACTCGCATCTCACAGAGCCATTTTGGAGAGTGCTGGTGGTCGCAGCTAAATGTGGCGTTCTTCAACTTCATATCACCTTGCGCCTTCTACCACTGCCACCCATCTCTCGCAACCAGCATTCCCTTATCCAACTCTCGGGACCGTTCCTACAATCCCAAACAAGTCACAGAATGAACGGTATGCATCTATTCCATCGGCAGCCCCGAAGCCATGGTTCTGAATCCTCGCAAACTGGCTTTCAAAGCTTGTGTTTCAGTGATCGGTGAGGGTTGGGCTCAGACTCCGGTTGTGCAGACATGCAATGTGACGGACGGTCTGTAAAATAATGAGGCGACCTCAAGCCAGAGACAACCCTGCAGGTTCTGGATTCGCGCCTTTCCTGCAACCACGCCCACCAATGCAATATCGAAAGCCACCCAGTCAGGCTTCCTTGTTGAGCTAGCAGGAAGTCTGACACGTGTGACAATCCAACTCACCCGACTGTTCAATTTCACGCGACCATGCATGGAATGGTATGGCATGGCGGCGAGGAACGAGTGGGTCTCATGTATTCTCCTGCCTTCCTTCCTTCCTTCCTTCCTTGCTTCCTTCGCAATGCGCAGGCTCTGAAAAAGCAATCCGTCCCAATGCTGCAAGGGAAAAACGTACGATACGCGATGCCGTGGCCCTGTCTCGATCGAGGCCAAGTTTCAAAAAACGAACGCCTCATTCTAACTCATTCGCATTTTCCCCGACCCAATGGCCGGTTCCCGAATTACAGTCCGATTGTGCCGTACCAGAATAATTATTTTTTTCATAAACAAGATGCGATGCACTGCACTGTTAGCGAAAACTGTAGACGTGTATTGAATGGAAGGATTGGAGTTGGGTATGGAGATAAAAATGAAGATAATGATATGGGTATTCTTCAAGCATTCGAATTCGACTGCGTAGAACCACAACCAACAAAATAAGTAGTGTAGTCAAGTATTCTTGTTTCCAACTCTTCTTGCCAATGAATCCGTCTGTTTGCTATTTGTGTGCCAGCTCTTTCCGCCAGACGGAGATATGAAGGTAATCCACGCTATATTGGCCACCCTCTTCTAATATTCTTTCACCGACCACAGTCTGCACAGCTGAGCTGCGCATCGTACGATGCACCCTCATCTGTTTCACTCCATCCAATCATTCCATACAAAATCTTCATCTTTCCGACACTGCCGTACAGTTATTCAAAATGTACGCCTGTTTAATATGCACCAATCTGCGCCTCCTTTGTCGAAATAATTCGCCAACAACGCCAACTCGCAATACCATGGTAAGATCAATGGTATAGAGGTATATGCAAATATGTTTTATGCAAAAACAGCAAAAGACCAAAACTGGTCCAATAGAGCGAGGTGTGGTGTGCGCCGACCGGGGACGCCAAAAACTCCGCGCAGGTATATTGGGGTTCGAAAGGATCATCTGAAGGGAAATCGTCATGGCGTGGGGATGTTGAGTTGTCGTTTGAAGGCGATAATCATCATCATCCCCATCGCCTTCATGTGTTGCTGATGATGACTCTGGCACCCTCCTTTCCTAGTACGCCCCGCTCTTTCGCTTTCGGGCTCCTGTCCCGACCCTTCTTGCGGCTGAGGAAGCCGAGCATGCCGGTGGGTTTCTCTGCGTTTTGGTTCTGCACGAGCATAGAGCTTTGATTAGCCATATCGGACCACGAGCCGGTCTCGTTGAGTACTACCTGTACACCGCCGCCCATGCTGGTACTGCGCGTCGATCCTCGCTGGCGGTTGTTCATTGGGCGAGAGAACGAGGGAGGTCCTGTCTCAGGGCCGTTGGCGGGAAAATAATCAGCACGCTCGCCCCGTTGCGACGACGGTGAACCAGACGATTGATTCAATGCCGCAGCGGCGAGGGGAGGGCTTCCGTTCGCTGAATGAGTTGTTGATCGAGGGTTAGTTATCGAGCGCGTGGGTCGAAGCTGATCGTCCTGCGAATTCTTCGAATTCGACAATGGCCGAGCACCCCATTCTTGGGGAGAGTGGGACGACGTGGGGGTGTTTGCGCTGTTGTTGCTCATGTGGGTTACGGTTGAATCGTCCGAAACGGCAATGGCGGCCGGGCGTTGTTCGGCTACTGTTGTGTAATTGAAGGGCTCAAACAGAGTCTCGATCATCTTGTGCAACTCTTCTGCGCGGATCTCCTGCTCCGTGGCATCATCTTTAAGCGCCTCACGGGGCTTCTGTCTTCTTGCCCGCGCTTCAAGCGGTGCCTCCTCCAACAGCAGCTCTTCTAAATCATATGTAGCGTCAAAGTTGGTCTTGTCGCTCGATGGCTTGAAGATGGGCTCAATCTCCTTCGCTTCCAATGCCCCGAAGTCGATTGGGCGGAAAAAGGGGTTGTCTGCAAAAGTCTCGAATCCAATCGCACCAATGCGTTTCTTTCTGTCCTTCTCCAAGAGCGAGCTAATGGCATGTAAGCAGGGCATCGACACTGGTGGGTTCGTCACGGGAAAAGTGGGCTCTCCCTTAGATATCTTTTGGGAGAGCGAGTCGTGGTTGCTCGCTTCGAATGGTCGCTAGACGACAATCACTTGTTAGTTGACAAGGCAAATCATGCAATACTCTACGCACCTTGTTGTATATGCACTCGTAGAAGAGCACACCTAGCGACCACCAGTCGACCTCACAAGAGTACCCTTTGCCTTCGTAGACTTCGGGAGCTAGGTATGCCAGCGTTCCGGACTTGCTTGTCAGAGGCTTGTGTGGGATGAAGTCCGACGCCACGTTCTGGGAGTAGATTAGCCACAAGTTCAGTGATAAACGATGCAGGACCCACGAAGTCAGCTAGGTGGACATGGCCATCAGAGTCCAGCAGCACATTGTCTGGCTTGATGTCTCGATGCACGATACCCTGCTGATGGATGTACCGGACAGCGCAACCCAACTCTGCTATCCAAAACTGCACCGCGTCTTCCGTGAACGTCTTTCTGGAGATGTGGAATCGAAGGTCACCACCGTTCATTAGATCCACTACTATATACCTGCGCTATATCAGCCCCACAATGCAGCAGCGTCGCTTCCGACGAGTCAACGTACAGGTATTCAATATCCTGGAAGCTGTACCGCAAATTGCAGAGGAACGGGTGGTTAAGGTGTTCGAGCATCCGTCGTTCACGTATGATATTTCGAACGCTCTCCGACCGTACGACTATTACACTACGTCAGCATCGCGTCCACACGGTAGCCCAAGGCAAATGTGTGCTGCCGGTATGGTGTTCGGCGGGACATGTTTCGACCGACCTTCATCCTTGCGAATGTACTTCAGGGCGAAGGTGAGCCCGGTGTCCTTCCGCTCGACGATGCGGACTTTCCCAAAGGCGCCTTTTCCAACGACGCGGAGAAGCCGAAAGTGATTGAGGTTCACTGAGAGACAAAATAAATCAGCGGGGATTCTCAACAAGTGGTGCCGACATGTCAGGTGCAAAGAAAAGCGGTAATGGGCATGGCGGAGACCCCGAGGCAGCATACCTTGGTCGGTGAAAACGACAGGCTTCCCGTTGTTCTGACCCATTGCGAAATGTCAATGGCAGGCCTACGCCGAATGCATCAGAGGGTGGAGTGGTGGAGGGAGAGGTTAGGGGCTGCTCTGGCGGCCGGGCGATGGCAATGGGGATGCGGGGGACAAAGGTTCACCAGAAAGGGCCGTGGTGATGGGGGGGCTAAGCGGGTTGAGGCGGCAACACACTGGTTATATTATTATTCCAGCGGCGACGGGTAGGGCTGGTGTGGTGTCGCTGCACGGAGAGCCTTGAAAGGAGAGAGGTAGGAGGAGAGGGCGACAGCCGTCAAGTGGTCGGGGCGTGGTAGGGTGTTTAGGAGCGGGCAGCCAGCCAGCGGGCACAATTGCACGATAGGCGCACGAGTCTCAGTGGTGCAAAGGCGCCGGCAAGGACAGCAGGGATGGCCACGTTTTCAGGATGGGAGCACCAAGTTACAAGGGCTGAGTGTCCAGGCTGCCTGCAAACCACGGGCAACACTGAGCATGGGTAAGGGGGGCCATGGGCGATGGGAAGCACGGCGCTAGGCTGCTTGTGCTCTTGTCCTGACTCCCCTGACTCTTGCCCGCCACCTGTGCGGCCAGTCGGCGAGCAAGCGCTCTGGCGGCAGTTGACTGCTGATGGTGGCCGGCGATCCATGGACAGGCTGCTTTCACTACTCCCCGGAGCTGACTTTGCGTGACTGTGAGAGGGCCGACACGTGGAATTCGTCCACCGAGACGGGCACAGTCAGCACACAGGATACAGCCCGTAACTCTTTTTATCCCAGGGTACATGGACATGGAGCATCCGGATAGATCGCCGCCTTGCTGCACAGCGCCGACCTGCTGCGAGCCAGGACATAGGCATTCCATCCCTACCGTCACGAGCAAAAGCTCGTCTCGCTCCCGTCTGATCTTCACCACTCGAAACACCTCGTCCGACCAGGGCCAGAGAGGACAGACCCCAGTGCGGTCCTTCCTCGCCGCACACCCAGAGCTCCAATATTCCGCCCTTTGCTCCACCTGGCATGCCTCGATACGGTATCTTCGACATATTCTTAGTTCACCCGCAACTCTATCAAACTAGTTTGCTGTAGGCCTCTCGGATGCTTCATTCTGGCTGCATGCCATGAGCGAAGAAACGCCTCCACGTGTCGAGCTGGCGGCTCGAACAGCTCGCGGGATTCGCCAGGGATGTTGATTCGGCCATCATCGTTTACCTCCCAAGCCCGACCCTGGTCCCTCAGGCCGAGGCCTCAAGCTCTTCTAGAACAGCGCCAGAAGGTTACTGTCGCGGCTTACCCTAGGCCGAAAAGCACCAACAGTTCAAACTTTGTCCAGTGCCCACCGCTCCGCGGCGCTGGCTGCTCGGAATAATTCCACTTTCCGCCTCGGGAAGAGTCAAGGGAAAGAGCAGCACATCTGTCGTTCTCGATATCAATCCGCCAGATTGAAACCTCTGCCTCAAATGATACCCTCACGCTGAGCATGAACGAGCATACGTCAACATTCGCATGCGCGTCCCTGGAGATGACAGATACCAAAACAATATCTCCGCCATTCTCCCTGAAACGAGATACACATTCAGGCTCATTTCGACCAGATTTGATGTTACCCATGATCGTGGGAGGTCCCGCTGGAAGGGAAAAGCCTTGAACTTAGATACACGAGACGAGGCACGTTTGCTGCAAACACAATCCACTCACGTCGGACTTTCTTGGCACCGTTTAACAATCGCTGCATCACCACTGCGTGCCACCTCATCGTTAGCCAAGACCCAGAGGTCGGGCACAGAATATCTCGTAGGATGGCCGTTGTTCCAATATGATCCGGTGCCCGAGCGTACTGCCAATGGAACTTCTGAACGACGGCATGGATCAGGCCTTGCAGGTCTCATTTGCACATTTCTTTTGCTTCCCATTTTGAGTTTCTCCGTTCACGTAATTGATTTGCAGCTGTTACGCAGAACAAAACTTTGAAGTTCGGTTCCGCGACAGCAAATAATGTCGCGGCGGCCTCTGAAGGAACTCATGAAGAGCTTTCTTCAGTGGTGGCTTTCCACAACCTTGGTACCCCCCGAACTGAAACCTTCCTTCAGCCTCTCGCTCAACAGTCTTACGACACCTTCAACATCGGCAAAGGTTCGGCAAAAAATAAATAAGATAAAGAAGAGTGGTTAAGGAGAGGGACGAGGAAAAAGAAATTCCAGGCCAGCTCAAACTTCAGATCCTAGAGCGCCACATCACGCTCCCACGGCCCCTCAACAGGCATTCGAAGAAACACTTGCGTCTGACCTACTCATCACGTACATATATCACACACAACGGCGGCATCCTTCCCCAGACATTGCGCCATTCCTTCGGTGCTGTGCCTCGTGACGAGCTCTCATCCTCTCTGTTGACGGCTGTCGCCGCTGTGATTGTAATTCCTTATCTTTTACATTCATGGTTCCCCGCACGTTTAAGCGTATCCATTATTCGGGTTCGCTTCAAGATTGAGTTGCGCTACCCAATCTATCATTTATCCATGGCGTCGCCACGTCCTGATATACCAAACTCGCTCAGTTAGCTGACAAGACAGAGAAATTGTGATGTTCAACATTGTACAGTCCCAGGACGTCTCGACAAGCTTCATAGCCGAACCTATCGTGGCTGCTGCCTCACAAAGTCCCAGGAAGTTGATGCGGTGAAGCCATCCCTAAGCCCCTTCCAATTGCGGTGTGACATTTACCACACCTACCCCTACAGCTGGCTCATCTCTTTACCAATGACACCAACCCCCTAAAGAAAGTTCATGAGTCGTGGTCTTTTTTCTCCAGGAATTCCTGCGATTGGTGTTCCCCGCGCATGCATGTGCCTGGGTGTCACGATCACATCGTGTGTCGATCAGTCCCTTTTTGGAGACACCTCCGCGTATCCAGACCCCTTGTCCGTGATTTCAATTCTTACCCTTCTCGTAATACGGATATTTGTCTCCATATAGTATTACCACGGTTTTAAACGGTTTTATCACTCTCCAGGAACTCGCCACCGCTGAAACCTGTCCATTCACATTCTGTGCCCAAAAGAGAGAGGAATCTCCACATCCTCACTCCACAAAATCTCCTTGATAGCCCACAACACCTTCCGAGATCCTGCTGAATCTTAGAAGAATCCACTTTTCAAAACCCCTCTCCACAAAACACTTGTTCAATTGCACAATCCTTGCTTCACTTTTGCCCCGGATCTTCTCGCCTATTACTCACTAATCCTGACTGGTCGACTCTCCAATCTCATCGCCAAAATGTACACCCTGCAACGGAATTCGGGAGTTGAGCAATATGTTCGGTGCGCTTCGAAAGCCTCGCCTACGCTGAATTTCGCGATGAAAGGTGATTTTCGGCGTGAACAAGAGCCTCAGTTGTGCAGCACAGAAACCCCAAAATAGCGTTCGCTTCGGGGGAGCTTGCTCTGCATCCGCTGTGTTCCCAAATCACCAACGACCAACCATCAAATTGCCAGAAAGATCCAACCGCGTCAGTGGTCAGAGCGGCGTACGGCAAGGCTGGGAGGCGGTAACACCGACCGGCGGGAAAGTTCTGTTAGTTGGGAATGCCCAAGGATCTTAAGCTCGTGAAATCGGTGCACGAGTTGTGACAGCGTGCTAATATTAGATTTGTCGCATTGGATACATGATACAACACGCCAGTCTATGTCAGATTACAGAGACCTCGCAGCATTTGCTGTTGGTATTGTGTTGGTGCACCGAATCCGGGTTATGCGAGCATGACTGGAGTACGAGGCTGGAAATTTGGCGACAACGTGGATCAATGTTGAGCTTCTTCCGTGCATTCATGCTGTCGGAGTCTGCGAGGCTGGGCATGGAGGGCGAGGAAATATGTTACCTATCGGATTTCAACCCAACATCTTGAACGATGGAAGCGAGGTTAGGATTGTCGGTGGCTTGCTGCGTGCCCCTGCCCCGGAACTTTGAACTCAGCGCTCAGGATGAAGGATTACACTACGGATACGCCACAGGCAGGATTTTATATGGTAGCCAGCTTGACTTTCTAGCAGGTGTCACGATATCTCTACTTGACCCCCAAGTTGCGGAGTCCGACTTCTCGAACCACAGGAGCATTATTGGCAAACCTCAACCGAAAGTCCAGCCAGTTCTTCAGTTCTGAATTCCTATCCAGGGCTCCAATTATCGAGATCCCACTCTCCGACAACGCAACACCAACCTCACAGGACCCGCAAGATGCTTACTCCCCAGAAACCCGACCGCATGCGGCGTAAGAACCTAACCCTCCTTCCCTTGGCCTCCTATCTGCAACCTACTGTCGTCCCACCCACATTCTTCGTGTTCTCCTTGCGCACAACCACGACAGCAGTAGGTAGAAATTGATGAAAATTGCTTATTGTACTACTTTCCTCATCCACCATTTAACTAACACTAAGCTCCCACACCTCCCCCCGGCCGAGCCTTCCCGAACGTGCAGTGAACGCAGAGTCAAACTTCGGCCGAACCCTTCCGAACATGCAGGACAGTCTACAATCTATGCTTTGTGCTCATTGCTTCACGTGGATGTTGATTGTTCATGCAGCTGTGAGGTTATGTGCAGGAAAAATTTGCTCAATTAAACGCGGACCTGCACGTGGCTTGCATTTCGCCTGACTCCCAAGGAGGTTAGGCGAAACGCTTTTGGTTATTGTTGGCGTGTGTATATACATTATACGCGTGTTACATATATTGTGTTTCCCTTTCAAAGTGTTCTTTCAGAGAAATCCGCGAAATTTATCTCCTCTTCTTCTTTCCCAACATTTTTTGCATAGACACCCGTGGGTGAGGGTACTTAGATGAAGGCCACCTCCCACATAATTAGACAGCTATGTATGCACGACCGTATTTCCGTTAAGCGCCACTCCGTTCTCAAAACGCGCTGCCTAACACGACACGGCGAAGTTGAAGTCCACTCCTTTCCAAAAGCGTCACCACCTGCAGTATACTTCTCCGTTCATTCACCTCCTCGCAGATCTATTCATTCATTACTGCAGTGGTATTTCCACCACCCCCAAAGTTCCGAGACATCTCAGCCATTCCTTGGAGATGCATGACTGCTTCTTTTCCCTATAGCATAAATCCTCCAGCATATTTCCTATGTTTCCTTTCCCTCGGGGCCCTGCGCCACCTTTGCAGTGCCGCAAATCAGGCGTACCTCTTTATCGGAATCTTAATGGGGTGTGGAGGTTCTTCCCTTGTCCTCTGCAGGCGCTTTTCTTCCCCGGACGAGATTAAGCCGTCATATCAACGCCATCGAGTCACAGTGGACGAAATCTGAAACCATCAAGCCGACTGAGTTGTGAAAGTCGCGCCATAGATACACAGTTGCATAGCACAATCCCGGCTTTTCTAGACAGCTCATCATGCATACTTTCGCTTCGTTCGCTAACCCAGATTCTCAGAAGTATCGCTAACGGCCCCGCGACACAATTCCGCTAGAATCGATCTCCACCTATAGATCTATGTTGCTGTGGGCATTCTAGACCGGACTTCTGGGGAGTGGCGGAGATTTGTTGACGGACAACACGGAACTAGAGGACCAAAACTAGACCCTAAGGTGAGGAGAATGTGCTGAGGGGGCGAGAAAAAGTGGAGTGAAGTAGAGTTAGACCTAAGTTTATCGGGCTAGTTAGCATGAGGGAGGTCATGGACTTGTACGCATTACGGGAATAGGAGGAGAGCACCGTTTTAGAGATTGATTACCCAAGTCGTCGAATTTGGCTCGTGTCAATTCTGTTCCCCATGTGTTGCATATAGATTTTCCTTCTCAAACGGCCAATCAAGCTAGCAAAAAAGCTCAGCACAAGAGCTATGATTTTTTGGTGACTAACTTGGAGATAGTTCATACTTGCCAATGTAAAATGCCGTTCTTGTTGATCAGTCACTACTTCGTTGTATGAACCTCTTTGCTCAACTCGAAGCATCGGCACTTAACTGCCTATATCGGGGGGACAGCTCCCAATTCAAGGAATTCAAGACCTATGTATCAGATATTTTGTATTCTATTCGCTGCTACTTTCCACCAACTCACCCCTCTTCTCCCTTCACCAAATCCTCTTAGCAACCATAGCATACCGACTAACATGTCCAAACGCCGTCCCCTGCTCCTTTTCCCTCTGTTCCTTACCCCTCTGTCTCTCATCCCTCTCTCTCAAACCCCTTAACCCCTCCGCATCATCATTATAAATCCATCTCCTCTTCTCCTCATCCACATCCACTACACCCCACCCCCCAATCCTCTTCCCGCCCGTCTCCACATTCATCCTCTCCCGTTCCTTCATCCCGTGATATCTATTCCGTGCAAGTGTGAGCAAAATCATCCCGAGAACGAGTTTAATCGCTAAGAAACAGAGATACGCGACTAGGAAAACGATAGCCATGGTCGCGAACGCGATCGTGTCGTCGAGATCCCATCTCCAGAATGTCCACCAGGATGACGCGTCACCGTTTCCGCCGGCGCCGAAGGCGGAGCGGCCGAGGGCGCGACGGAAGATTTGGTCGATGTGTTGGAGGGCAGCGGTTGTGGCGGGGGAAGAGGTGGTCGCAGACTCGGTCGTAAGGGAGGTGGCGGTTGAGGGGAAGGGGAGCGGCATGTGGGTTGCGATGAACATGTGGTAGGTTTGGATGGCGGAGCGGAAGAAGAGACATGCGAGTGGAAGGACAGGCAGGCCAAGACGGCGAGTTAAGTTGGGGTCTGTGAAGGCCTATTCTTGCGTTAGTGCTTAACATTCTTGAATTGTACCTTCCAAGCTGGAAGAGGTGGGTGATGTCTTACATTCGAGTAATAATCCTTCGCAAGTACATCTAAGAACTTGTCATAGACTTCCGGTTTCGTTTGGTTAAACTTGGTAATGTAGGCATGTTTTAACCAATCCACTAACATCTCGCTGCCCAGCACCAACAAAAAAGGATTCAGAACTTGCCCAATCCATTTTGGAAACACAGTGAAACTGAGCGGGACAATACTTGGTGTTGCGAACGAAGCAGTACTAGAGTTCCCGCCTCCGAAAGCACCCCCCCATGAGGACGAAGAGGATTCGCTGCTGCGAATGCTGAGACCACCGACTTCGACGATGTTCCGCATAGCGATGATGAGGAGCATCAACCAAAGTTGGAAACGCTCAACAATGTCGGCACAAGTGAGTTGGAAAAGATTCTCTTTTTCGAATTTCTTGAACACGGTGCCTTTGATCTCAACAAACTGGTTGGACATGAGGAGAGTCAGAAGTGCGTTGGAGTAGGAATTTACAGCAACGTTGAGTGTGATTACTTGGTAGAAGAGTGCCGTGGCATGGATTACGTTGTAGACGAGAGCAAGGATGAACATCCAAAAGGGACGGATAACTTTGCTGCGACCGTCTGGATTACGGTCGAGGGTTTCACGGGAGAATAGGCATTCAAGGACGTCTTGGCCCAGGGCGGAGAAAAGGCGATCGCAAACCTGATTCAAATTAGCACAAAGAATCTAAACGAGCTTGAAGTAACTTACCTCGAGGACGTTGTAGATAACATATAGCTTGATAGCCGATTGGCCACGAATACCGTGATACATTCTACTCGCATCAAAGCGCATGAGAATTGCACAACTCGAAATGACCAAGAGCCCCTTTAAGATATCTGCCTTATGGCTCGGAAGGAGAGCCGAGGGTGTCGACTTCGTTCTCCGATGTCTATACCTGGAACTTCGGAGACGCTTCCCCTTCGATTCTAGCATAGAACCATTTAACGTCACATTTCCATTCTCTCTCAAGGTCGTTGCAGGTTTTGGCGACACAGCAGTAGAAGTGGCAGTAGAAACAGACGGCCTCCGCGATCTTGTTGTAGCTTCCTCTTCAACTGGCTGATTCAGCACCGGCGAAGGCTTCTCCGCGTTCTTCCATCTTCTCCGCCATAACCTGCCGAGTCCCCTATACACAAAGCTCGCAATATCGCGGAATTCCTTAACGATCACGGAGCCCCACCATCTCACCAGGATCCCAAGAGCGAGGAAAAAGCGTAACGGTAGGATGGTGAGGACGTGCATCCAAGCGTCGAAGCAAGCGAGGGCTCCAAAGCCGAGGATTGCTTCCAGCTTCGGAGGAAGGAAGAGAAAGTTTACTAGGCGTTCGTATTTGATTTTCGATGATTCGTAGGGGAAGTCGGTGGTGGAGGGTCGGTAGATGAATAGTGGCGAGGGTCTGTCCGCAGAGAGTTCGAGGGAGAGGAAGGTAGGGATTGAGAGAGGTGGGATTGGCATTGAAGCTGGCATCGGTGATGGGGTATCGCGTTCCCTGTCCTGCGTCACAGGAGGCTTCAGATTTGATCCACTCGTAGGATCTTTATGGTCGAGGTTCAACGGTGGAGGTATTGGTCTCGTGGACCTCTTCTCTCCCTCGCCCTCATAAGCATGCCCCTGGGCCCTCTGACTTGATTGTTTCCTCCGTATTACTGGCGGTGTAGACAGCGCTCTCGAGCTCAATCCGGGACGGCCATATTTCCACTCGCCAGAGGGGCTCTTGATAGCCGCAATCTCCCTCTCCTGCTTCACTCCCAGGTTCTTCGTCATGCCCTTTGCCCTCTCCCCATGCAATACGCCGGCCTTATTCAACTCAATTGGTTCTCCCAACAACCCCATCGCCCAATCCTCTTTCCGCTCCCCCTCCAACACATCCTCAAGGATTGGTGTCGCCGTTCGAACCGGGATACTCGCAGGCTCACCCGTCAACTCAAGTATCTGCTTCGGACTAAGCTTCAGTAGTTTCTCCTGCTCGCTTACACTGCTCTTCCTTCTCCCATCGCCCGGTCTTGTGATTTGCGGATGTCGGGCCCTCTCGCTCGCGCTCGTATCCGACAACACCGCCTCGTCATTGATGCTCTGTCGCCTACTACTCGAGCTCGCGCTAAGACTCCTACTGCAATCAAATCCCCCTTCTATGTCCCTGTCGTTCTCTACCATTCCCACCCGTTTGGCATCGTTTGAATCGCGGCGACGACGTGGTACAGCCACATTTCCATGTATCGGAGAAATCGCGGGCGTAGGAAGCTGCTCGATCTTAGATACGCCGGGTTCGCCGCTCACAATCATATCATCTAGTCCCTTCATATTTGCGCGTAGAGCGAGAAGGTGTTGCGGCAAGCATGGCGGTGGAATGGTTTCGTTGTGCTTTCTTTCCCAGGCAGGAAGCTTTGGCCTTTCGAGAAGCTTGGCGTGTCGGAGCACTGGGAGCTAAAGTCCGAGGTATGTTATCGATAGAGTGTTGGGTCTCATCACCCCCAGAATTTTCCTGAAGGTATGCCGGCTCAATGAATGGGCGGGTGAAGTCGTCGGTAATCTACGTAGAATTCACACATCGATTGCTTGAAGAAAATCTTTGAGATCTGATAATGAACCAAACGTAGTCCTTCCAACTTCTCGATCATCAGCTGAGCTCAAGCCTAAACCACTCACAAACAATAAGACTACTTCATTCACTTACGGAGCGAGGAAGATTTCTCTTAAGCATACATAAGACTGGTTCAAATCACAGCAACAGTCAGCTCAAAATAATGAACAAGAACTATTAATTTGAACTTAATAGTTCCATATGTCTACTCCTTTCATATGCAACCCACCCCCTTGTGAAGTTCATCCACTCTCCAACTCACAACTAATAATCCAACTCCGACTCCAACATGCGGTATCAGTTCGTTCGGTCAGAAAGCTGAAGAAAAGCTCTCCAATGTAATCGTTCAAGAGATCGATCCATAATACACTTTAGAAGTCCGATGATCGGAAAGTATGACAGAGGAAAGGAAAATATTTATTTACCCCCAAAAGAAGTAAAGGAAAGGGAAACATGGTCTGCTACTCGTTTCGTTGGATCAGGACACGAGCCCGGTTGGCTACATGAGGGAGAGGAAGAGGTAGGAAAGATAGGAGGAGGAGGAGGAAAATGTTTAGTCAGTCTGTGCATAAGTTAAAAAGAAAAATCCCCATCTAATCCTCTAATGCTTAGGGCAGCAACACACATGTGGACCAGCCTTGGTAACTTCCGATGTAGCCTGGTCTTCGTATTTCTTAAAGTTGTCCATGAACAGCTTGCCAAGCTTCTCAACCTCGCCCTTGAAATCCGCAGTTCCGTTCCATGACTTGGCGGGGTTGAGGAGCTCGTCCGGAACGTTCGGGCAGGTTCGTGGTACTGAGAGGTTGAAGGTCTCGTAAGTCTCGTAATCTGACTTCGCGAGCTCGCCAGAGTGGATGGCATCAAGGATAGCGCGAGTGTACTTGAGGGGACAGCGCTTGCCGCCGGTGGTGGCACCAGCACCAACCCACCCGGTGTTCAAGAGCCAAGCATCGGCCCCGTGCTCCTCGATCTTCTCAGCCAACATCTTCGCATAGCGCATAGGGTGGAGGGCCAAGAAAGGTTGGGCGAAGCATGATGAGAAGGTGGCTTGCGGTTCTGTTACGCCCTGCTCGGTACCAGCCATCTTAGAAGTGTAACCGGAAATGAAGTGGTACATGGTTTGCTCCTTGTTAAGTTTTGAGATTGGGGGAAGGACACCACGAGCGTCACATGTGAGCAGGATGATGTTCTTGGGGTGCTTGTCCGAAATGCAGGGGATCTTGGTGTTCTCGATGTATTCAATAGGGTAGGCGCATCGGGTGTTCTCCGTTAGGGTATCATCATCATAGTCGACAATACGAGTCATGGGGTCGAAAACAACGTTCTCAAGGATGGCACCGAATCGAATGGCGCCGAAGATGTCAGGCTCCTTTTCCGCGGACAGGCCAATGCACTTGGCGTAGCAGCCACCCTCGATGTTGAAGACGCCGGTGTCGCTCCAGCAGTGCTCATCATCACCAATTAGAGCACGCTTGGGATCCGCTGACAGGGTGGTCTTGCCAGTACCTGAGAGGCCGAAGAAGACGGTAACGTCGCCGCTCTTGCCCTGGTTCGCTGACGAGTGGAGAGTGAGGACATTGTGTTTCACAGGCATCTCGTAGAAGAGCACCGTAAAGATACCCTTCTTCATCTCGCCGGCGTACTCAGTACCGAGGATGACCATCTCCTTCTCGGCGAAATTGATGGCGACGGATGTTGATGAGGTCATGCCGCTGGTGTACCTGTTTGCAGGGAAGGCGCCGGCATTGTAGATGACGTAGTCGGGGTGGAAGCCTTCGAGCTCGTCCCGTGACGGCCGGATCAGCATGTTTCGCATGAAAAGAGCGTGGTAAGCGCGGGCACAGACGACCCGCACACGGATTCGGTACCGCTCGTCCCAGCCAGCAAAGCCATCAACGACGTAGATGCGATTCCTGGTGTTGAGGTAGTCGATGGCACGTTCTCGGTTGATTCGCCAGACCTGCCAAGAGTATGAGCAAAAGGAATAATAACACCACGTGGTGAATTCCCCAAGGCGGCAAAAGGAAGGAGGAGCGCATGCATGAAACGTGATGCGGGGAAGGCGCCAAGCATGCGCGAAGAGGCTTGGGACAGAACATCTTTGATGACATCTCCCCGCAACATTCACAAGCAAGACAGCCACGGCTTAACGGCGAAACACGGATCGGAAAGCTTACATCGGGTGTCATCGGCTTGTTTACAGGACCCCACCACACGTCTTTCTTCGACGATTCCTCCTCCACGATTCGCTTATCCGATGGCGATCGACCGGTCTTGGCACCAGAATATGCCGACAGAGCACCTGAAGATGTGATGGCAGAGCCAGACTCGTATACAAGGGCGTCTTCATAGAGGGCGGCGACGGAAGGGTTGGCAACCTGGATGAGAATGAAGCTGTCAGCAAAGGCCAGTGGAGCTTGGAAGAGCTGGAAGCGACGTACAATAGCTACTCGGTCATAGTCGATGTGTGCCTTGTCGTGGAGCTCCTCCTCGATCTCAGTGTGGTCCGTTGACGGCCTGGTACGCTGTACGTTAGCTGGATCTCAGAGAGGTAAAGCAATTGGCAACGTGGCGTCAGGAGGGCAACTCACTGCACGCCGGTAGGGTGGAGGGCAGTCTTGTTGACGCTTTGGGAAACCATGGTGTTGATGGCGTTGGGAAAAATGGATGAAGAGTGATAGTTGGTACGCTGCTGTTTTGACACCTGTTGACGGGCAAAGTCTTGGGTCAATGGAGCTGGGCTTGCTGTTCGAATGGGCGGGGCGAGGGCTCCTTTATAACTAGCTTCCATAGTGACGATGAAGCTCGGAAGGCGATTCAGCGTCCTTGCGGAAGACAGCTTTCCTTGTCGACGGGCGGGGCGTCCTAGCGCTGAATAGTCCTGATTGGGCTTCCTGAGGGAGACGTACCGAGTCCAGGACACGGTTTTGTCCGACGAAAAATTGCCGGAAGGCGAGAGACAAGGCGGAAGGCGCTGACGGAGTATCTTATCCCCAGCCTTGAAGTGCGATGGAGGTAGTCTCGAAAGAACCTTGAACATTCGCAACAAATTCGGCCCTGTTCATCAATGTCAAAATTATTATGCCGTGCTGCTTTTGCGCAGGAAAAATGTCATCCATTCCAGGCTTGTGATTTGTCTCACATGACGATTCGGGGCCAATCCGCAGGGCCAGTATTAAGAATCAGGTCGCTGAGCCCTGGTGGCACGGCTCTGCAACGTTGCTTGGGCGCGGTGTCTGGATCGTGAAGGAAAGCAAGTGACTGCTTGCCGCTCCCCGCCTTTGTGGTGGCCAAACGGGTACGAAGAGCTGGAGCTGAACGGCTGCAAGCGGTGTAATGCGATCGAGCTTTAGCCAATTGGCAGCGTGACTGTTACTTCATCCACTCCCTCGTGATGTGGTCCTGTGAAGAACTCCAGCGCTTCGCAGAAACGACACATGTCCTCGCCGACGTCGTCGTGCCCTTCTTCGCCCTATCTGAGCCCCAAACGCGCAGGATTGCTCGTCTCGAATCCGGCATCAAACGACCACAAACAATACGAGCGCAGGTGGCGGTGCAGCACCAAAGCAGAAAAAGCTGTGAGGGCCAGGCAATGCAATCATCGTGCAGGGATTGTTTCGTTAATAGCGCAATCTAGATGTTTGCGAACTTAAATCGGGTAGACGTGGAAGAGGGACCTGGATCGCGATGCACATGTTATCTACACTAGTCTACTTCAGCACTCAGTATTTACCATAATTCCGTCCGTCCGAGTATGCTGTTTCGGAAGAAGTGAGGCATTTGAGAGGAAAGGAGGAACATATTCCCAGCCACAAACCCGCTAGGCATATCAGAGATATCGCAGATGCTCGCTGCACGCTCTACCGAATGGAGTACCGATCGGGAACGGGGCAGCGTTTCAAGGCCCGAAACCGCACGCCTAGAGTTTGTGGGGCCAAGGTGCGTATCAAGCTACTTGTGCATGGGAAAGTCCGGGACGACAGTCGAAATCGTGGCAGTCTTCCACATATTCAACTCAAAGCAATGCTATGCCGGCAACTTCGACGCCCAATTAGAAGCCCAATGCTCCTGTCCACTTCACCGCTTTTGCTAGAAATTATCGTAATATCGAATGATGCTGACAACCTGCAACCTTTTTTGCCTCCTGAACAAAAATGCAGCGGGACGCTTCGCGGCAGTCCCGTCTCAAATCCGTACATATCCACACATGAAGTTGGGAAAATCGGGCCCCAAACTACCGCAAGGCTGAAGGCTGCGGTCCGCGGCCGAATGCACCCGAACCCCTAGCCCACAGACTTCAACCCAAGAGCAAACGCCAGTTGTCTATGCTTCATGCCCTACTGCCTCTTCCTCATTCCGTTCTTATTCCTCCTCGCCGTTGGGCTGCAATTCGAGTTGATCTTGCACCGACCACCCAAGTACAACCCGCTGCATAATACAAAAAAGACGGCAAAATTAACAATATGTACGCCCCTTTGGTTTGGTCAGCTATGGCCCTGCTGTAGAGTGAAGGGGATGTTGCTAGGATCCATGTTAAAGCTGGCTGCAAACTGTGTTCTTCTCCGGTGTTGGGAAAAGCCACAGTTGCCGTTTGGTTGGGTCTGCACGTAGCCGCCGCACCGCTGCGCAAAGCCGGCAGCGTAGGACTGACAGTCTTGGCCTGGCGGGGGTGCGAATACTGCAATCTCACTCGAATTGCATCGGATTGGTACACCACCGATATGTAGGCCCAACATGCCTTCGAGCAGATGTGGAAGGGCCTCCGCCAGTACATCCAACTTTGCCAGAAATCAGGCAGGGCGGTCGGTTTACGGGACCACGACACTGCAGAAACGAACAACTGAAGGGTATGAGAGTACTTCACGACAGCCCTGCATTTACACTTACTCATAGTAAAAACGATCGGCACAAGCGGCGGAATTCATTCGGAGAAAACGCTGCAATCGCTTTGACTGAATCCAAGATAAAAGTGCTCAAACACAATCGCAAAGAGCCAAATGCTTGCAGCAACGTAAGTGTCGCGTGGACACCACGTGGCCTAGTACCAGCAGCACCCTGCCCTGCATTAGCATTGCTCTTGGCTTAATTATAGATGTCTTCACTCGTAGGAGATTGTTCCAGCGAGATTGTCGTAGGGTGTCACGCTCAAGATAGCACCTCAGGAGAACACATTCCAAGAGTAGATCTTTGAGGTTTCTTCTCGCGATTAATAGATCGACCTCATACCCAGGATCGCGCCTGCGCTTGCTGAATCAGGGGAAGTGAGATGGTGAATAGACGCGATTGCATACCAAACTGTCTATTTCTGAGATACCAGAAAGCGAAGGGATTAAAGAGGCTAGTGAAGATATGAAACATGAAAACTCCTACAACGTACGGTGAATCTCTCCACATAGATAGAGCAGCGTGGTGAGCAGCATGGCGAATTCTCCATCGTTTCGTGTTTTCCTGCTAGTGGAGGCGCTCTATAGGTTACTGATAATCCCTTGGATCTCCTTAGTCAATTTCTCATTCTTGGGAGAGGCTCCATCAATTTTCAACAACAAAAGCTGGTCGAAAAGCTCAAAGAGGACCGAAGACGGTTGGTATATAGTGTAACGAATAACTTAACCTGCGATAGCAAGCTTTCGCAGGAACGGGTCGATTTTGAAGACAGCTCCTGAATCAAGTCTATTGGTGGGCTACTCTATAAAAACATCCGCAATTCCGGCCTACTCGCTAATTCTACGCTGATAGTGACTCGCTTTCGCTGCTCTGGGTTTAAACTACCCAACCCTCCCAATTACGGCGCTAGTCATATTGTGAATCTCTAACAAATCGATTATATTCTCAACATAATCTTACTTCCCTTCCAAGGGTGCCTCCTTAGGCTAGCAGAGCTTGGCTGAAAACTGCAATGCAGTTGACTCACAGATGTCCATTTGCTTGACGAAGCTCGTTGGGCCTTGAAATGAGGAAGGAAGAGATTGGCCATCAACGAGGAAGTCATCCTGGACAACTCCAAACTGAATCCTCCGGGGCAAGGTATTCAATAACGTTTTTTTCCCAGCGCCGGAGGCACCCATAAAAGCTATCAACTTTCCCGGCTTAACGTAGCCCTGGATATCTTGAAATAGCTTCCTCTTTCCTTCTTCAATGGGATGGTGTAGTTGACGTTTTGCTAGGTGAAAATCCTGCCATTCTTGGTTACTTCCTTCACTGTGTCATTGTTATCTCTTCCACTACTTAGCTCACCCATGGGATTAAATGCTGTGTTCAGCAGCTGCTGGCCAGTGTGAACATCTTTGGCGTTTTGTCAAGTTCTATAGTTTTCTCAATCATCTTCGGAACTTTTGTTACACGTATAATTGGCGACAGCATCATCATCTTTGTTAGACTTCAGAAGATCTATGCCGAAAGATGTGGGGGAGACGAAAAACACGAAAAAGAGTGCAGATAAATCCAAAGTCCTCCCAAGGGTGAGATTCGGAATAGCTATATGCGACTTGGATATAGTTGGTTCCACTAACCGTAAGCGACCTAGGTATGCTTCGTTGGATAGCGTAAAACTGGTAACGAGGATCTGCATTTGGAATCACTGCAACAACATAGGGCAGAATGCACTAGATTCAAGGTTGTAGGATTTGTTGGCCACCAGGCTTCGAAGGCAAATTGGACTAGATTTATCCATCGGAGCCAAGAAACTATAGTTGCATCTTTCTCGATGAAATCAAGTAGCTCGAGTAGATAATGAGAGCTACAGGCAATTAGCGAATTATTCGAATAAGGAGAGCTCACAACTATGTGAAACACGACTCAGGTAGGATCTCGGAGAGAGTACTTAGCAACGTAAGAAAGACAGGTATATGCACTAGCGAACAATCAGAAATAAATTTATGCTTCGGGAAGACACAAGTGCTTGACTTAGTATTTGTAGCAGGTTTCTTACCCTTGAATCACCATACTAGTGATTCCAGTCGCTGGATCAAGTGAATCAACGAGACTCCGATTGCCCGAAAGAAGGCGTACATGGTCATTGTCAAACGCCATAAAAGTAGAGAGAAATGAGGCACTGAGAAGATATAGGTTGTAGGGTCGACATGAAGTAGACTACGACAACGAAGACAAAAGCTTATATTAGGACCAGAGGTGTATCCACGACTGTCTGGGCGATGGCGTAAGCAGCAAGTCTACAGAACGAGAGGCTCCTGTGCTTGAGAAGGATTGGGTGACTTTCAAAAGCAGCAATAGGCTCAGCAAGAGCAAGCAAGGCGTTAGAGAGAAGAATGAAGAAGATAACAATTCCGCGCGTAAAGACTCCGGCAGTGGTCTTAGGCCGATTGTTGGAGGGAGATCCAACAATGAGGGCCGGAAAGAGAATGTTTCCCTATATACTGACGAGGATTGGCGGTCGCCAACCATAACTAATTTAGTACATGCCATCACCTGATTATAAAACGGCAGGTTAAAGTTCTTTTTTGGTGCTCTTGGTTCTCGTAGCACGGCATTCCTTGGTCATGCGTTTGTTTTTTGTTTGGAATCTGCGATTTCCACCGAATTGTGATGATGCTGTTTGCCGCTAAGAAAAGCTTGCTCAATTTAGGCAGCCGACCCAGGGGTCCACGATTGCCACCTATCTTTGATATGGCGTTCGTGCTCCTCAGGTACAGGGGTTAGTGGATGCGCTGTTGCCTATCACTTTAGTGGTACATACCCGAGACTCTTGTAGTAGACCGCAGCCTTTTCTGCAGGTCCGAAATAGTAGCAGCCTTCATCAGTACGGAGAATCTTGTCGTAGATATCGTACAAAGACTCTCCCGCCTGATATAGCGCATCGCTTGCCGATGTGTTAGCTATATGTGTGAGATTTCGCAAGCTCCATACGTATTCCAGGGCGGTCTTCGCGCCTAGTCGTCTCGCCGAGTAGCCTCAAGACTGAACCGAAGCCTTTGTAACCATGGCCTCTGCAATGCTCGCCCACTTCTTCTCGCCGTCGAATATACCATGAGCAAGCTCATTGCCCACCTTGACATTCGTTGTGTATTCGATCCTGAAAAGCTTTGAAACTACTCGAGGGAGTGTTCGCGCATGATCGCCTTAAGATCCACTCATTTCTCTAGCTCTTTCCTAGTGTTCTTGTCTTCAGAGCAACATTTCCTGTTTCTCTCACCACCAATGCCGCGTTGTCTTCTGGGTCATACAAGAGTTCGCTGCGGTCTGAGGTGACTACATGGTGACTAAAAGTGAGCCAGTCCTAATGAAGCAGGAGCTAGTCCTAAATCATTTACTAGATTCCCCAAGGACCCAAATTCGTCCTCGACGTAGCGTCACGTGTGACAACGTCACGTGCGGCAAGCTTTCCGGCAGCCTGACGCGGGTCTTCAGTGAAAAGGTTGTGGGGAAGAGGTCACAGACTAAAGGCTGTAAAGCCGCCCCAAGACCTATGCCCTTCATGGTAACGCTTTTGATGACGATACTGATATGTCTAGTCTTCTCTTCTTTAGAAGTTTATTTTCGGGTGCAATTAACATGAGGGATATGAGTTTGTTAATTTCTCCCAGCTCGCCTTCAGTGCTAGATGCTGTGGCTACGGTGCTGGTCCTTCCAAATATGCCAGTTCTGTTCCTTGAAAGGACGCGAAATAGATCCTCTTCATTCATCAGTTTCCATGCATTTGGAGCGCGGCCCCCATGGCCCGAAGAAACAGTGCTGATAGCGGCGAATCTTCCACCATCACCCTCGTACTCCGTATCAACAGACTCGGAATAGGGTTCCTCGTATTTCTCGGACAAGACATCTAGAGAAGGCATAGTAGTGTTGAGGTTGGACGAAGAGAACTGGCATGTTGTTAGACCTATCGGCTGTTTCGCCAACACTTGGTGTTGGGTGATTGAATAGCATTGCTCGTCCCCGGGTTGTTGGAGCCAATGTAAAGTTGATATAAACTTGGATTTGCGGGTGTCTCTATCCAGGCTCCTGGTAACCCATCCATATGAAGAGTCGACTGCTCATTGTTTGCGGCCATTGCTTAGACCCAGCACAATCGGTTAGTTTCAATGGTAAGTAAGCTCTACGGGGCTACTCGTAAGACGGAATAGCGTACTGAAGGAGGGAAAACGGTCAGATCAACTCGATATGAGAGGCGTTGATGCTACCATTTTAAAATCTCTGTACAGATACCTGCTTCTCAGGACCCGTGCTGAATCGGGCGGACGCTGCCCAATCCAAAACGGATCCGTGTAGTTCCATGGTAACTCGAGTAGGGGAAAGTAAGTATTAATCAATCTGATTTAAAAAGTCTTTGCTTTGTTAGCTACTTTGGTGCACTTGCACATCACCTGCCAATGCTTCTCCTAATGTTGCTGTCAAATGCCAAGACGGTCGTGGGTCGGTCCACTTTTGTGTCCGAGTATATCGAGAATCGGGGTAAAGAGGGCCTGAAAGAGCGGCTTAGCCTGGGGCCTGCGGGGCACGAGTTGCAACAGCCGGGGACTCGTCCAACCGAGTTGAAGTTCGACATATCCATCTGCGCTAACTACTTTAAGTGGCCGGTCTGGAATTTCACAGATCTAACAATGAGATGGCCGAGGAGTTCCGCGACTTTGCAACACGTGGATGCATGGATAAAAAATGGACCGATGTTGTCACGAGCAAGTGTATTTTGTGCAGCGCCAAGTAGTATATATTATCTCCGTGCTATAGATTTCATCCGAATCGAAGACTATCTACAATACCCCTTACTAACCCCAAATTACTTATCACAGTCGTCGTCCTCCAGTGGCGGACGGGGTGGAATGCTAAAGTCGTCCACACTGTCCGCCCACTGGTTCGATGTCCCGAACGCATCTCTCGCCAATACGGGGGTACTCCAATCTGGCATTCCGGCCTGCCCCGGACTTGGGAAACTCGATGGTATGATTAAAGGTAGTGGTCTTAGCGGAGAGACAAATGGCTGGGAACTGGAAGCCCTACTTGGTGTCTTTGTAGGCGTTGGATCACTAGCGATGAGTTGTGAATGCAGCATTGTTTTCCTAGGAGTCACGATTCGCTTATTTGGAACCATCTGTGTGCCGTCCACCGTTGTAGCCTGGCTCAAATTTGTCATCGATGTGGATGATGGGATACTTCCTGGCCTTGACATAGGCGCTGGAAAGGGAGTTGGTTGATAACCAAATGCTTCTAGTGCATCATGGAGGCTAGATGGTAGTGAAGTTTGGGGTCGAAATTGTGAGTATGATTGCCATTCGCTTTGGAGTTGATGTTCGGCTTTGCTGGAGTGAGAACGCTGAGTTTCTGGGTGCGCAGGGGATGGAGAACGTGGGACTTGGATTAGAAGGCCGTTGAGGTCGGTAGAGACATTGTTATGCTGCGTGAGACGAAGTCGTTTGGTAGGCTCGGCCTCATGAGGCCCTGGACTAGGTTTGGGGTCTTCACCGTTATTGGATAGATCCAGCAACTCCTCATCCATAGATTCTTTCTTAACATGTACTGGAGAAGTAAGGTGACTCTGGGGGCCTGTTCCCGCTTTCATGTTTGCCGGGACATAATATCTTTCAAGCTCTCGCGGGGCATCACCACTACGATCTCCAAGGCTCCAATTCCCTAGCTCTGGTGATAGGTCTCTAGTATTCCAAGCCGCATCCTCTTCCGCATTCGCACATGCCTGATCGATTTGTATTAGAATAGCTTGAGTCTCCGCTCCCACATGCCTAGTTTGGACCAGATGATCGATACCGTGAACCATGGCTTGCGTCTCCGCCCCAATGGCTAGGCTTTTAAAAGAGTCTTGGTGTTCACTCCAAACATCTTCCTCTTCTTCATCAGAGTCTGGAACGATCCCACTTGCGAACCTTCGCTTAGATGGGGTCGTTAGTTTCGAGATCTTCGCTGGTGTTTGAAAGGTTACATTTATACGTTTCGATGGTGTATCTTGGACTGTATTGTTCGATCGCTCTTTCAAAGGTGACCGACTCATATTCTCAGTAAAGGATTGAGTAGACAGGGGTGTATTTGGCGGAGATTGTGAAGAAGCTATTTCCGTGACTCTGCGCCTTTGAGGCGTGGACAAGAGGCTGAATCTTGACTTTTTCGGATTCCGCACAGCCAGCTTTCCATGGGGAGTCCGGGTAGGTTTGATATTCTCCTGGGGTGGTGGATGTCGTGACGTTCGTTTTCTCTTCACTGGGGCGTGAACGATTTGGGTAGGTTGGTACTCGTCGTCCTCATCGTCCTCAAGTGGAAAGATCCCGTGAGCTGCTAAATGTCTCTCATTGACTTCTTCGTCCTCTACATCACTAAGAAGGAAAATCCCGTGGGACACCAATTGGCTCTCTCTGGTTCCTTCATCTGCATCACCGAGTGGAACCCTTCGATGGAGAGCCGAGTGTGCCGCAATATCTTCACCATCTTCTTCGACAGGCCTAAAGACCCCGGGCTGAGGCAGACGTCGCCTAAGAGCAGGATTGTATGTGTCGCTCTCTTCATCGTCGTAGTCTTGAACCGTCATACTCCCAGCAAGATACGGCGGTATCTCCTCACCATTCTCCTCATCCTCCCAGCCAGAACTGAGAGGAATCAAACCAGGTATCATCTGTGTCAGCGTCCTCTGAGAGTCACTCTTCCCCTTCGGCTGTACCCCTTTGCTCCTACCCGCGCCCATCCTCTTCACAGGTTTGAATTCTAGCTCCTTCTCTCCACGTCTTGATTTCCTCCCGCTGACGAGTTGCGTCATTGTGGACTGTGTCCTCCGTCTGAATCTCTTCTCTTCTTCGTCGGATTCAGAGAGTGCGGTCGATTCTACATCGTTCTCGGGTTTGATTGTGGACATCCGCCTATGTTTTGCAGCAGGTGTCTCGGGCGCTGTAACCCCATCCAACACAGGATTTGCTATCACGTCGCTATTGCGCTTCTTCCCCTTCTCCATTAGCATTGTGTTCGCCGTCCTTTCCGTGGTTTGTGATGTGTTTGATTCAGCCCGCTCCACAACTTCTTCTTCTTCTTCTCCTTCTTCTTCTTCTTCTTCTCCTTCTTCTTCTTCTTCTTCTTTCGCTTCCTCATCCGAGTCCTCAACCACGACACGCCTCCTCAACGCCTCCGGTTGAAACGTCAGCTGCTTATACTCGGCCTCCACATTCTTATTCGCCGGCTTCACACGGACTTTCTTCGCTCGATGTGGGAAAACTTTCTGCTTAGGGACCTTTGTTGAATAGTAAACTTTGAAATCTGCACTTTGGTTGCTTGTGCGGGTTCGTGCAGGCATAGTAGTTAAAGTCGATGGCGATGGGGTGGTGATGGGGTGGCGATGGCGATGGCGATGGCGATGGCGAAGACGCGAAGTGAACGCGTTGAGGGGCACTAAGCACGATGTAAGGACGGAAGCGCTTGGACCATCACCCCCTCCACGAATGTTAAGGGAACTGGCACTGACTTGCACGCCTCAGACAGCTGGTGGTGATGTGTCTCTCCGCCATATTTAACTTGGGATTAATCAATTTCTTGCGTTGATGCTCGTTTTTGTCATAAGCCAACTCTGCTGAGCATCGGCGTGAAACGAACATCATTCAGTATAGAAATCTACATTGAAGAATGCTTCAGAGCTATATTTAGGGGTCAATACACGCTTTAGGTTAGGGAAAGAAAATAGAAATGAGAGAAAGGGAAGTCCGATAGACCTCCAACTCCTCTTTTCACACCACATACTTCCAAACCGAACAATACTCTAATTTCGTCTACTCATACTCCATCCCTCGATACTTCTTCCCATAATCCCTCCACCTCAATTGAAACGCAATAAACATTACCGGCAGAACGCTGACCAACTCCCCTAGTCCCGCATATGCGGGCGGAATCCGGAAGGCGACGAAAGCGCCAGCAGCCATGAGAATAGCAACGACGTTGTACACTGCCGACCATCCGAAATTGAACATGATCCTTCTGTAAGCAGCTTTAGATATGTCGAGCAGAATCGGGATATCTTGCAGGCGGGTAGTCATGAGAACGACATCGGAAGCGCTCTTCGCTACATCAGAGCCGTGGTTCATGTGGACGCCGACATCTGCTTGCTTGAGGGCGACAGAGTCGTTTGTACCATCCCCACAAAAGAGAACAACGCGGCCTTCCTTTTGGAGATTGTGAATGTACTCCTGTTTATCACCAGGGTTGAGGCGGCCACAGGCATGATGCTTAGGTATGTTGAGTGTGTGTGCAATCTCATTTACTGCCCCTGCGCTATCGCCACTGATCATATGCACGCTGATGCCGCGATCCGTGAGGAGCCTAATAACCCTCTCTGCGGTAGAGCGTGGGCGATCTTGAAGGCGGAATACTGCGCTCAGCTCTCCGGATACCGTGACGCAGAGAACGCTGTGAGGTGATTCTAGGATGTCCACACCTAGCCAGTAAGGGTTGCCTGCCCGAACCACCGCTTGTGTTTGTTTACAGGTCCCTATAACACCATTCCCCGGGAGACTGGTGATTCCGACCATTTTCGCTGGCTTTATGAACCCTTCGCCGCTAGACGAATTTTTGTCGAGCCATTTGAATACGGCAGCAGCAACAGGATGTTTGACATCTACCAGTAGGCCCAATATCATACTCTTTACTTCTCTCTCCTTGGGACCATGAAAAATTGCTTCGACAACTGTGAGATCACCTGTCGTGAGCGTACCAGTCTTGTCAAAGATAATGTCCGTAGCATTTCGAGCGACCTCAAGCTTCTGTGGATCTCTGAAGATGATTCCAAAGCGCGCTGACACACCGCCTGCAATTAGAACCACCATAGGAACGGCAAGTCCAATTGCGCATGGGCATGAGACGATGATCGTTGCGATGGCATAGGTAATAGCTCTAATGACAGCATCCCTCCAGAGTCGGCGATTGCCATACCTCTCTAAGCAGATCCAGATTACGAAAACAATTGTGCCGATGGCCATAATTGCCGGGACGAACCAGCCAGCGATACGGTCAGCGAGTGCCTGAACCTTGGGTTTCGAGAGCTCTGCACTTTCAACCATCGCCGCAATTTTGCTAATGGAGTTTTCATGTGGGAGAGCAGTCAGAGTGACAGTGAGCTCGCCGCTTCCATTAGTTGTGCCAGCGGACACAGTGTGCCCTAGGCCTTTAGCAACCGGGATTGATTCACCTGTCATGACCGACTCATCAACTTCTGAACCTCCATAGATTACCTTCCCATCAGTCACAATCCTAGTGTGTGGTGGAACCTTGAAGCTGTCGCCATATTGAAGGAGTCGGGCATCGATTTTACGGGCCTCCCTCGGCTGTGCTTGTCCTGGAACAACAAGAAGAGCGTGCTCTGCCTGGAGGGAACGGAATGAGACCGCTTTCGCAGCCCTCAGGCGAGCAAATTCGTTGACAACGCGACCAAAAAGGATAAGCGTGACTAATAAGGTCGATGTCTCAAAAAATGACCCTGTCTCTAGCGGGTGACGTCGAATTTGAAAGACGTACGATACAACGCTGAACACATAAGCTGTTGTCGTGCTGAATGCAACTAAGAAATCCATTTCGAAGGAGCGAGAATGTATAAGAGATTTGAAGGCGCTTGGTACAAACTCCTTGACCGCAATGATCTGAACAATCGTCGCCAGGGCCAGTGATACGTGAGCGTACGCCATATTGTTCTGATTGAGCGGCGCCCAAGCCATAACCAGGACCGGGATGGTGAAAAAAAGGCTGATAAGGAACATGATGCAGGCTTGCTTTGTTTGGTCCGCTCCTACCGCTAGAATAGGATGACTGCAGGGATGGGCTAGTTGCAGGTGCTGTCCTGAAGCAAGTTGCTGGTAATATTCAAAGACATCACGGGCTCCAATAAGGTTCGCGTCGTAGTGAATTCGAACAGTGTGCTGAAATAAACCAGGTCCTTCACTCTTCTCACTGTCAAGTGAATGAGGAGGGCGGTTGAAGCGACTGGCTTCGGGAGGGACAGTGCTGTTGCGCCCACTGAAGAGCATGGAAGGGCTCCAAAATTGCCTCGTTCCAGATTCGATGAGGGTGACACCATAAGGTTTCCCAGCTTCACAAATCTGCCTTGGATCATTGACCAGAACCTCCAAGATCTGGCCTTCGGGTTGGTCATGTTTCTCGAAAGTATATCCCGTCACCCTGGTTAGGCGAGATATTGCTGCGGAAATAGACAGTCGACTTGTGTCTAAATCGAACTCGACCCTCGCCAGCACAATATTGACTTGGTGATCTTTGATAGCTGGTATGTGTCGAAAGGCCTTCGAGATCCCCGACTCGCAACACCCACACTTGAGGCCACTAATTGTCAACACAACTCGTTCAAAGGTTGCCGGCCCTCGTTCGACATCTGCGACATCTTCCGGATACGCTTCTCCCTCTTTCAGCAGGCCTTTATCCATTAGAGGCGTTTTAGAGCAGCAAGTACTCGAAGACTGACTTGTGCTAGTGGTCGTGCAGCAGCTCGTAGTACGATTGACGTTTTCAGAGTGTTGATGCAAGTTCCCGTCGTGCGAGCTTCCGTGACGGTGCATAAGACTCGACTTCAGCAGCTTCGCAGGTGTACAGCAGGATATCGACCCGGCAGCCCGATCACAACAGCTGGATTGTCGTTCAGCGCATAGTACTTTCTCCTCGCGGTTGATAGTCTCCAGGCTTGGTTTTGAGAGGCTTGAGTTTGATTTCGTTTGAATAGCGATAGAGACTTGATTATGGTCCGCGTCGGTTATAGTACTGGATGCTGCGGTATCGATATTTGTTGACGATTGTGGTGTGGGAAGAGATGGTACGCGGAAGGCCTTCTTTGAGGATGGAGGAACTTGTTCACCATCTGTGCTGGATTGCTCTTTCCCTCCGGTTGAACCTTGGCAACAACCCTTTGATGAACAGCAAGCACGTTCTTCGTAAGCCATAGTTTTGGATGCCCGCGGCCGGAAAATTTCAATTCTTTGAGGTTATAGAAGGCTGACGTGAACAAGGGGTAAGATGTGGCTCAAGTTACCTCTCGTCTTCGTCGAGCTCCTCGAGGCTCAGTTTGCAGTACTTTTTTCGGAGCCTTTTATTGTCTTGATATGATTTCTAAAATGCTTTTCACGCTTGAAATGCAAGGGCCGACGAGCCTAAGGTGAACAAGTCACCGGCGATTTTGGGAGCAAGTTCAGAGACACGACTAGGTTACGCTTTTAAAAGAGGATGCTGTCTAGTTTGGGAGTACTTGGGTAGAAGACGGCAAAGTTGGTCTTGTTTCCCAGTCAGACATCACACCCTAAAGTATTTACAAAGTGTGGACCCATGACAATGGTCCGTGGTGCACAATGTGACGGTGCTTGCATATCCGAGAATTCATTGGACCGATGGTGAATCTCCTAGACTGATTGGGGTTGAAGGGTGACCCTCGTCACTGAATGGTGACATATCGAAATGCATGAAGGCGCGGGGAGGTAACGCTTGTCCCATTTGACAATTCTACAGGGAGATGACCACCCGCAGCACAGATAATGAGCGAGCCAGAACCTTCCATAGCAGGTAGTTTGATATCCTAATGTGCACCCAAACAATTTCCTTTCCCGTTCAAGGAACTGAGCTGCTCACGCTCCAGCCTGAACTGTGGCTGTGCTTGAGTGAGCGCATCCTAAGCCGGGACTAAGCCGCTTATTAGAACTAAGTTTTAGGCCCTGTATGTAACAGGGGAGGTTAAAACTAGGGTCCTTACTCTGCCTTAAAGGGCCTATTTCCAGTCCTGCTAGTCTGCCAGGTTTAAATAGAAAATTGGCTAAGAACGATCTGCGCCACTGCATTATCCATGCAAGGGTAAATCCACAAGTGGTTAGTATGTTCTGTCAGTTTAGTGTACGGAGCTTATAAAGGGGCAGGTCTGTAGTAATTCAACTACAGAAGAGAGGCAACTATATACTAAAAAAGAGGCCTCCAAACTTCCTAGGAAGTATAATTATTTAATAATATTAATCTAATTAGGGCCTATGCGCTAACATCCTATTCCTAATTAAATACGCCTTATAAGATTACTTAGCTAACTACAAGATAGTAATTAGTTCACAGCTTACAGAACTGTTATAATAGTATATTCATGGTGCTAGGTTTTGCATTTAATCTAGACTAGAATCTTACATGCATTTAGAGGGAAATATTACAGACAACTAAGAACAAGGTTGTCCTAAGAATGTCACCTTCTTGGTGAGTTATGATCTTAAGAGAGTGACAGTCTAGAGAACATCCTTATCTTAAGATGCTACCGTTTTAAGACTATAGCTATCTTAAAACCATAGCTATCTTAAGAACATGTCATATTAGGGTTATAACCGTCTTAAGAACGTATCTGCTAATCCACCTAACATGCATAAGCTCATGGTCCTATGTCATCTCTGCAAAGGGGTATTAGCTACAATTTTAAAATTAGGCTCTACGTCATGCTAATTAAAGCGCTAGAAGATAGAGGGGCCAAAGGTTCTAGAGTTTGTTCTCAGCAATAAGTACTGGCTAGAGGGGCTACAAGCTATACTGAGTATCAGGGTATAATTTAGAGCCTTGAGGTAGAATAGACTCTGGGGGTTGAATTGCAAGTTAAACACAAAGGTAGCTATGGGGCTTCCTTTAGGGAGTCTATATACTGCTGGCTCGCTCGGTTCGCCATGAGCAGCGTGGGCTTATTACGTGACTTACCTCTATCATGGATCGCCCTTGAGGCGCCCGTGTTGATCGTGATCTTGATTACTGTTACAAAATGTAGAGGTAACTAAAGCCACTTTCTAACAGATCGTAACAGGTTGGCTATTAAGACAAAGGTGCTATGACCCCAATTATCTAGAATAATGCTGTCATTAATAATTCAGACAAGCTTAATCTAGCGTAAAGGTAGATATCCCTTCTGGAGTAACCATAAAAAGATAGACTCTAATTTTGTATATGTACACGCAGTCCCCAAAAAATAGTAAAGCACCTCAACACCAACCACACAAAATCTACAAGGTACTAGTTGCACACCATCTTCTTCTAACTGTCCATCATATCTCACGAAAAAGGAGGCTGATGTGGCAGTGTTTCAGAAGTAGGTGGAGGAGGAGCGGGATACATGCTACTATAACCTATAGCCATTCCATTTCCTATCAACCCAATCACGCCGCCCTGTTTTTGAAATATGCTTAATACCCTAGCTGCAAATAGCGCTGAGAATAAAAAGATAAGCCACTAAAGAGTACTCAACGTCTTCCTAGCAGTGATTCAAAAGGCCCACGCAGTCTCATCCTGGGTGAAAAACTCCACGCGCCTGTTGTCTAGCCAATTGCAATGGCTGACGCTAAAGAAAGCCCAACTAACGCCTATATCAACCTAAGCAAGGAGTGTTTTAGTAACTGCCTGCGCTTCTCTGCAGTTAAATTGTCTTTTTTTTGTTTACTGTTTTCAGATGTTGATTTAATAGCAGGATAAGAATTACACTAACAACAAATAAAACACTATCAGCTGCAAGGAGATAAGGAATAATCTTTAACTAGATTGTAAGGGCGAGAGATACCAGGTTTGTTAAATTTGTTGTATTGGTTACCTTGGCGTTAGTTTGTCTTGCCAGAGCTAGACTGGCAGAACACCTTATCTAGTACAGGTGTATGGTGGCGCAGATACCTACTTAAGTATTAGTGAATACTATCAAGCAGGAATAATAATAAATTACTGAAGTAGTTCACCCCTATTACTAAAATTGTTAAAGCTATGCTATTTCTCCCTTCTAACTTTACTGTAAAGATGTTTAGGATGCTAGGCGAGTTAGATACACAGCTAGTAAGACATGATGCTGTATGCAAGTTAGCAGAGATAGAAGTTAGACAATGCTTTAGACATTACTACAGAAAAGGAGAGTTGATATAGGTCAGAGATAAACTTAAAGGCGATAGTTAATGTTTTCTAAAATGTGAATGAATATAGAACTAACAAGATAGCACAATTATGTTCATCACACAGTCGCATACGACTAGAGATACCCATGTGTTGCATTGCCAAAAGGTCAACCTCCTAGCAATCACCCCAGAAGGATATATATAGTCGGACAAATGTACGTGCGACACACCCCCCGCTCGAACAGTATGAATGTGAGAGGTGACAGATCTAATCTCTGCAACACCATGTTTAAGCAATTATTGTTTAAGACGTATCTTGTGTTTGTAGAAGAGGAGAGTAAGCAAGTCTAGTAGCTAGGAGTTTCTTTGGGAAACGTAAAGAACCACTAGTAAGGAGTGTGGCATCTGTGAGTGTTTTAGTGGTCTAGGTCATTTAATCTCAGCACCACGCGTCCTACTTATCCTCTAAGGTCGCTGGATTACTACTTTATTAAGTGATAATGCAAGTCTTATTTTAAGAAGGCTACAGTGTAGGTTCAGAAGGTATGTGTGCGCCGTCGTCTCACGCGATAGTATGCTGAGATATCTCCGTAACAGCGTCTGTGGCGCCGGGATATCAGGCGTTTCCAGTTTGTAGGTGTTCTCCGTGCGACCGTGCTATGACTATCGAGCTCGCGAGTTCTTACTCGTCAGAGGTCCATTCTTCTATTGTTTCCTATTTCAGAACCAACACTTTTCATGGTATCTCCGGGCTTTTTTGTTTAGGAACCATAATTACAAGGTTACCCCCTAAGAGGCGGTGCTAGTAATTTGGAACTTGCGTGGTTCAACAAGTTTCTCCTTCAATTTTCCCATGCCAAGGTTTCCATAGAATTACTGTGGTATCTGGCATACACAATAAGGACCCTTCTCGTAGGTTACTAATACGCATGAGCCGCGCGACAAGCTGCAGCGTCAAACCTATGCAACTCGTCAGCTACCGCTTGCCGAAACCCGGCTTTCTTATTGCTTCAATGACCTGATCAACATTTCAGCACGGTTTTGAAACAAGTGACTCGCTAGCTAGGCTGACAGCTTCGCCGCAACCGATAGCCACGCCGCAGCCGATGTGCTTGACGTTGACACATATATTCGCAAATCCTGAATGGTCTTGAAACCTGGAAGGATCTCGTTGCGCGCGCTTCGTACATGGGGATACCTAGATTATCTTCTCGAAGTTTTGCTTACCATTCAACTTTACTCTTGTTTATAGAAGGTTTACAAGTACATAAAACTAAGGTAGGAAATTATAGTAGAGTCTAATATAGTTTCGTTCACGCATTCTCAACCAAAATTATGCTACTTTATGGCTGATTTATAACCCAGGACAGCTTTAAGGTCGCTTGTTAATACTTAACAGTTTCTGGTGAGTTATACTTGAGGTGGGTGAGCAAGGGCGAGCAGACCTGAGGAGGCCTGAGCCGAAGCTGAGCCGGGACCTGAGCCGGCCTTAGCCACAGTGGCGCTGGATCACATGAGCAGCAGGGGTTGGTCCGTATGCACATTGGGGTGATGTACTGTAACAAGATATTTGAATGTGGAGAGCAGATGTGGAGCACGCATTAGAAAAATCACTTGACGGAGTGTAAAGAGGTGCTGAGTGCACGGACCATAGCACGTGATCGCGCGAGCTTAATGCATCATCGCGGATGAAATGGCAAATTCATGGTGTGAATGCAACCGCGCTTTCCATCGTAAGTGCTTGTTCAGATAATTCCCTTCCTTGCTCATTGGGCCTCTCATTGTAATACTTAGTATACTATCTTGCGACTTCTCTAGTCTGTCCTCAAGCGGTTGATATTTCATTCATCCCCACCGCCGTAAGACAACCAACCCATCTCTGGAAAATCATGGCGGGCCCTCGAAGTAGTATACGTAAACCAGCCTCTGCGCCTACAGGCGGACGGACGACTAGGAGAAGTAAGGCATCACAGGAAGATGCAGAAGTGCCGGAAGTTTTTCAGGGTATGCTCTCTGAGGCGACGGCTTCGAAAGCCGCGGGGTCCGACGAGGACAGCAAGCCGCTGAAGAAACGAAAGACGGCACGATCGATGCGTAACAATGAATCAAATCCTTCTCTTGAGGCTCTTACAGCCCCCCTATCCCTAAACCCCGAAACAGAGTCCCAACGTCCCCTCTCGAAAGCAGCTGCGCCCGACGACGATGCCGACGACGAAACTCACCACATGCTTCAAACAATAACGGAATCTGAAGAGTCGGATGGAAGTGACATGGAATGGGAGGATGCGCTGGCCCCAGGTGACGAGGAAGAGGGCTTAGATGTTGACGGGGACGCTTTGCCTGAGGTGGGTGACATCTCTATCACAATTGGAGGCGATAAAGGTGAGGGAAAGAGGCCAAAGCGGGCCCGGCGACGCGGAATAACGTCTGTCGACAAGAAACGGAGACTTGAAATTCATAAAATGCACATTCTCTGTCTTTTATACCATGTCCATCGGAGAAACACTTGGTGTAACGATGGGAAAGTGCAAGCTATTATGCGGAGAATGCCCTCACCAAAGACGCTCTCAAATCTTGTCCTCAATCCTGAGCTCTCACAATCACAAGCGTCCAAGCGCTTTTTGGATGGCATGCACGAGTTGAAACTGTTGTGGTCGAATCGGTTTTCGGTGACCGCGATTGGGATGCATAAGCCGCGATGGGTCGATGCCGACGTAGAAACCCAATCCTTTTCCCTATTCAACGAACTCGATGATCCCATGGATAGACAAGATTTTCGCAGAGCTGCGACAACACTTCAAGGCTCCCAAGACGTTGGTGCGCAGCTATTCTGTGCTCTCCTCCGCGGAATCGGTGTTGAAGCTAGGCTCGTGTGTTCGCTCCAGTGCCTACCCTTCGCATCTGCAGCACAAGTTTCCACACCTCCGAAGCCGAGCTCTCAAACGAAGGTAATGATTTTAAATCCATATAACAAAGAGGAAGCGCCAAGCCCATCAAAAAGCGCTCTCACGGCAAATCCAAAGGCATCTACACCAGCTCGACCCAAACGACTATCACGACTTGAACGCGCTTTGGGAGAACGAAGCGCTGCATATAACTCAGGCGTTGCTCCTAAACAAAAGAAGAAATATCACACTGCCTACCCCGTCTATTGGGTTGAAGCATTCAACCCTGTGGTACAGAAATGGATCCCAATTGACCCGCTGTCAACCTTCACAGTGGACAAACCAGAGAAGCTCGAGCCTCCACTGAGCTACTCACAAAACAGTCTCGTGTACGCCATAGCGTTTGAAGACGACTCCACCGCCAAAGATGTTACCCGTCGGTACGCAAAGGCCTACAATGCGAAGACCCGAAAGTTCAGAGTCGAATGCACCGAAGGTGGTGCGAAGTGGTGGAAACGGGCGCTCAAACTCTTCAGGCGTGCAGTGCTGCTTGACAGAGATCAAGTCGAGGACGCGGCATTGGCACGTAAGGAGGCTGCGGAAGGCATGCCTAAGAATGTTCAAGACTTTAAAAACCATCCGGTTTACGTGCTTGAACGGCATGTAAAGCAAAACGAGGTAATTCACCCCATGAACCAGGTTGGCAAAGTCAACGTTGGGAGCTCAATGAATCCGAAAATGGAACCAATATATCGACGGAGAGATGTCCATATCGTCAGGAGTGCTGACAGATGGTATCGTCTTGGGCGAGACGTGAAGGGTGGGGAGCAACCGCTGAAACATGCTAAATTAAATAAAGGGTCCCGTCTCTCAATGACGCCAGGGATGGAGATAGATGACAGCCAAGAGGAGGTAGGAGCGGGACTCTACGCAGCCTTTCAGACCGAATTATATGTTCCTCCTCCAGTCGTTCGTGGTCGCGTTCCTCGCAACGGTTTCGGCAATTTAGATCTTTACGTTCCATCCATGGTTCCGAAAGGCGGCGTCCATATTCGTCACCAGCATGCATCTAAAGCCGCGCGGATCATTGGCGTTGATTACGCCGATGCAGTCACCGGATTCTCTTTCAAAGGTCGTCATGGCACGGCTGTTGTTCAGGGCGTGGTTGTTGCTCAAGAATACGCTGAGGCGGTAGAAACCGTCCTTCATGGCATGGAGTATGCACAAGAACAATCTAAGGCTGCCCAGCGAAGTGTAGAAGCCCTAAGGTTGTGGAGAAGATTCTGCCTTGGTCTACGTATCGCACAAAGAGTCAACGCAATCGAGATAGATGGCGAGAAGGGCAATGTGATGAATGTTCAGGAAGAGATTGAGAAGGTAGACAGAGAACTTGCTGCAGCTCAGTTAGCAGGCGGTTTCTTTCCCGAGGGCGGTGACGCTGGAGAGGTATCGGCCCCTTCTTCAAGACTGTTCAAAGGCTCATCTCATAATGATCACTTCGGGGGCGGGTTCGTGCCAAGTGATGATGACGAAGATGACGGGTTTATACTAGATGGATCAAATGGAGACGACGGACTCGGTCATGAAGAACAAACGACCTTCGGCAGCGCTCTTCTTGCACAACAGCATATCCGCCCTCAAAAATCCGATGACTTCGGTGGCGGATTCATGCAGGACGACTATGAAGAAGATGGGGGTTTTGTTTGCGAGGCGTTTGCAACAGCCGGCCCCTCAAATTTAAGAAGCGAGAAACTAGAAGGTAGCTTCATACAGACCGACGGAGCAGCAGAGGGTAGTGGAAGGGACTTCATCCGATCGCGCGACCAAGAACCTAGAAAGAATACTGGTGAGATCACTGCATTAGCGCGTGATCACGAGATGGCTCAGCCCCTTCATGAAGAACCAACAACAAAGCCTTCTTCACAGCTGAATAGCCCCGAAGAGACTATCACTAGCAATCAAGTTCCAGGTGGTGACCAGAAAGAGATATACCTTTCAGTCTCGTCACCTTCAGATGGTGGATCACTACCTCTAGAAGATCCAGAGGACGAAGACGCGGATCCGGAGTGGCTAGTAGAGGCCACTTAATATCACTCCGGAGTAGAGTTTGGATAGCCGATATTTGCATTCGCCAACACTACTTTCATAGTACATCTCGTCACCTAACGTAAAATATGGCCAGGGAAAGTCACGACAGCAATGTATTCTTGTTAACCTTCTACCTAATTCTAGCAATGGATTTGACAGACAACCTCTACCCTAGTAAATCTCCACGCTATCTGATAACATACTGCAGCTTGATTGTACAGTTCTTGACCTAGGTAGTATCTTCCAGTTCTCGCTACTTCTCGTGCCACGGCCTTAGCTTCCATTCACTTCCTCCTTGACATATTCTTACCCCTTCACAATCTCTCTCGTCCTTCCACCTATAATTCCAAACTAGGGCCGCTTCACGAAGTACCCTCTCCCAACCTCAACTACAGCCCACCCTTTAACCTCAACTTTGCTTTCGATCCAGCTCCAATACCCCTTCCTTCAACATGCCCGCCGAGTCCAAGACCCTTGAAGTCCACTGGCCATCCCGCAACGTCTGTTTTGAAGTCTGTCTCTCTCCATCGGACAACGCAGAGCAAACCACAACTATGATCCGAGACAATCTCAAGCTCACTCTGAATAATAGCCTCAGGATCGTCAATCTCTATGGGAAAGAAATCTGGCCTTCGTTCAGTGATATCAAGGATGGCCAGGTTGTAGTTGCGCGCGTCGGAGATGGTATCAATCTTGATGTGCCTGCTCAACAAGGTCACTCTGGTGGTCAAGGCCAAAGATATGACGCAATCATCAGAGTGAGTGTTCCACTTCTTCAAAGTGAGATGTCATTAACAATGCTATGTAGGCTCCTCCTGAGGCCCCCACTGCAGAGGAGAAGAAGAAACAGAAGAAAGCGCGCGATCGTGCTCGATACCGCGCCAACAAGAAGGCGAAAGCACAGGCAAGTGCAACTGAGAAGGAAACTCTCGTATGCAAAGACCGCGTCGCTGCACGAGCTGCAGTGCAGGAGCTAGCTCAGAGCAACGGACCCATGTTATAAATCTAGTCGGCCTCATTAGGATTACCGAGGAGAACTGGGATATCCGGTTGTCCCAGCTGCTTTCTGACTTGGGTTCAGATACCACTACCCCTGCTCCTGGGCCAGTCCCTCTGACGTGGAACCCGCGGCTTCTTGGTGCCCTCGCTATCCTTAGTGAAGCCTATCCAGGCCAGTTCCACTTGATTCGTGAACACTTCCAAGGGGCTATATATGCTCGTGTGGCAGACCCACTGAATGGGACTAACACCAACGAGCTACTCGATGAGGATGTCCTTAGAATCTTGATGGAATGGCCAGGGGAATTAAGTTAGGTTACAAATAGAATATGCAATGGATTAGCCTCATCTTAGTATCCTATTCGCCCTTAAGTTTCCTTTGCTTCAGTAAAACATCTTCAGTGAGATAGGGCATAACTAATGAGCCCTTCTAAAGTTTAAGGTTGGTGGAGGGAGTCTGCCTAAGGTTTCCGTGCAAACGGCTACCTCTTAATTCCCTATCTGCTTTTCCAAGCTTAAAACACCATCGCCCCTCCATCAACAACAATATCAGTCCCGTTAACATACTTCCCCGCATTACTACACAGCAACACCAAAGGCCCCGTCAACTCCCATGGATGTCCCATCCTCCCCGTCGGATTCCGCTTATTCCATATATCTCTCGCTTTCGTCAGTCCCTCGCCCTCATTCAATATCGTATCCATGTATCCCGGACTAATACAATTCACTCTAATCCCATGGACCGTCCACTCAGCCGCCAGACTTTTCGCCAGACTCAGCAATGCCGTTTTGCTAGAATTGTAGGCAACCTGAGGTTGCGGGAAGTTTGTTGAATGTGCGGAAATTGAAGCCGTGAAGATGATACTCCCGCCAGTACCTTGCACCAACATTTGTCTGGCCACGGCTTGCGCGCACAGAAACGAGCCAGTGAGGTTGATGTCATGGGTTCGACGCCATTCTGCGACGGACATATCGAGTGCGTGTGTGCACCCAACTATGCCTGCAAAACAGCACAGCATGTCGATGCTACCGAGGACTTTGACTGCAGACTCCACTGCGGAGGTTATTTGCGCTTCGTCCCGGACGTCAACGGCTTCGGTGATGATACGTCGGTCTGGGAAGGACGCGTGTAGGGTCTTGACGGATTCGAACGCTTGCTCGGGATTCAGATCCCAGAGTGCGAGGCCCGAGGCGCCGTGTTCGAGGAGGGCGCGGGCTGCTTCGAGTGCAAGAGTTCCGGCGCCGCCGGTTACTAGAAACATGTCAATTGATGTTGGGCTGTGCGGGAATTTTGATAGGTGGGATTTGGGTTAGGTTTAATACCCTCAGATTATACATCACATACTGATGGCGTTGCCCTTGATCTGGAATCTGTACTGTGCTCTCTGAGCTAAAGAGAGATTGTCTGGCGGAGGCTTGGGAGCTGTCAAGGGGTTGGTTAAGGTGGAGAGCTGCATTTCCGGGAGTTGACGGTTGACAAGAGCGGCGCGTTCGTTCGCATTGTCGGGCATTTTGACGATGTCGAGACTTAAATCCTTAAGGTGTTCAGAAAAGATGGAGGCGCTGTGTAACAATGAAGTAAAATTGAGGTCGTTATACATACCCCGCCTCAACTACCCCTCCACGTTCACCCTGCTCCAATGTCGCCAACATCGGAAAATCCCCCACAGCCGCTTTCCCCGATCCAGAAAACGCACCCTATTCATCCTAAACCGCCTATTTCATCTCCCCAAATCCTCCTCACTTGATGCCTAAACCTGCCATATATTAGCCATCCCAATGGCAGTTTCCCCACCATTCCATCAATGTCCACATGCCTGCTTTCGCATTCGCCAATTCGCAATGTTCCAGCTGTGCCACCCCCGTCCTATTCCCATCAACGCCCTAATCAAAATTTCATATAGCACATCATCAAAATGCCATGACTAAAGTCAGAGAATGGAGTCACAGGCTAGTTTGTTAATATCTAGATAGTGTAGTTTGCAAGTGTTTCATGGATTGCTACTACTCCTGTTCGGGCCGACACTGCTCGGGAATAACTATTGGCCTAGAGACGCTCCTGGATTTGCGCGTACTCTACTTCGAGGATGTTGTAGAAGGTAAGCATATCTGGGTTTTTATATAAGATATAGCGCTCGATCTACAGACTCCTGTCCTAAGATCAAGCTGATTGACTACTTTTTTCGTCGTCATGAAGCCCTCTTTGGTGACTAGTCTCATTGCATTTGCAAATGGAGCATACGCCCATGGAGGTGTTTATTCGTACGAAATTGATGGTGTGCATTATGATGGGTATGTCTCGTCCCTCTTATCTTAATTCTACTAACATGTATCTGAGGTACAAATGGTTCGACCCACCAGACAACCAAACTAATCTCATGCAACGTCGATGGTACTACTGGCCCGTCCAAGATCCGCTCTCAGAAAATATAACCTGCAATTGTGCGTGATCCAACAATAATCCAAACAGTTTTAATCAACTCTCCGGGATAAGATTAAACTACATAAACCCTTATTACACTTTCGTCTCTACTAAACCCCCTTCCAGACAACGGCGCCGCAGTCCCTTCGGCTTTCCACGCCCCCGTCCACGCCGGCCACACCATTACCGCAAACTGGTCCAACAACTACCCCTTCGACAAACCCGGCGAACCCTTCTACTGCGACCCCGCCATGACGAACCGCACTTGTCCCGCCGGCTTCACCTGCGACTTCTCCTGTATGTACCACCACTGGTACCACGGACACGGACCTCTAACAGCCTACCTTGCCCGTTGTCCCCCTTCCCCCAACGGCTGCTCTGACGCCAATCCCTCCACCCTTTCGTGGTTCAAAATCGCTGAAGAAGGCCTGCGGCCAAACCATAGCATCACTGACGCTGGAGCATGGATGCAAGGTGATTTAGGGGCGACAGTGGACCATGCAGCTCCAGGCTGGACTGTGCGAATCCCCGCGAGGCTCCGGGCTGGGAATTATTTGATTCGGCATGAAATCCTGATGATTGAGCTCGATCCACCGCAATTCTATCCGGAGTGTGCACAGTTGGCGATTGAGGGTGATGGGGATGCAGAGCCCGGACAGGAGTATTTGGTCAAGTTTCCTGGGGCGTATCAGTGGAGTGATCCGGGGATTAAGGTTAGTGGAACGTTGTACTATCCCGAGGGTAGGGCTACAAGGGTGAGTTTGAACCTGTTTTTGCTAGGTTATTGAGGAAAATAAGTTCTGACGTTGGTAGAATTATACTGTGCCTGGGCCAAAGATATGGACAGGGGAATTTTGAGATAACGGTTAAAAATGGGGGGATGAACTGAGCGGGCGTGGAAAGAAACAAAGGAGATCTGAAGAGCAAGAGTGGAAAGTTTGGATAAATGTTGATTAGAGCTTCAAACGAGTACTACTAATATGATACACGATGATACTTATGCAATCTAATGCATCAGCAAACATATCCAGAAAGCATACACATGAACATGTCCAAAATGGTGTAGCAAACCACAGCTATGGTGCCCCATGCTGTTCCTTTGGGATGGCTTGAGCAGCTGGGCCGTCTTTCGCAGGCCCTTGCGTCCTACCTCCTCTTCCGCCACCGCGACTGCCTCTGTAACCCTTGCCCCTTCCCCTACCTCTTTCGCCGCCTTCCTGTTCTGGGATTGATTTTGGAACCGTAGACTCATGAGGCACGAATGTTCCACCGACATCTCGGCTCCCTTTACCTCGCTCAGAATCTTCCTCGACATCTTTCTTGTCTTTCCCCTTATTTTTACCTCGGCCTCCTCGACCCTTCGGCCTACTTCTATTGACTTTAGCGGCCCTCTCATCAGCTCTTTTCTTCTGTTCTTCCTCCTGAATGACTCTCTTACTCTCCTGATCCCACCATTCCTGGAACTCTTGCTCCTGTTGAATCTCCTGCAGACTCCGCTTTGCAGCAGCGTCGCGGACATAGTTCTTCTCAGCTAGTTGCTGAGAGAGAATCTCGTTCATGCTGAGATGATGGTTTGGAGAGGTTGACGAATGAGATGGAAGCGGGATATGGCGGACCGAGTGCGGCGTCGGAATAGGATTTGTTGAAACCGACATTCCAGGACCTAGTGCGGATGCTGGACCGGTTTGTAATGATTTAATGCTACGAGAAGCAGACCTAGAAGGCTGGGAAGGCTGTGACTCTTTCTGTTTAGACGTTATACCACTATTTGCAACGGTTTGGCGCATGGTTAATTGCGGTGTGCTTGGAGTCCGTGAAGGCTGGGAAGGGGTGACCATCGCAGGGCTGTTGATCGGAGTAGGCTTTCGCTGGGACATAGCTTGCCATGGTGATACTGTGGGCGGAGTGGGTTGCGGTTTCTCAATGGTCGCTGGCTGTCCAAGTTGCTGAGCCTGGTGCAATCGCTTTCGCTCCTTCTGAGACATCTTAGCTTGGAAAGAAGCAGACGGCTGCTCCTCAATTGCTTGTCCACTTAGCCCAAGTGTCAAGCCTGAGGGTTTATCACTAGATGCCTGAGCCATGATATCCTTCAGGTCAAGTTTTGCGCCTCCCAATGGCGTTGAACCCCACGGCCTTCCAGGGGCTCTCATCTCTTTCGTAACAATCGGTGACATTGAACCAGGCAATTGAGGAGTTGTGGTTTCTTCAATGCCTAACCCATGTGATGAAGATCGACTTTTCCTTCGAACTTCTGACCAAGCTTCATCTGGCGAGCCAATGGGAGTTTGGATAGGGTGTTTGCTTGCCGACCGGCTCGTAAATTGAGAGGGTTGTATCTTGTTGTTCGTTTTCTCTTCTTCTTCTTCCTCGTCAGACATTTCAAATATAAGATCTGGAACTGAGTTTTTGTCCTTCAAAGCGGGAAACATATGCGGACTATCCGCGCCTGGCTTGGTTTCTCGTGAAGTCTTTCTGCGGTTTCTCTGTCGCAATGGTGACGTCGAAAGTTCTTCAAGACTTTGCGCTCGGAAGGAAGACGAAACAATACCGTCGCTATCGGAGAACTTGTTCGATAGCACAATTGCGTCTATTTTAGCGCGCTTTCCTCTTTCAATCCTCTCCGCAAGTTCAGGATATTTGTCGAAAAGAATAGCCTCAGCTCGTCCACTCCTTGCAAATGGCAGGGTTGCTAGTTGGTTATCGCGAACAACCTGGTTCAGTTCAAGGATAAGATCGTCATCCAACTCGTCGAGGGAACTAGAGAACTTGTTAAGGCGAATCTTGAGATATTGTCATTAACGTACCCGTTTTGCATGACCGCCTCCAAGCTAAGGCACACATATTCTAGAGCTGCATCTTTAAATTCGGAAACAGAACTAGGTGCGATGGCATTGAGTAGGGAACAGACGTTCCTGGCATTGACTAAATTACATTAGCAGCCTTCGTAATTTTTGCAGTATTATACATACCATAATGGCCGATCAACCGTTGACAGATCTGAGACAATCGATCAAGCATCAACTCGTTCGCGACCGACATGACATCCATGATGTGGTCAAGAAGCTCTTCAAGAGCGAGGGAGTCATTCAAGTCCTCGCTATTCACCTCGTCAAAAAGCTCCTCGCCAGCATCAGCATAAATGTGGCGGACAACAAGCTCGAAGAGGCGTGTTTCGACATGCTTAAGATCAATCCTAATCTGTTTAGATTCCTCGGTGCGCCTGCTGGAGAGCCATTGGCCGCCGGCTCGACCTCTGAAGAGGCCATCGAAGAAGGGACATCGTTGGCAAATGATATCAGAGTGAAGAGACATCTCGCCATCTGCAAGTTCTACGATTATATTGCCACTTTCGAAGAATGATGGGTTTTTTACCGCCAATTGCATATCCATGTTCAGCGACTTTCTTGGATTCACCATCTGACGTACAGCTGGTTCGAGTTGACGAAGCTCGAGGCGTGACGCTATTCTCATAAGCTCAGTTCGCACTAAGCGATACCTGTATGCCATCTTCGGAAACTGCCGGGTGACGTTCCAGAAATCCACGATCGAGTCCGTGTAGGCATACAAAGTTAAATTGAAGACCGTAAGAAAATCCAGACCTTGGAACGTTACAGTAGTTCTGTCACCACTACGGGTTAAAGACATGATATCTTGCATGTCGAAAGTGCCTTCTGTGGTTCGGAACTCGATCATTGCGTTCCTGAATACTCGACTACGCCCTGATAATATGAACTCGTGCGCGGGTATGCGGAGATCCGAGAGGGTTGTTGAAAGTTCCAGGTCATAGGAACGACCAGAAGATAGCATGGATGAGTGGAGTATATCAATTATTTCCGCCTCTAGATCTTTTGACTTCAAAGCACGTTTGCGCAGAGACTGGGCATTTGATGGTCGTTGCCAGAACCGTGGGCTGGGATTTTCGTCATCAGAGCTTTCTTCGTAGTTAGAAAGCTCATGGAAAGAGAGAAGAGGTGCAACATCTTTCCATAGGAGTGGCTCATCGACCCCAATTTGAGTTTTAGTGACATTGCAGTCCTTTCGGATTGCTGCGTATGCACCAAATGCAGATGCTCTTACAGCGATAACCCGGGTCAGGCCTGGAACTCTTAAAAATTTGTAGTCTTTGGGTCTGTAGTCATCAATCCTGGCCGCGGTTGCATTCTTGATTGTAGCTCGTTTCGTCCGTCTCCAGACGCTGCCAGCATCAGTGGTCAAGATGATGGATCCATCCTGATCAACACCAACGTCTCTTGCTGCCATATGGGCTCTCTTCGAGGACCATATCCGGTATGGCTGCGACAAGGCACCACGGATTTGTTTCGGATTGGTGGTAGAGGTGCTGGAATCAAGGCTTGGTTCAGATCGTCGACTAACTGAGACGGTGAAGACTTCTCCGGATGTTGAGAGCGCGCAGATAGTGTCACCACCAGATGTAATCTTACTTATCCTATTGGGAGTAGACTCGTACTTTGTTGTAAGCCAGCTCTCCTTCAAGAAGTAGTTAGTGAAGCCATCCAGAGGGAAATTCAGCCTTGCGTATCCGTAGTTTGCGAAAACCCAGACCTCCCGAGTCTCGAGCAGACAAATAGTGGCTCCTTCTATAGCTGACACAGATGTGATGGATGATGCGAATAGGGAGGCTGCAATCTTCCTTGGGATGACCTGAATCTCGAGCGAACGAGCATCAGAATCAACAATGCCGAGCTGCCCTTCATTTTTACCAAAAGTGTAGAGGGATGCGGTAGTATGGGCGACTGAGTGGATACGCGATGCCGCGATGCCAATGATTATTTCTCGTTTCAGTGGGCCGAAGATTTGACGAGGAATAGTTGAGATGGGGTCGTCGTCTTTGACGCTTGGCTTTGGAAGTGTATAGCCTAGTTGGCCGAAGGCATTATTGCCCCAGGAGTAGATTTCCCCTTCGTCAGTTATGGCGAGTGTGTGATTCTGACCCAATGCAATCCCAGAAACCTTCTTCTGTGCCAGTCCGCCGCCCTCAATGCAAGTGAACTGGTACCGGGTAGTCTCATTTCCCGTTCCAAGGCGGCCCCCGGGGCCATGCCCGCACATGTAAAGATTTGATACAGGGTCAGTCGTAAGCACAGCGGTATGCAGCTTAGACATTTCAAAGTCCTGGATTATGATAGGGGTGTGTCGAATATTGATTGGAAGATCCGCGATCGCTTTTGGCCGAAGGGCTTCAGTGGTTTGAAGAGACACACCCAAAGAAGCCCAAGATTGAACTTGCCTTTCGTGGTGTTCGTGATAGAAACGCTGGAGCAAATGATCCGGTCTTCTCAGAATGATGCGCTCTGGAAATTGGCGATCGTCCTGATCTCCAAATCCAAGCGTCACGTTCTTATTGCTGCCGAAGGTGTATGCTTCATCACCACCAAGGGAGACAAGCGGAACTATAACTCTCTTGCGAGCTTCGTCGTCTCTGTCGCCGCTATCCCCGTGAGCGACTTCGTCATCTGAATCTGTATCATGGACGGGCCCCTCTTCTGGTCTTAATGTTCGATCCTTAATGGTCATGGAGAACAGATCTAGAGGACCGTATCCTTCTTTATCTTTGATTTTGACAAGCCCTCGCGCATGCTGGTTGTATCCACCAGAACCGTGACCTAGAATATCCTGCGCATCGCGGTTGAGTATCATGCGCGCAATGGCAATGTTCCCAAAATAGAAAGCCCGATGCAGCGCCGTCCATCCGTTCTCCGCATCCTGGATGTACAAGTCGGTGAAGGGGTGGTCTAGAAGAATCTGAGCGAATGCAATGGCGTTTTCCAAAGATGATGACGCCGCTTGGTGCAGTATAGTCAGTCCGGTTCCGTCGCGACTGTTTATATCTGATCGAGTCAGATGTACTGCAGCTTGGCCCATAGGCTTCCGTCCTTTTGTGCTCAGAATGGGGGATGCCCCATAGCTTCCGGGGCTACTGTTCACAGCAGCTCCAAGGCTTCCTCCCTGCCAGCCAACAAAGCCTTTCTGTGCTCCTGGTCGTGTGCTATGGGAGGGCTGCTCCAGGATGTGCCGGAAGCTGTCGACATCATCTTCAAGGTAGTATTTCCAGAGGTAGCCGCTCATGTGCTGAATGGGATATGGAGCAATCCTGCCGCTTCGACAAGGAGCACCTCGCTATGACCTCGCCGGGCCAAAGCGTATTTAAAGGTACCGAATGCGAAGCTGAGGAAGACTCCAAAGCAGAGCACCGGGCACTACAATGGCTGGTAATGCCAGGTGGCAAGGGCAGACGTTCTTGCGGTCAGCGTGTGGCTTGAGTATAGGAGATACGGCGGCGCAAGGTGATCTAGGAAAAGCCGGTAGATTGGGGATTTGTTGACACTTTCGGCCTGTGATACGCAAGTCGTGTCGTGGGCAACCGATCGAGAGCGGGCGAACGGTACTATCTATGACGAAACTTGTAACGAGAAGATGGCGGGCTAGAGGAAGTGGCGGCCAGTCGCGAGGCAATCGATCGAGCCAAATAGGTCTTGAGAGTATTCCTAGAGCTTCCGGTGAGGAGTGGGAGCGGAGGGCGATTGTATGTTGTTGGTTGCTGGCGATAATGCGGGATATTGCGGTTTGTGATGGACAGACTCATCGCGACTCATCCCCGCCGACCAATCACGGCGGGGGAAGGTCCACGGGCTCCTTCCCTTGGGGAACGTTCCTCATTCACCACTCTACTTCACGATATCCGATGGGTACACATGGCATGGGACACAAGAAGGATTTGAAGGGTTGTTAATGTTAGAGAGTAGATGCCTCCACCGGTAGCTCAGCCTATATATTGAAGCGCACGTTCGTTCTCCACACTGACCTGGCGGTGAACGTTCTCTCTGCAAATGGTGGCTTGGCATCGATTTTGTTCTTCCACGACTTTGGTAAGTGTAGCTGGCGAAGAAGAGCAATTGTAGTCGAGAGAGGCTGCGCTTGTTGCAGAAGCAGTATGGCACCACTCGAGCCTCTTCCAAGAGATATTGATCGTCGGCGTTGAGGGTACCGTGCAAAGATAATACCAAGGGAAATGTCACGCTAGTCGAAACAGTCAACCTTGGAGAGCTTTTGCAAGACTCAAGGCTCCAGGCATACGGATTCCAACGTCTGCACCGTTGCCTGGCGTGTGAACTGGAAATTATCGATGGGGCTCAGTTCCCTGCAGAAGACCATCAGCATTTTCGGCCAGACACAGCTCGTGTCCTGGTTCGCCGTCAGACTCCAGACAGGAGAAGCGCTGGGTCCAATGACTGGGAAATGTCCTCACAGAAGCATCCATCTGCTCAATTAGTGTCCTGCAAACTCTGGAAGTCACTGAATTTCTTCTTCTCTGAATTCTCTCTCCGCATTGTTCTTAGCTGCTTCCGTCAGTTCATGCATACTAGGCCACCGTGGAGAGCAGTCAAGCGGCGAAAACATATCCAATAGGAGGGAGGCGCCGGGAGGCAAACTTCGTGACACAGGCAACAGTCGACGCAAAGCTGCAAACTATTTTGTCTGCCACCTCAACGTCTTGGAGTCCGTTAGCAAGGCAGCTGTCGAGGATCAATCTATTGATGAGTGATGCAATTCTCAAGCCAATGAGACATCCTCGAGCTTCATTAACAAGTCATGTCTTTTGACTATCCGACGTTCTGACCGGCGGCCTCTGTAGCACAAGAAGAAGCTTGAAGTGGATCTTGTGTAACCGGTCAGCACCCACCCCACAGTCTCGAGGGGGTGGCTCTTTGGGCTCACGGCTCGACGAGGCAAATGGGGCGAAGTTCAGCAGGGCTGGTGGAGGCTCTGGGACAGGCTCTGAATGGCGCTGCATGGTGGCGGCCCAATTGGCTTCCATCTGGAAAAGGGCGGCCCCTTGAAGCTGGCTCGCAGACAGAAAGGTCGATGAGGTTGATGAGGGCGAGTGCATGGAGAGTGTCGTGATCTCAGCTTGTTGTCGCCTTTGAGCTGGGTGGTCCTTGTCAATGGAGTCGCCTATGGTGCCAAGTCGGCGCTAGAAAGTGTCTCGGATCGCAGCCGCGCCCCAGCCCGCAGTGCGCGATGCTTGATGGAAGAGTGTGAGCTCCATGCTCGTCACAGCGTCCAAGAGTCAGGACGAAACGCCCTCTACCCTCGATCCTGTCCTGCCAGCAACTTCCAGTACCTTTTGCAGCCTCATCCCTATCCGCGCTTTTCCTGCGCCGCTGCCGCTCGCGCTCTTGCTCTTGTGCGAGCACCTCGTCTCAAGCCCGGTCATCCTGCTATCAGTAATAAGCGTCATTCGGAACAGTCACATGGAGCCTCCCACAGCTTCTTGACTCCCGCTTCTCAACACTCTTTGACAGGCCCGCGCCATCACCCACGCCCAATCCCATTTGACTGCTCCCGTATCCCAAATTCATCCTTCGTCTGCGCTGCGGCCCCATCCATCAACCTCCACAAGGGTCCTTAACCTTATCGCCGCGCCTCAGGCACTTGCAAGCTCGAGCTCTCCACCACAACACCCTGCAAAACACTGCGCACCATGGCTGCTGCCTGTGCTCCTAGCCATTAACACCCTTTCTCGCATGCACCTGTCTACCGAGAGACCTTTCTGACTATCACGATTTGACCCAGACTAGCTGCTCCCCGCCCGTAGCTCTCGTGATGGCTTCCATCAATATCTGCCTCTTCCAACCACAGCGACGATAGCCGCCTTAACTACGCCCGCAATTCAATACACCACCCACAGCTCGTCTTGACGTACCCCTTGAGCTCCTTAGAGGTCTCTCACACCATGCATCCCTACCCTCGCCCTTGGCCGAGAACTGCCTCCCCGGCCAACAATCTTCAAACAAATCCTTCCCGAACCAACAACCAGCGGGATCCCGCTTCAGAGCGATCCTCACCCTACTCAGACACTGCACCTTACAGTGACAGAAGTATTGACGACGGCGACGGCGAGATGGTGGGTCGCACCGAGCAGATGTCGGAAACGGAGCAGAAGACCTATCAGAAGGTCAACCAGGTGATACAGGTGAGCGGCGTGCCATTGCCCTCAATATAAATCACCAATGCTAACAATTCTACAGAATTTCTTCACCAAAGCCGCACTCACTATCATCTCCTCTCGTGTGATACTGCCACAAAGCTATAACAAACAAGGCGAACTAAAACAGAACAAATGGGTGTGTACTCGGCAATCAACTTTGACAAACCCAGTGCTGATACAATCTGCAGTTCAATGTCGTTCTCGATGACACGGATGTCCTCCTGCAAGACCTGAGGGAATGGAAAGCCATGGATGCGGTCCAGGGGCAGCACCCATCTCTCTGTATCGAGATATATCTAGACATCAAAGGTCTGGGACATAAACAGTCGCTGGTCGTGCACGACGACCAGGGTAAACGGTGGGACGTCGCCGAAGCTCTGAATGTGCCCGTCGAGTCTACTTCTCGGCCGCCCAGTCGCATCGGCAAGTCGACGCAGCTTGTGCTTGAGCGATGGAAAATTCACGTGGGAGATAAAAACGCAGTGCATCCTTCAGAACTGCAAGATCCGCTGCCGAATGTGTACAAGAAAGCGGTAGTGCTGTTCCGATCGCTTTATGCCTACCTGCGGTTTCTACCAGCTTTTAAGTACTACAAAAGCATCGCGAAACAGCCTGCAAGCAAGCCATCATTGAAGCTCCATTATCGCATTTTCAACGGCGATTTCAAAAGCCCCCGGCCCGACACGTTGGGCATCCCACTGTACCCAACTTCAGAGGTTGTTACCGAGAGCCAAGTGTTCACGCCGTCGAATTCACCCATCGGCCCATTGTGCATCTCAGTACAATATCGTACCAACTGTGAGTTCAGCGTGGATGACTCGGAATCGTTGTTGAGCTCGCATTTTATGGGGATAGATGATACGTATCTTGAACAGACGAATCGGGATGTCAGTCAGGTACCAGGCTCGCTACCAGTGAACAAATTGAACCCGCATGGCACTCCAGATTTAGGCCAAGCATATGGAAGCATGTCGACCTTCCATCAGGTTGGTCCAGCCACGGGAACAAGCCCAATGTCGGCGCTGCGAGCTGCACGAGACATGCCCTCGTCGTCGCCAGCCGAATCGCCTCCTCAGAAGCTTCCGCCGAACCATCGCATCGCACAGGGCTCCAAGTCATCTCTCCGGTCCGCAGACGCGCCGTCCTATCAGAGGCGGACATCTGTTTCATTCCAGCCATTCAAAGCGGGCTCACTGTCGTCGTCACCTGCCCCGGGTCCAGTCGTTCCTCCCTCACCCGGCAGCTCGGTAGGAAGGCCCGGGAGCTCATTGGGACGCGCGCCTGCCTCTGTCCCGAATGCCCTTACCCAGCCGCGAAACCGCACCTCGTTGACGGCGCTCCCCCAGGCCGCGCTGCGAGCCCCTTCCCTTCCGAATGAGACGGCTATCGCCTCGTCCGCCTCCAGCTCGCCGAAGCCTGCCCCTATCACCCGCTACAACAGCAGCTTCGGGCCCCGGCGAAATCGCTTTTCTTCCGGAGGCGGCAGTAAGACGGAAGACGACAACCTCAGCAGCGGGAAGGCCAGCGGAGCTTCGTCGCAGCAGCCCGGTTCTGACGTCATCAACGAGGGAGAGGGTGCGAGCTCCGGATCCATCAAGACAGATGACGAAAATATATCAGACTTTCTGAAGCTCCTCGAGCAGAAAAAAGATCTGAAGAGCTTCAACCGCAGCGACAATGCATCTCGTGACGCCACAATGCGCCGGACAACCGCCCAGCTTTCCAAGTATCAGAGGATGAAGGACTCGCATGCAGCCCTCTCGGATTCAGTTTCGTCTTCAATGCTCCTCCATCGGTCATCTTCATCGTCCAGCCGCCAGTTATCTAGCGTTCCTCAGATGGTTGCTGGCACTTCTGTCTCTACATCGTCATCCCCTGGAAAACCTATCTCTCCCCACACTCCTCACACCCCTGCCATCCCGTCTCGACTCAGTGCGAACAGCATCATTGAATATGAGCCACGGCGAAGTAGAAGCCGCCCCAGTCAGCCATCACGTGAGCAAGCAATGGCAGGCGTACGAGAACCAAGCGAACGCGAAGAGCAAGGTACGAATGCTATCGACATCCCTACATCACCACGACCATGGAACTATATTCGCAGGTCAAGTTCTGTAGCTCAGCAGAATCGTACCATGGAAGATGAACCGGATATCTTCGGGCTCCGCTCTGCCAGCCTCCCAACAGAGGAGGTCGACCGAGAGAGGGACCTCCAACGAATTACTACAGCAGACCTAACATCCAGCGGATTATTCGCCCAGACGGAGCTCCTTGCCAGTACCGGCCGGGGTGACCAGCCAAACGACACTCTCGGCCCAGATTCACGGGGGGACATGCCTCGCCCTCTATCTACGTCGGATATTCCTGCAAGACGAGGTCAACATACGGGGAGCAATAGAGGTCGTGGGGGACTTTTGTCTCATCACGGTTCTTCTTCCAGTCTCACGACTGGCGGCACGAGCTCCACCGAGCGACAAAGCCGATACAACTTCTCAAGCCGGCCTACGCTCCAAGATGACGACGAGCCCTTATTATTCCAAATGAGCGAGATTGGAGTAGGCTCTAGAAGGAGTCTAGAGGAGGGAAGGGGAGGCTCCAGCACCGGGAGCGGAGGAAAGAGAGGATCATCATGGCTCCGATAACGTCTATCAGAGAGCTTCCTTTTCCTGGTGTCGTCATTTCTAAATGTTATTATCATTTGCAACTTGGCGTTCAACGGCCCCCATTTTGGCATGAGCGGCGGCATTCTCTTCCGTGCTTCTTAGTGTTTATTTCTGTTTGTTTTACCTTTTTCTTTCTCCCCACTCTATATACTCATACATTGGTGTTAGTCGAGTAAACATATAAGCCATCTAGCGAGCGAGCGAGCGGTCGATCGAGCATATATTTTCATCTTGGTTCTGAACATGCAAGCCAAATTGATTGGAATGGGGACCCTTGGACGAATGGATGAACGGGACCGTTCTGGATGCAAATGGCCTGCTTTGAACCCGGCGTATGGTATTCGTGGAGGACTATCTGGGTCTTTCTGTCATCTACCGTTTGTGCGCTGCTCTTAGCCTAGCTCTTGATAGATTTGTAGGGTCTGGGTTACCTATGGCATGGAGTCTGGATCATGGGTTGCGCTAGGTTATTATTGTGGATGGAGTGAGATAGCGGGATTTTCGGGGTTTGGTGTGATGTAGTTTCGCAGAGTAGGGATTATCCACAGTTTGTTCTGTCTGTTGTGTTGCTTGGTTGAAGTAATGAAGGACTGTGTGTTGATGCGTGCACTTAAGGAACATGACAGAAACCAGCAGCCAATTAACAACCTCTGTACTTTAGCAAACTGCTAAACACATTGCTTTCACTCTGGTTACGCTCCGCGATAACGATAACTTGCTTATACGAGTAGCGATAGTTTAGTGGCAGACGCTTGTCGTTAGAGCAGGCCCTTGAATCTCTAAATCATGGTCTGACATGGCCTCGCTCTTGTGTAAGGACCTTTAATTCCTGGAACTGGACAGCAAAGCTTCGTCCCCCCTGTTTGCGGGGTCTAGCTCCTCCTATATCGACCGACAGCACTGTACATACCTCTTTTCCTTACATCAGGAAGCTGGTGTTCTGAATGATCAGAGAAACTAAAGCATAAATCTTAATACGGATCCGTATAGGGAGTTTAACATGTAAACACTCCGCCATAGGAAAAGCAAAGTGACTGTTAAACTATGTAGGTTTGATTGGTTTTGGAGAGAGGGTCATATTCGTATTAGAATTATCCTGTTTGCAACATGATTTGAAGGGCTTGACACTATCTTGTGCCCACGAGTGCGAATTGCTTTCTAGAAAGGAAAACAGCTGCACAATAGTGAGTGCTCAAAACTCTCACTTTCAAAGGAATGCATTGAATGTCACAATACAACATACTAATCACTCTGGAATTGTACTTCTCACTTTAATAGCAAATGTCAACTCAGTATTTTCAGAAGCCTTGCCAACATAATCAGATTAGACTCGGTGGAAACGCGATGTTCTCTTCCATGTATTTTAATCCTTTCCCTATTGGAACTAGAGAAAGGCTTTATAGCAACCAGTCCTTGAGAAGCTGAGCACTAGCTTGCTATTTCTCCAAGACCGCGAGAATAATGGAAAAAACCCCTAAGAATTATGCCAGAAATTTCTATTCCGCTCACCTTGAGGTTATCATATTTATGGGTGAGAAAGAGTGGCTTGAAGCTCTTGAGGTTTCAGTTCTGCCAAAGGTGGGACCAGTGAGGTCGCGTATGCAAAATTACGCACCTCTTGGCAGCCTACTGCTAGAGCGGGTTCACAAGATCCCATCTTCGTTAGTTCGTAATATTCAGATTATCTTAGGGACTTAGTCGCTGTCATTTGATATGACCTAGCAAGGTGTGGTCGCCTCTTTTGATTCCCTCCCCCCTTCTATTAAAGTAGAGCTAAATAAACAACTATCCCGCAAGGCTGCTAAGATGCTAGCTTGCTAGCTCAGTCTTCTAGTATTGCTGAGAAAGGAAAATTCTATATAGCAGGATTTGAATCGCTGATCCAGCTTCTGGCTGATCCAGTGCTGGAGAAGCACTTCAGTCTTCCATTACGGAACTGCAACGACAAGCTCACTCTACCTAAGTTGTCGGCCGGCAACATTGGTGGGCTTCAATATGTCGAACGATCTGTTCTTTGTAGTATAGGTTGCGCGATGCTCGGGGGATTGAAGATTTGGAAGATGATTCAAAGTTCCGCTTCCATAACTTCGCATTTCGGATCTTGCAACAGCACAGGATATTCCTTCATTCGAACTGCCAAATCGAACAACCATGGTCAGCTCGAATGAAGGTATATAAGAGGGAGATATCGAAAACAACTGGTACATCGCCACGGAGCCGGAAGGACGCTCAGAGAAACTCAGGAGATTTCTGGATCCCTCTCAGATGTCACAATGGTGCACCTGGAGATTTCCATGCTGATCCGGAAAGCAACTCAACAAGATCGGTATCTTAAAGTCACTACCAATCTGAAGGACCCACTTTATGACTGCGATGGGATTGCTCATGGCAAGCAGAGAAGCCGAAAGCTTCTTTGAGAAGATGCAAAGCGGTTGAATGACATTCTAGGCAAAGCCATAACTCGACATCGCGAGTTTTTGCGCTAGGCAAGGGACCACGGTGGTAAAATCGTAGCAGAGGACTGTAGAAACACGAAGGATTCTGACAACGTTATTGAACAGAAACCAAAGTTTCCAAACAACAAAGCCAGTCACCTCTGCGCTCGCTCCGACAAATCCATCTACCCCAATGCCACCAATTTGGGTGGTATTGAGATATCTGAGGAAGAGCTATCTCTTGCGCCCTTTGTCACTTCAACGGGACAGAATGGCGAGAAAGTTGCAGTAATTTCGACAAGGTATCAAGTGGGAAATATCTACTGGAGTGTCCATACTACAGCCACATAGTAGGGTCGAGAAGCCAGAGAGGTCTTGGAAGCAGGCCATCGTAAAATATCCGACCAGCAGAAAAGTCAGGAAACGTGATCTACGAGACCTCTGACCATATCTTTGCACCTTCCAAGGCTGCAATTTGGCACTCTATTCCGATCGGACTACCTAGTTCAACCTTGAACTTGAGACGCATTGATTCCAACTGCACTGCAATTTTTGCGGCTTGCATTCTCTGCTCGTTTCTTGCGCCAAACTAGAAAGCTATATAAAGCGAAATCACAGAGAAATCACAGAGAAAGTTTGCCCATATGCAGCCTCTTATTATTCTCAAGATATCTCATCGAAGTCGAAGTCATGTTCAAGAAACTACTTGTGGAAGTCAAGTCAAGAGTCGAAGAGCCACAACATCTAGAACAGCAGAACATATCTGTAAATTTAGAAGCAAACATAGACCAAAGAAATAAGCCAAACCACATTCCTCATGTTAAGACTGGGCTAGATACTCTTGGGACAACTTTGCTATCAGGGACACAGGATACGCGTTCATAGTGCCAATCTTTAGCTTCTTAGCTAAGTGATGGAAACCACCAAAACAACGAAAGGTAGCAGTTATCAATTCACTAGGGACCGGTAAATGGATGCCCTTCCAGGGCTTCCAACGAGGCATAGTACTGTACGATTGGGCGATTTTGAGGCCTGTACGGGTGAGATTTTGTGTATGTTCGTACGACAGAGAGGAGAGGTTGGTGTATGTATTGTAACTGTTACGGCTCACGTGACCTATACAAGTAGTACAATTTAATTAAAGTACGCTGTACTTTAGTTAAAACAGCTACAACTATAAGCCTCTAAAGACGCAAGATTAAGGTCTAATTAGCTATAAGATAACTAATTCTCCCTAGTAATAAGAGCAGAGAGGTCTACTTATGACACCAACAGCAGAGCTAGAGGCGGATTACCTTACCCTGCTCCTCTAGAAGCGTTATATCTGCGCTATAAGTGTACACCTTTAACAGCGTATAATTTCCTTGCAATGTAGTCTTGTTCTTTACTTAGTAACCTAATTGCGCTAAGGGCAACGCCTGTGGTAAGTCTAATAGCTATGTATTACCATAATTAATCTTTAACCACAGACAGTGTACCATTGCGGGATAAGGCAGGAGAGGCAGTGTAGAGGGCTTTTAACTTCTGCAGCCTACAAGACTGATAACAGAGGGATCTAATTAACTAGATAAGGCCTATAAGGCAGTAAGACGCGTAGATGGATAACTCTGTAATAGAAAATAGTCTGTAATAGGTATTTTTAAGACAACAGACTGCAGATGGATAGATTATAACCTGTAGAAAGAGATTTAAGCGTCCTCGCAGAACTTTTGGCTAATTAGAGCCCACCTACTCCTCTAGAATCCCTATACAAACTTCCTAAAAGGGTAATACAATCTGTACTACGTACCGTACCTAGAGCATCATTAAACGTACGGTACGGCTCACGAACTCGGTACGTTCGTACTGAACACGTGACCGTTACGGTTCACTTTGTACGGAACGTAGTACGGCCCGTTGGAAGCCCTGCGCCCTTCTGAGGAGCTCAGTCCACCCACTAATGCAGTAAACGCAGGTAAATCATCGCTCAGTGTACAATTTACAAAAAGGCTACTAAGGACGTTCTAATGGCCGTAGTGGAAAACCATGCTGAAGTCCCTCCCGAGTAGCGACAAGTCACTGTCGAGGAGAGAAAGAAATTACAAGATGATTTCGGGTGGGCATGGATCGAGACTAGTGTGAGAAATGGTGAGAATGTGGGCAGGGCATTCCGCATGCTGGTGGAAGAAAGAAGGTAGGCAAAATCCCGCAGTAGAGCCGCAGGTGCGGAAATATAGCGTTATGTAGATTAGGGTTGTTTCAGGAACGTGTACCACCTGAGCAGGCTTATCGAAGGACGTCTCTTTTGCTTGAAGACACAACTGAGGCAGAGATGTTGTTGGGATTTACAAAGGCACGAGTAGTGAAATTGACGTCAGAAAAAGTTATATCAATCTTCTACAAGTCGGGGAAGATAAGAAAAGGACTAATATATCTACGCAGCTAACTGTCTGGAACATTAGAGCATCTCATCCACTCTAACACATTAATAATCAAATCGTTTGCTACTCCGAACTTCAGTGATCAAAGACCGGTGGATCGTATTTCCTCAGTTCCCGCGATCAAGTTTGTGATATCATACATGCTTGTGTTTTCCTCCATATCTCCATATCCCATTATGACAACCCACCTTCTGACCAAAACCCGAAAAAAAAACCAAAAAAACCTCCAGCTTCTTGCATCCCGACAGAGACACCAATATAAGCCAACGGTGCATACATCCATCAGCATTAGCCTTACGAGAAAAGAAAATGGGGGTATAAGCTCATTTCTGCACCGCCAAGAAATTCCTTGCACGAAGGAGAAACAGAGAGTGGGAGAGAAGAAAATACGCCAACACACACATAGATCAGCATACACGACCAACATTGCCTAGCCCAAACACTATTCTTTCGTGTTTCTAGGCGCGCCAACTGCCACTAAAGAGTTGTGACACTCCGCGAATATTGCCCTCTTGAAAACTCGACAGCGAAGAATCAAGACGATTGCCCACTCTCTCCCCCAGCCTCAACGCATCAACCCTCTCGCCCCTGCTCAGAAAACCCATCAGAACTGTTGAACGGGGAGAAAGAACGTGTCCGGGTAAGCCTTGTACGAAGTATAGTCATAATCTGTCGGCCACCAGCATTTCGTTAGCTAAATCCCCACAATATGAAAACGGTGTTACATGGAACGCAGCTGGGTTGGGTTATGAGAGGGCTGTCATAAAGCCCTCTTTTACTAACGCACTCGCATCGTAATTATTACCTCCATTTCCATTTCCCGAAGAATTCTGCAACTGTTTCTGTGCGGCCGCGGCAGTGGCTTGCGCTGCTGCTGCTTCGCTTGCTGCGGCGACTGCGGCCGCGACGTCGTGTTTCATATCGGAGGGTGGTGGAAGAGGCCCGCTTCCTCCACTGCTACTTGGTCTCACGGCATCCGCGCCTTCGCGCTCTCCCACCGCGGCAGCTGCGAGGTGCTGAAGACCGGCCATGTTAGGCTGTGCAGTTGTGCTCGACTGCCCCGGGGAAGTGCTGGGTGTCGGGGCTTTCTTTTGACGCAGAAGATCTCGGATTGCTGTGTCCCAGCTTGCGCCGTCTGCGCTTCGGTGTACTATTTGGCTGTTGGAGATGGCGTCGTCCATTTCCTTGATGCTGGCATGGGCCTCGACTTGAGTTTCTACACGATCAGAAAGCTCCATCAGGGATGTTGCCACGAGGCTTGCAAATATGTGGTGAAGTGGTGTCACCGGCCCGCTCATCAAGTTACCCAGTAGGTCTCGCGTCAGTGTTAGATGATCGTTCGATGCGGTGTAGGGCGAGAGACGCGCAACGATGATGCGGAGATATTGGTAGGCGAGATATGGGACTGAGTTCTTTGGGAGATTGGTGATGTCGAGGGATTCCCTGAAGCGAGAAAGTTGGCCATTAAGATATAGAGATGAAGGCGATGAAGAGGTCATTGCTACAATTGCGTACGGAGACGAGGGTTCCATGTTGGGGATACTGTTAGCACGAATCAGATAGGCGATTTGGCCGACAATATCTGCGGCACCTATTACTAGATTTAGCAACACGAAGAAGGTTCTCGGAAAGTCGACTTACGAGCGAGGTGATATGCAAGTTCACCCAAAGCAGAAAAGTCTTCACGGGAGACACTGCCACAGTATAGTGGTAGGACGATATCCCTGGACATGCTAGATGCATGGAAACGGTCTAGAATGAACACAACCCAGAAAAGGCGTCTCGCAGATTCAAAGTTTTCATGGTCCTGCTCTCGGATGTTGTTGAGGACCTTTGAGTCATTGAGTCCAAGTTCAGAGATGCGTCCGGCTAGCCGACCTAGCAATTCGGCCGTATTCGTCATTCCAGCAGGGCCGAATTTATCGGACGCGAAGGCTAAGAACGCCAGTGATTGACAATAGACTATTTGGTTGTAGAGCTGGCGCGAGCTGTCCACGTCGGCGAGCGTTTGCTGTGTCATATCTACAACCTCCAGGCATCGGTGCATTAGTTGGAGAGGGCTGCTGTCTGTGGGTAGAAGGTTCAGTGGAGCAAACGAGCGGACCCCGCATTCTAGAGCCAAAAAGAATGCCTCCCGCAACTTGGCGGGGCAATTGGTCAGACGATTCAATGAGCTTGGATCCTGGGCGAGGATGGGCAAGATGGGGTGGATGGCAGTCCAGTATCTGAACACTATTAGTTTTCGTTCGGATTGAGCCTCATAGCAAAAAAAAACAAACAAAAAACAAAACAAAGGGATAGGCCTAGAGGCAATATTCTTGCACTTGAAGTGAGCTGTGTGAAGTCATGCAAGACCAGGTAGAGAGATTGCCAAGTCTGGAAGAAGGTGGAGGCTGGGGTTCTGGGGTTCTGGAAGAGAACGCTAGCTTACGCTTTGATTACGCCCTCGTTGGAACCCGTGATAAGACTACCTACTAAAGCCATGTCGTCATAAGAAGGGCGCCGGTGTATAGCTTGAACAGCACCGTTGGACGGGTATTCTGCAAAGGTTAACACGAATGCTCGATGGGGATGAGAGGTGTATGTACCTCGGTCCTGGCCGGACCAGCCCATCTGGCGGTTTGAGGTTCCGTAAGAGTCTTGCATGCCTTCAGAGATGGAATGTGTGCGCTTCCGAGTAAACTGTGACGGCGTCTGGATGTCTGGCAAACCCTGATCTCCAACACTCATATAATCGTAGCCTGGGCCTGGGGCATGTGGATGCTGTATCTGGCTCTCTAGGGAATTCAGGCGATCGGCCAACTCCTTGATGTAACTAGGGCCTGTAAGTACAGTGAGCTGGGCCCGACTGCAGATGAACCTACCCTTTACTTGGCCCGCGTTTCATGGGTTGTCGACTGAACTGACAACGCGCGCCAGTCCGCTTGCAGCTAGAACAAGCCTCTGGACCATTCTCGCTAGTCGCATCGCACCGAATCTGCGCATTGTGAGTAGGATATATTGCGACTGGAGTTGCGGCCATACCTTCTTCCGGCGACACTCATCGCAAGCGCGCGAAACCTTGGATCGCTTCCGACTCGACCCCCCGTCGTGGTCGCTGTAGGACATGTGCTCCTCCAGATTCATGACAGACTGCGCCATTGCCTGCGGCGAGTGCGTCGGACGCGGTGGAGTCTGGAATTGGTGATGGGCGTTCAGCGCGGCATTCATCTGGTGGGTTTGCGGGGCGCCAGCATGCATCATCTCGGAGCTTCTCTGGAGCTGCTGGGCTATGTCGGGGAACTGGAGGTCGGGGTCTGTAGGGACATGTTGCTGCTGTTGGGGCGGCTGTTGTTGTTGTTGTTGTTGCGGCGGGGGGGTTCCGCCGTTTTGATTTACGTAGAGCCCCGAGCCTCCGCCCATCTGCGCCGAGTCTGCTTCGGTATAGGCACCGGTGGAAGCCATCTAGCACGGCGTCGCGGGAGCGACAGAGAGCGAATGGGGGCTGCGCGACGGGTGATGGGAGGGTGCGGAGGCGTTCACGAGGGTCGCGACGGGAGGTGCTGTGGTGTTTTGGGGATGGAGAACAGGCAGTTGAAGGCCGCCGCCTCGGCGCGTTGGTTTTGGAACGGCACTTTACGACTTTACGGGTTTTGTACTAGCGGCAGAATTGGAGGCAGCGCTCCAGGTGAGTGGACGGGGCATGGGAAGAATCATTGTGGTTGCTACATAATTGTCGCGTCCGACCTCGCATGCTTCTCGATGTTCATCTTGACGCTGCAGCTTCGCAGGTGTTGAATGAGGTCGGGACGGGGAAACTGTTCGGAGCTCTAACAACCGTGTTGAGAGGGCCTCCCCGTTCGATGCCTCGCAGTGCGTCGTCGCGCAGAGACAATACCGATGCTGCCATGTCGACAGGACCTGGATTATCCGTGACGGTGAGAGAGGGGGGGGGTGCTTCCTGCATCTGATTCTCTCTCCGAGGCACTGAGTTAAAGTGTCGCTTGTGCACAGCACTTTCAGCAATTCATTCAAGTCAGATGGCATGGGCACAATGGGGCCGTGATCCAATTTCTTGGCGAGCAGCAGCATTCACACAAACTGTTCACACAGACTGCCGCACCACTGAATCGGGAATTGGGACGGCAGCACGGCAGGCGCAGGAAAAGTCAAATACAGAATATAAGAGCGAGCTGAGAGGCACACAAGTCGACAGCGAGGACAGTATGTTCCATCAGCGTGTTTCAAACTGAGGCCTGGCAACTGTGGATCTGGGGTGGTGGAGGTCGGTCCTTTTGGCAAGCCGATGGGGGCAGGAGGGTGTGTGACGGAGAGCAGCTTGGTAGTGGCCGTGAATTATTTCTGCTGGACACTATGGGTGGACACTCTGGCTGCACACAATATCAGGATCCTCGGCTTGGCAGCGGGAGGTCTTCAGGGACGCCGTCTATCGCGTCACCGGCGGGCAGGCTGGAGCGACATGCTCCAGCATTTTGTGTTCACCACGTCGCGTGATGGCCGCCGCCGTGGTCGACGAGCAAAAGCAACACTGAAGCTCGCGAGAAGTTGCGAGGCCCTCGGGTGGGACTGCAAGTCATCAGCGACGGGGGCACGGCAACGGTCGCAAATCAAATGAAGCGGGCGGGCGGTCGGCATGCGGTGAGCGTGTGCCTGGGACACAGTGGATGCTGGGGTGCTGGGGTGCTGGGTGGAGCTGCAGCCATGGGATCCCACGCTCCCTGCCTGACCTCAGCAGAGAGCGCCAGAGAGCGTTCGCAACTTTGCAAGAAAAAGAACCGGCGCCCCATCGCGAATCGGCCGCAAGCTCTGACGATACCGCGCTAGGCCCAAACCTGTCTCGAAGGCCCCGCCAGGGCTCCGCTCCCAGCGCTCCTAGTCCTTGGTTCTTTTGCTCGCTGGTCCCGCCTTCTGCCCTCGCTCGTTCTTAAACCTCACACTTCCGTCCCATCACAGCTTCACCGTCTGCCGTTTTGGCCTCCCCAACGAGCTCCTGTTCCCACGCGTTACGGCCAGCGCCATCTGGTGCACGGCTCGGCCTCCTCTCCTCCCTCTTGTGACCCTCGACTCCCCTCTCCGCTCTTGGTCCCCATCCTCGGTGTCGTTTCTGGCGTTCAACGGTTCTCTGCTGCCACCCTGCCCCCGGCGTTCGTTCCTCCCAATTCCTTCGATACCCACGGCGCGTCCCGCCATTGCTAGTCCCAACTGTCCATATTCGCTATTCCTCCTTCGTCCTCCCCCCCTCCCCCCCCGCCTGCAGTGATCTGCGCACTCGTCTATATTTTGCATTTGCTCCAGCTTTATCCTTTTAGCCTCACCTCCCACCCCGCTGCCCTTGTCCGCCACCCTCCAGCGAGGTGCGCCCACCGTTATCGGCTCCTCCCTTGTCCTCAAGCATGCCGCTCATCAATGGAGAGAAGTTCGCGTGTCAGTCCTGCATCAAAGGTCACCGTGTGAGCGGTTGCACGCATACTGGTACCACCCCTTGTCTGAGTCGCAAACAGAACCCTTGCGCTAATTCCTACCCTTGCAGATCGCGAGCTGCAACACATCAACCCCAAGGGTCGTCCTGTCAAGCAATGCGAGCACTGTCGCGGTGCGCGCAAGTCCAAGTCCCACCACGCCAAGTGCGACTGTGGCGAGAAGAAGGACAAGGGCAAGCTGAAAGACAGAGGCGACGCGAAGGGTGAGATTCTAGCTGATGTCGATGTCGACGGTGTCTCTAATCATGCTGCAGTCGGTGAGAACGCTTGCTGCTGCCATTCTGGCGCCAAATGCATCTGTGGCTTGAAGAGTGACATCTTCGACCTGAAGCTAGACACTGGCAGACACTCTCTCCACGGCGCGAGAACGAAACCCAAGCTCACTTCTACTCACTCTGAAAGCACGCTGACTGTGTTTGCCAACGGTCACCACAAGCCGTGTCACCGCAACAACAACACTGCCCACGTTTCTGGCGCCCCATACAAGATCCCTCGGCCCCACACTCTTCACGGTCACGCCGCGTTTGCCGCATGCTCGCAAGGAAATGGGTTTGGGCGCTCGGAAAGTATGCCCCAGCGCTCTGCGGACACCCTCTCGGTGACGAACAACGATTTCCACGCCATATTTGGGTCTACTCCGCGTGAGATGGGAAGCCCAATCACGCCTCTGACAGGGACGCTTGATGGAAATGGCATTGGCGATGCTCTGTTCACTGCCCAGGGCTCGGCATTTGCTCAGGATGGCAATTCGCCCGAGAGCCAGTTGGAGGAATCAGTATCCACCCAGCAATGGCCATGGACCAACTCCAACACGACTCTTAACAGGAACTTCGGATTCGGCAGCCTTTCAACCTCGCCTTCCCAAGATTGCCTTCCCAGCCTCGAAAATGAATGGAACATTCCTTCCGCGGGTTTGAACACCAACAATTCGGTGTGGTCTGCTGGGGACCTTCCGCTGGATCCTAACAAGCTAAATGACAGCCTGACCCAACCTATCTCGCATAGTGGCGAGTCGAACAAGCATAGCTTGCCGGGCCTAACGACAGGTTCGTCAACCCAATCGGAGAACGGGGAAACCGCATTTATTGGAGACGTGGAATTTAGAAACCCGCCATCGGCGGTGAGCGATTCGCTCTTTTGGGAAGACAGCCCAGCACACCGGTTAGCAACCTCCATATCAAGCGAAGTGCGAACAGCCCCAACCTCTGTTCCGTCTGTGGGTGCTGTGGAGCCCCAGATTTTGGATCTCGATTACAGCAATCAAGCCAATGAGGGGTCACCATTCAAGTCGAACATCGGCTTCACGCCCAATTCACTTGCATTCTCCAACTCTATCGACGACGTCCGAGGTTCGAAGGCTTTAATTAATGCACCAACGACGTTGACAGGCTCGGGCCAGGCCGACGGGATTACGGCTTTTTCTGCCATCTCCATGCCAAACACCATGGACGACATTATGCCTAACGATCCCTGGCTGCTTGAGCCGAACACCTTTGGCGGACTCAATAGCTTCGACGGAACCTTCCAACCCTGGCTGTAGCTTATTCATCTTGCTACCTCCAGTCACCCTGCGCGTCAAAGCTGTTGGTCCCTTCACGACGCCATGATTCATGACGCTGCTGGATACCACCGTTATTCAAGATTTCCCTTCTTTACAATTCCCTTTACTTTTTTTTTTTTTTAAAGCCTTTCAATCTTCCTTCAGACCCCAGGTCACCTGTGTATATTCGCTGACCCGGCCCGAACACTCATTTTGTTCTCTGTTCGAGGCCTTGTTTGATATTTCCACCATCTCTGTTTGCGTACACCATGGGGCTTGCAAGCGAGCATTCACACTCCGTATATACAAGTGGGATGTGGTGTTGGTGTGGCACGACACTATCTTTGTCAAAGGCGGGTGGGTTTGCATGTGGGGGTTTGCTCCGAAAACTATAGAGTGGGAACTGGCGTTGCATTGCTTTGTCGTGTCTCTACAAGGAATGGGAAAATATTCTGTTCGCTTCACAACCTTTGCAGTGCCTGAGGATGAAGTTCATTGTGCATCAACCACATGTATGACATGGCACTGCACTCCTCTCCCGAACCCTTGCTGACAGAGTGACGTCCACATTGCAGGGAATGAACCCCCACTAGCCGTCCCCCATCCGCTCACCCCCTCCCAAGGCTGGCTGCAGCAGAGATTTCGGAGAAGCTGATTGACTGGCCGACGTGCTATCAGGCAAACCTAAATCTGAATCGTAAAAAATCCGCCATGGAGAAGAACGAGTGGCAGTGCGGCACCCCCTCCACCACAGCTTTGTGTGCTCCCACCTCGCGATGCTTTTTGCGGCGGGGGACGCCGACGTCCAGCCACGATAGACGAACGGGCGCCTCTTGCGAAAACGCAAGGCTCGAGATGCGCATTTGAAGCGACGAACTTCTACTCCCATGGATGATGGTGGTTGGATGCGGGTGGCCAAGCCGCTGAGCTGTCCACAAGGAATCATTCAAGCTCACCGACAAAGACTCCAGCGAGAGGGAACCCATGACCATCGCCCGCGAGCATTGCACTGATTCGAGTTGCTTACGTCTGGTCGGCACAGACACAGCCTCTTCTTCGCCTCGCATCATTGCTGGAAGATGCAAGTAAACGCTGACCAACCAGGTGCCTTTGCAAAACGGACTGCTCCTGGTACGGAAGCTGGTAACCTGGAGCTTCATCAAAATAGGACAGCTGCTGAGGCACTGCGCCGCGATTCCAATAGCGAAAATGTCTCATCTAGGACCTGCAGAAATACGGAAATTGATCACAGACATCACGAGCGTCAACGTGCTGCACACACCGGTCTGTTTCTCCATCATCGGTCAAGCGCTGCTACAGCGGCCAGAGCGGTCGCGCGTATCCAGTCGCAGCTGCGCGAAGCGAGGGATGGATGGATGGACGGATTGATGGGATGGCGACACGATGCATGTGTTGGCTACCACCACAGGCCTAAACTGCTCCTGTATTGACGTCTCAAATTGGCCGCATGGCTTTGAACAAGAGCAATTCGTGTCGCCAGCAGCGCTTGCTTATCGGGAATAACTGCCTTTGCCCGACCATGGCCATTATTCCACCCACTGCTGGACCCTGCCTCCACATCCGTTTCCATCTCCACAATCATCGTCGGCGTCAAAACCGGTTCCGTCAACGTTTAGGGAGCTTACGCTTCGCCCTGCATTTGGCGCTCAATAGCCGCCGCAAGACAGCAGACAGCGTCTTCAACGGTAGCATTAGTGACGGGCTGGATCCACTGGAAACAATAGCGTCCATCGAGCTGTTTGTGTATTCAACTTGGCGGTACCTTGGCAGCCTCAGATACAATCCCTTCGAACCCAGGTATAGAAATGCTTCAAGTTGGCGAAACGCCAAATGCCTTACTCGTACTTGCATCGTTTCTCGTTTCCTCACTGGCAGATCATCAACGCCCATTTTGCACGATTCCAGCGAATCAAAAGCGAACTAAATACAGATTTTTCATCATTCGACGAAATTTGTGTGATTGTCGGCAGATCTCGGAGAATTTTTCCTCATGTCTGATCGCCGTTTGCACATTGTCGAAGAAAGAAGCCTTGGGGGTTGCAGGCATGTAGCTCGGAGTGTGTTCTCATCTGAGAAACACAACCTCCTTCTAGTTCTCCGCTGAGGCTTAGTGCAGCTCGCTTCAAGTGGAACTCCATCCCGTCTGGCGCTGGACGAAGCAAAGGAATTTACTTAATACAGGCGAGTGGCGGGTCATAAGCAGCTGGGCCAATCGCTGTCGGTCCGCGGCCATGCGGAAAAGTAGTGGAAGTCGCTTGGTCTCCCTCTTCACCGGCCTTGTTCAACCTTCCACGCGTCTGGCGGTGACAGGAACAGCGAACACTTGAAGTCAAATTTGAAAACCTTGTGTCTCTTAATTACGGGCGTATCCCTGTTATACCTTCCTATAGATGCACAGAGGATCTGGATGCTCGAGACGAGTGCAACGCCGAAGTTGGTGTGTCGTGTGTCAAATTCGTAGCCAATCAGCCACTGCAGAGATGATATGCTCATTCTACCAAGACAACCAAGACAACAACGGTTCAGGGCAGTAATTACCATCAAACAAGCCCAAAATAGGGGTATCATTCCACGTTGTCACATACGTAAGCTTCATCGTCTTTTCAGGTCTCGACTTTGGTCTTCCCAATCTCCAGGTTGCCTTCAGCCGACCGATTGCCTCACTTCACCATCCGAGGGCCACGCCAAGCCCGCCCTCAACATGCACCACCAATGTCTGAAACTTTTTGCTACATCAATTAGAGAACTTGTGGCCACCTGATGCACCCCAGTGTTAACCCCACAGCTCCAAGGCATACGTACAAAACATTGCGGCAAGGGCCCGTCCTTCCCTCCCGCGACACTTTCCAGCCCTACACGATCGGATCAGGGGTCTGACTTGTCTCCAAAGGGCTTTCCGAGAAATCCCGCGCCAACACATTTTGCTTATTCCGACCTCCAGCCAACCATCCTTTGTCATGAGAAAGGCGAACTAGGACCTGGATTTCGGCTGACGGCCGAAGGCTCGCTTTCGTGCAAGTGAAAGTTGTCAGGTTACCTAAAATCTGAAGCTTGAAGTTGATTCTGGCCCACTGATCTCCGTGGGCGTATGTACCCCACAGAACCCCCTGCTTGACAACTTTTGAAGTCTTTTTTAGTCAAGGCAGTCCCCGGTAGGCGGCTCAATCAGCCTCCTCCGGAAGCTCGAAGAATCGAGTTCGCGAGAAAGTCGGATTCGGTTTCAAGGGGACCGGCAGTTCTGATTGGCATCATACTCTCCATCTTCAGTGCTGCTTCTTCGGCCAGTGACCTAGGAAACCAGACAAGTAAGTCTCTGCAAGAGCATTACTATGCTCGCAGTTGATACGCCGAGTGCAGGAAATATCGATATAGCCCCGTTAGGGCGAGTCTTCCTCCCGAACACTTCCTCCTAGCACATCCTTCGACCTGATATCAGGTTGCATCTCTAAACATTTGCATACTGTTCCCGATTCTGACTTCCTTTCCCGTTCCCAATCGTTCTCCTCGCTTCTCTCTTATTACAAAATTTTCATCTGCAACTAATCCCACTATCAACCTGTCAATGATCTCGCCAAAAGGTGCAGCCATCCTGAGACGTAAAAAACGATCACTCCACCACAAAAGCACCTCAACAATGCCAAAACCAGCTGCACAGTCGGCAAACACAACCGCACAATTCCAGCTTCTCCGCCCCGAGCTGATCCAATGCGCCTCCAAATCCTTTCTCAGTGATATCCTCACTTCTTGCGGCTAGAAGATTATGACTTTCCTGTCGAATGATGTCGCTATCCACTGTCGCGGCACTCCGATGCCAACGTCAACTGCTGACCCGGAGACGCCCGAAGACATTATCTGGCCGTCGATCAATCGTCAATGGCTGAGGATTTTTAGACTCTCGAACCAGTAATTTGGTTCCAACACCTGCAGTGCAGTGCAGTGCAATGTGGTTCTCCCGGGTTAGGTGTGTGTTGTTTGTACCCGAGGCTGAAACAAACGCCATCATCTCCACAACGAACGAAGACAACATACGCCGAGATCCACCTGTACATCCACCCACATCCGCAGGCCTCCACAGCGCCGTACTGCACTGCAGTGTCCCCGCCTGCCAGCCCTCTTAGCTCCCGTTCCTCCCCGCCAAAAAAGAAACCAGGGTTACCCTTTCTAGCAACCCTATCCAACCAGACCTTCCTCACCCCTGGTCCACCAAACATCAGCCCTTGACGTTGAATTTAACAATGCCGAGATGAGATAGCGCACGTCGAAATCTCTGGGCTGGACTTTCTTCCCTGATGCTCGTTGCAGCAGCCTTGCAGTTGCAGATTGCGGGGTGCGTACTTCCGCACACGCAGATGCATACACGCCTTACACGCGGCTGCGAGACCCATCGCCCATCGAAAGAGGCTTGGCTGGCGGCATTGATTTGAGATCTAGATTTTTGGGGTTGGGGGGAGTGTGGTGGACTTGCTCGGATATCGTCGGGTCGGGAATGAAGGACGGGTGTTGCGGAGGGAGGTTGTACCGATGGAGAGCGAGTGGTGTTGACGAGGGAGATTCTGAGAGGGGTTGGTATGTACTGTAAAAAGTGCCTCGAGCTACTTTGTGGTTTCCTCTGAAGACTATGTGTGAAAGAATGAGGTACGGCTTCGTGTGTGACTGATTGACACCACAATCGCCAGAATTAAAACGACAGGGTTATCCATATATCGCAAATGCCCTGATCTTAGAAGCAGGCCAATTAGATGTAGAGCTTTCCATCCTCCCCTCAAATCCAAGAAAGCATTCAATAAAGGGACTTCACGCACGTACATATCCTACTTCCAATGAGTCATTTCATTCCCCTAGTGATTGCACGTCTCGCCCGTAAAAATCTCAAACGTATCTCTATTTCCGCGGAGTTTTGATGAAATTCAAAAGTTGCTGAACAATGCTAAACCCTTTAATCGTTCACTCTTAGGGCCTTGGAACTCCATTTGAGTACTTTTATTGAGGTCGAGTTTTATTTGCACTTCTCATCTAGCATGGAGCATGCATGGTGTTTAATAGAACGTAGTACTGTTCCTACTGTTACTAATAGTAACAATCTTGGCTGTTAGAACGAAAGTGAATTGTCTTCTGTTACTGTACAGTTAATGAGGTTATAGTTACTGCAGTAACTGCCTATACTAATTAATTTCTTAGTGTTTTGTTAACGCGTTTACAGAGGACGTTTTTGCGCACTAATATACTAGATTTTGTACTTTTTTAACTATCCTATCTATTGTTAGTACAGAGAAGTAGCCCCTTAATTTACCTACTTCTTGCTTCTAATATCACTTCTATTATTACTATAAGTATGCTAAACTCTACGTAGCACTTAAAGCTTGTAGCACTAGTTTAACACTTTGCAAGCTTTTGTTGCCTTAAGAAGTTAAGGGCTGCCTCTAGGAGCTCTTAAATATTATGTAAAGAGCTTAATTGCAGCTATTGCTTTTTACAATCTTAGAGTTAAAGAATCTCTGCGACTATATTAGCAAGATTGTGTTAAGAGCCTCTAGAAACACTAGTTACTGCAGTAACTGCACTAAACAGTAACTTCACTATTAATTAACTTAGCAGTAACTGTTACTGCCTGTAAGGACTTTTTAATTCACTCTTTCGGTAAGAACAAAACCCTATTGCCTCAAGTAACACCTCAAAAATACTACTGACAGTAACAGTTACGTTCTATTGAACACCATGGGAGCATGGTAAGGTAGATTCTGCTATCTGTTAAACCTCTTGGTGAAATTACGGGGAGGGTTGAGGGAGTACAGATTTCTGTCTTTAAAGTACGCCTGCCACGTTCTACGTTGGGTGATAAGAGATAGTATACGCTTCCAGCTCACTAACCTGGCATACCACAAAACCTAGAATTTCCCTTTACTACAGAGTATCCAAAAGGCCATCGAGAAGATTTACTGCCCTGTACTAAGCCTGCCACAAGAGCTCAAGCTCTAAACGAGAAATCAGATGCCCCGATGTTTAAATGATCATTCAAGTCTGCGTAGAGTCTCTTGCCTGGACTTGAGCAACGGTGAGACTGGACAGGATATGAGTGGTCAAACGGCTGAGAGTCTAAGAATCATATGCATTTGTAATCCCCTTCGGTGTGTACATTTAGTGTAGAAATCTGCACGCTGTAGAGCTTTGGACGATATCATCATATCTTTCTGTGTTTAAAATGACGCTTCTTCGAAGGAGAATCAATACAATGCGGTCAATTCGTGACATCTTCCAGATATACCGATTCTATTTCAATCAACCGAACCAGGCGCTCTTCTCTGAAGAAACAGAATCTATATCAAATTGCAGGCTTTAGAGAAGCGCATGCGAGATAACAAGAAAAAAAAGGGCAAGGAACAAGTAAATGGCAAAGAACCTTTCTCCCCCAGAAATCGTTCAATAGACCATAGTCATGACCATTGTACTCTGATATAGTCTTGATCGTCAGCCACCTGCTCATTCCAGACCCAATGCAATTCGTGCCCAACATATGGAGACATCTTCTACCAGGGTCACGAAGTTGTCATCGTCAAGCTGATTCATCATAAAGTCGTTCAAGGCGGCAATACGCTCTTCCTGTGACTGCGACGCGTACGCCGCAAGGTTATCGGCATGACTAGCTGTCGTTTCTGACATTTGCGAAATGACGCGCTTTTGACGTGCAGTGTCTGAGCTGGACGAGCATAATGGAGAGGATGCCGTGGATGGAATTTGACGAGCGTTTTGAGATGTAGGGCTGAGCGGTCGTACGTCGTTGTCAAATGATGCGTTGAGCGGCGTTCGCTGGACTTTTGCTAATTTGTTTGTGTCCTCAATAAATGTTGGCTGGGGGAGAGGAGGTAGATCCATTGCTCGACTTGATGATCTGCTTGCTGCATTCAAGGCCCTAGGGATCGTACGGGCTGGGAGTGGTAATTCTGGAGGTTCCATTGCTGTGCTTGGACGATGGGCAGACTGCGCTGTATCGCTACTAGGCAACCTTGATGATGACGATTGCTCCAAAGGAAGCTCTCGTCTGCATGACAGATCCGTCTTATTCGTGTCATGATGAGAAAACAGGAGGGTAGTTCCAGGTCGGGACGGCGACAAGGCTTCGTCCTCTTGTATTGGAGCAAGGCCCGAGAAACGCTCGCGCGCTTCGCCCACGATGCTGCTTGATGACGGGCTAGGTCTTGGTGATGAAGATAGGGAGTGAAGGAAATGTTCCCCTCTCAGCATCCTGCTTGATGATGGTGTAATAAGGTCTGATGATGAGGTAGCTGGCCTGAGAAAGTATTCAGGAGGCACGAGTGGATCGGGCGGGGCCAGTTTTGGGAGGAGAGGAAAGGTGCTCTCTCGATTTCCTGGAGCCGAGTAGGCGGATGCTGGACGATCTCTGTCTCGGTTTTGTAGGACATAGGGGTGGGCTTGGGTAGGTAAAGTGGACGCCCGCTGAACTTGATGGCCTGAGGAAGAGGGTGGTGTCGAAATCGTAGTTTGATACTGGCCCGTCACTGGTATCCGCGATGGACTGGGGATCTCTGGAGGTGCCGAGGGATTGACTACGGTACTGGGACCAGGGGGAGCAGATATGGATGAGGGTTGGGGAGATGAACTCGAGCTAATGCGAAGCCCCAGCTTACGAACATGGTTGATCGCTGTGTCGAAGTCGTGGCCAGAGGCGAACTTGAGCTGCATTCGTCGGATCTCGAAGAATGTGAGCGCCAGCCATTGGGTGTTAAAGAGTGTACTTGCCTTTCCGTTGGGCAGGTTATAGCGCACAGCAAATAAGGGACTGCGAACAAGTGCTGAGATGGGTAGCTGTTCATTTCTGACTTCAACATTCAAGCGGCGCATAGTTTCAATGATTTCAAGTGATTCGTTGACTTTCCTCTGGATATCAACCGATTCCTGCAATTGCTTGTTAGAAATTCATAAACGATATAAGCCATGTTCCAAGGTTCACAATAGAAGAGATGGTGGAGGAGCTCTTACCAAGACCCGTGTGCCTTGATGTACTTTCATCGTCTGTAGAAGAGGACCGGATCCGGCCTCAACCCCCCTGAAAGTATCAAAGACTACGACAAGGTCTTGGGAAGCGTGTCTCCAGTTGAACTTATCCGCTGTAGCACCGGCATCGTCGGCCACTGAGAATTTAGCGAGCGGAAGGGTGACAAACTCAGCAGACGTCTGCATAATGGTGCTGCTGGGGAGGAACAGGTTAGTGCGTTGCAAACGTTAGTACGATACCAAGGTCCACTCCGCGATGAGAGTGAATGATCAAGCCCTCTGAGAAGGTGAGCGTTGAGGGGTGAAGTGAAAGAGGAAAGAGGAAAGGGACGAACCTAGAAGTGTTGAAGTGTAGTCACGTGATCCACCGGCCCGTGCGTGCGGCTCAGCCTGCAACTCGCGACTGTGCTGGAGGCTCGTCCAGGAAGTTCACCATCACGGCCAGCAACTTTGCAGGTAGTCACGACCGCGCCATTCACCCATTCACCCTCAACCCCGAATGCGCTTGTCTCGGTAACACCCGCGCTCACACTTCTGTCTGCGCCCACTCGTAGGTGAGCCAAAACCCACCATGGCGCCGAACAAACCGCCGCGAGACGCTTCCATCGAGCGCACCTCTGAATATGAGGAATTCATGGACAAACTTGCGCAATACCACGAAAAGCGAGGGTATCAGCTCCGTTTGCGCGCTGCTGCAGCCATGGGAGACGCTGACCGCGATTCGCAGGACAATCTTGGACCGAGAGCCCAAAGTCGGGCACCGGCATATCGACCTCCTGCGTCTGTACAAACGCGTCGTGGGCGAGGGCGGATACGACAAGGTCTCGGATACTAAAGGCAACAAGCTCGCCTGGAGGAGGCTGGCTGGCGAATTCCTCCCTGGGAGCGCCAATCTGACCACGCAGGCATTCCTCGTGAAGAGTGCATACTACAAGAACCTTGCGTACGCTCCAACTTTTTGTTGTGTGCACATGCTACCTGAGAGAACTGCTTCTAACGTGCAGTGTAGCGCATACGAAATCACGCATATACACAAACGCGACCCTCCACCAAAGGAAATTCTCGAGGATGTCTCTGCAAAGGGAGGTGACCTACTGAGCCGAACCGCCGAAAACTTCTTCCGCCCCGCCAGCAGAGAGACCGAGAGATTGAGGAACGGGGAAGACGACGACGAATCTGAAGAATCCGACGAGGACGGTGTTACGAGGAAGACTCCTAAAGACGACAAAATGGACATTGACGAGCCAGGAAGTAGCGGACGAGTGACAAGAGGTAAGTGCAACACCCCCTCCCACGATCGCAACTTCTAATCCTGCTCAGCTCTCCGTCACGCTCCTCCTCAACGCGTCCTTTTCCAGCCCGAAGTCACCACGCGACAGACTCGCCAGGCCACTGGCCACTTGAACTCTCCCCAGCCTGTCAATGGCATATATGGGACAAGCGGTGCAGCAATGACAATAGCGAACTATGAGCCGCGGACCGCTGTTCCGTCTACCATGAAGCCCGTCGCTACCCCCGCAAATCAGCCAGAGCATTACAGGAATCTGCGTCTGAAATATATCAAGAACAGGAAGAACAGGATAGCACCCGTTCGGGGGATGATGCTACCTGGTACTGGCTTTCCAGGACCGAACATCTACATCCGTGCTCTCCACGCCCTCCGCTCGAAGGAACCGGAAGAGGAAGCATATGCGCTCCATCACCTCGTCAAAATCTCTCATGAACGTGGGGACAAGTATCGGTTCGACCAATTTCCCGGGCTTGCCGAAGCTTTGATCGCAAAGGTTATTGAATCTGCTTCTATATACTATGACGTGAGGTGGGAGATCGCCTACGTTGAAGAGGACATGGAAAAACCCTATGCTCTCAATGGCCTGTCTGGAACCCCAGACCTGATTCAACGGATAGAGTCACTTCGGACTCTTGACATTCAGGACGACCTATTGCCTGAAGATGTTACACAATCTTTAGGCATGGTAAATGAGGCCGCTCTTATCATCCGAAACATGGTTATGCTTCACGAGAACGCTTATTTCGTCTCCACGATCCCTTCAGTTCGCGATCTTATGGTCATTATTCTCAATTTACCGAATCATGCGACGGCAGTCGAACTGCAGCACTATGCACTTGAGATAGCAGAACAGCTGACCAAATTTTGGACTCTCGATGCCCAGGACCCGCTGTATCACTCTCTACTAGCTCAGTTGGATTCGGAAGACCGAGGAAAGATCATCACCTCATTGAGAGCCCTTGGGCGAATAGCCATGAACCTCGAGGCGACGAACAAATTGACCGATGTACCACACAAGGTGCTGCGGTCAATATGCGACTGGCTGCTCGTAGAGGACGAGGAACTTCGGAATGCGTGTCTTGATTTTCTCTACCTATTCACGGGTTTCGTAGATAACGTCGAAATCCTCGCCAACGAAGTCAACGTCGAAGCCCTTGTCAACCAACTCGTTCGGCTCCTACAATACAACGCAATCGCGTACGAAGAACGCCGAAGTAATCCGAAGTCATCGAAATCATCACAACTTGCTGAAACCCCACCGAAGCTCTCTTCTGCTATTGTCGAACAGCTCGTGACGATGGAGGAGCCGGAGCGCAGCGCGCAGTGGCTTCGGACGTGTTTTGAAGAGGATCCGACTGGAGAAATAACGCAGATTTCGCTATGGTCTGCCTATAATGCGGCATTCCAGGACATCATGACTTCTGGTCACTCGTTCAAGGCCCTCATGCCCGCAAAAGATTTCATCACCAATGTGTCCACAACATTCGCAGGCGCGTCTGCTCAGGTCCTGACTGTTGGAGGGCAACCCAAGTACACCATTAGAGGCATTCGACCACGCCTGACTCCGGTTGACCCTGCTACGAAGAAACAATACATGCGCTGCTGTTGGCATCCTCCTGGGCTTTTGAACGGATTCTCCGACACCAAACACTCGACTGCGAAGATCGAATGCGGCGAGTATACCTCTGGTGCGAAAGCAATGTGGGAGCATGTTGTCTCCTCACATTTACAAGTGCCTCGCGACGAGACTGGCAAGTGGCTTCTGGAGCAGAAACCAGATATCAGTATGACAAATGGTGACGCTGTTGGGCCCACCACGCCGACCAAATATTTCTGCCATTGGGGGGGATGCACACGATTCAATCCCTCTGGCTCAGATTCCCCATATGAAGTTGGCCAGCATATCAAGACACATCTCCCTGATACCAGTTCCATGCATTCTCTTCATGCCAAGCACAACCGTACCACCTCAAGCGCCACTCTACTCTCAACATCTGCCCAGGTTCGCTCTGAAAACTTCCAGCCTCAGCCTCAATTTGGTATGCCGGTCGGACTTAGCGGCCTGGGAATGGGTCGGTATCATGGCAACAGCAGTAATGGATACAATCCCAGTAGTGTGGATAGCCGCAATGGGTATTCAAATGGTGAAAAGAGCGCGCCGCCAGCATCGACAACACCCAACTTCCGCTATTACAACACCGCTCAAGACGAACAATCAGATGCCGCCGGTCTCCCTCTTGCCTCGGTCCTAGTCCTCCGTAATCTCGCGCGCCAACTTGGAAAATTGGATCCACCAAAGGCTCCTCTTAATATCCCTACCTCGCCCTCACATAAACGTACATACAGTGAGGCAGACCCCGAGCAGAGGCGTAATACTGGCGCAAAAAAGCCTCGTCTCAGCGACGCCGCGAGGGTGGCCGCGCAGCGCGAGACCGAGGAAATCGAGAAGGAAGAAAAAGAGGCAGGTACAACGGGCTGGGTTCCGAGAGTGTTTGCCCCTGTGAAAGAACAGCTGTGGTTCGTTATGGCGCATAACCTCACATTGAGAAATTACATGGGCGGACTGTTCAAGGCTATTGCTGCAGGAGGGGGATAGTAAAAGTTGTTATGCTTTGGCGCTAAGGAATTATGAAGGGCGTGGGTGATGAGGGAGACTTGATGGGGTTCTAGGGAGTTATATTAGGATTCTGTGGCTGGTGCTTGCTGGTGGAGTTTTTCACTCAAGTTATCCTCCTTAGAGATATCAGGAGGCATATATTTTATGGAGTCTTAATTAGGTTCATCTTCTTCCAGGGCCGAGATACCTCTGGTGTGTCTGCAATGGGGTAGGATGGGATTGTTTTAGTGGTTGTACTTAGGCTCTAGAGTTGGCTACTTACTCGAGTTGGAACGCCGAGGGCTACCGGTCGTATGATGAATGGCAGTATACGTTGTGGAGAATATGTGATTGATATCAGGATTTCAAACTTATTGCAAATCACCCTGTGCCCAGGATCTGATTTGTTGTTAACTTCAATTCAGAAACAATTATCAGGATTTTAGTAGCAAGATAACAGGATCTTAAGCTAAGTTGGGGAGAAATAACGGAAAGAGAGATCTGCAACTCCCCTCTTAAAAATAAAAGAATCTCTGTAAATCATTATAAACCCGTTCCCAACGTAAATGAATAATTCTGTATTTTTCAGATCCGCATATTACGCAGCCCAGCACCAGCAACCCTCCCTTGATCCTTAAATCTATCGCTCACCCTGTCCCCACAACTCGTCAAGAAAGCTTGAGCGCTTCCCTGGCCGGTCGCGGAACTTGCAATGGAGGTTGCAGTCGTTGGTATGGCTGGCCCAGCCAGCGGAATTCTCAGAGAGCTCCATTTATGGAAACCCTTCAACTCTGTGTCGTGCAAGCTATATCCTTGATAGGCTAACAGGGAAGGCGTGCTTAAGATACCCGTGGCAACGGGGAGTGCGATTTGCTAGAGAGTTTCCCGGCTGTCTGAGGTGTTGCGGATGCCGGTGGGGTTCGTGCCGAAGGACGGAGTTATGAATAAGCTGGGAGCAGGTTAGCTCGATTGATTGGGATAATATTTCATTTTGTCGCCTAACGTGGAACATGACGTTGTGGTGGTTTAGAATATAAATCTGCATCCTTTAACGCTCTTTATAATTCTAGCACTCGATTTAACGGATCAAGTCTATCTTACTTTACCTTCTTTCCCAATGGGGAATATAACTAGAGTAGAAATAGTATATTAAACATCTAGACAAGATCAGGAAGGATGTAAATAGGATGTAGAATCCTAATCTGAATAGAAGTAGTTTAAGACAGAAACTTGCATCCTATAGATGTCCTCTAAAAGTCTAGCCAGAAGCTGAACGGAAAAACTCTGTCCTATAGTACCTTCTTATGTAATGTAGAACATGACTGGGGCTGAGTTAATCTGTCAGACATCTTGCTAAAATAAATACGAGCGCTGATAAGATGTTGAATTCTGGCCTGAATTACCGTTCTATCTTATTCTACGTTAGGTGACAAAATGCGGCAGTCATTCTCCATGGTTTGTGATAACATGCTGTACCTTAGATAAGGGAAAGGGAAAGGAAAACCACTCATAGTAACAAGGAAGTAGTCGTGATCATCCTAAACACCGAAACCTCCACACTTTGCTTTAGTTGATCTCCCGAGCCCCGTATCCGGTGATCCAGCGCGTCTAGTTCCACAGCTTTGAAGTACAGGGTATGGCATACCCTGCATTTCAATATGGAGGCCCGTCTTCAGGCTCTCTTTTGCGGAAGGGAATATGGTAGCACTGGTTGTTGACTCTGGGGTAGCCTAGAAGGAGCGTGGGCCTAGGACTTTGGGTTTCTTGTTACCTGGTGTTGACGGATTCGACTACGGGGAGCTCTTCTTGGAGACCGTGGATAGCTCGTGAGGCAATTTCGGGGGCTATGGTCGACTTTTTATTGCTATCAGTATTTCTTTTCCAACCGTTAGGCTCGGAGAATGGGAGCTCTCGAAGTCAGAGTCGAAACTGCACTTGTAAGCTTTAAAGCGCAGTTTTGATACATTTCGTTGACATCCATGACAGCACTGACAACAAGTCTTTTCTTTTGTAAATTCGGACAGATGGTAGAGATAAAATATTCTAGTTCTACTAGTGCCATGCTTATATCGGCTTCTGGCTCCAGTAGGGCAAGCGCCTCCTCTGTGTGGGCAATTGCAGCTTAAGTAAAATGGTCTAGGTCTCCGAAGCGACCCAGATTGTACGCTTACATTGGCATCCCTTTGTATTCCATTGGCTCCCGTACCATGGGCTTCTATCTTGTTGGGTAAGTGCTTTCTGCATGATGAAAACAGCGGTTGCTTCGAAGAAGCTGATTGGATCATTAGGGAGTTGGTATTTTGGCAGCTCAGGTTTTTCATTGATAGTGATGCCTGCATAGACTTTCTTCACCCTGTCCGGCAAGTCCCCGACGTATTTCAGACAATAGTGGAGTAGATGTAGGCACTGCTCATTCTGTAGTTCAAGGCGTAATTGTGTCTCCAGTCTAATCTAGTGAATGTAACTGACTCTTGAGAGTGCTTGTCAATGTTCTAATGAAGAATACAGGAAGTGGTCGCGTTCGAAGTGCGTGATTGCAATTCCTAGCATTCGGTAAGGATCCAAATGTTTACATGCTGGGGCAATTATCAAGAAGTTTCCCTACCCACAGGAGCGCGACACTGACCAGTAAACAGCGCCGGCTCACCCTCGCCAAAGCCATTCAGAAATCCATAGTGAGTATCAAATGGCGAAAGAGCTCTAGAAACTCTTTCTATCAGGCCTCTCAGTAGAGTCGTGAGAGGGCCATCCAGCGATTTGATGGACTTCCTATGAGATGATCTACTGATGGTTGTGTACCACTATGAGATTACCGGAAAATCTAATCAGCATGAATGAACACTAAGTCTCAATACCCCCTCCTATATTCACGCAATCTTCTTGAAAGAGACATGCACGATTCCACTTCCCTCAAACATACTCCTACGCTTCCCCAACACATCCACAGCTTTTAACCCCATATCCCTTACAAGAGCCTCTATCCCCTTAATCACTTCAGCATGCTCTGGCGTGTCTCTCCATTTCCAATGATCGGCAACACTATCATACCCGAAGGTTTCTGTGAAGCATATTGTACTTCCCATATCCGCCATCTCTGGCTTCGACACCCAGACGAATCCCGCTGCGGCGCCACTGGCCTCACCGACCGTGATTCCGGAGTGGTCGTTCATGTTGGGTGTTGGCCCAATGATGTCCTTGAGTACGACAGCCTCGGTAGCTCTGGCGTCAGGAAGAGAGAAGAATCTGAATCCTGTGACGTTTGCTGTCATAGCTTTGGTTATATCGTGCGCGAACTGTGTGAAATCTTTCTCAACCATCAGCTCTCCTTTTCCTCTGGTAGGTATGGGGATTTACTTATGAAAGGCTCTAGTCCTGCTTCCATATTCACAATTTTCTCAACTAATTCCTTAGCCTTCTGTGCATCATATACCTTTGTCCAAGCCTCTATTGCCGCTCTGTCTTTCCATTCGAGGACTAAACAATGGATCTTCCCATCCTCAACTAGAGGACCATAGTATGCTGCCCGAAAATCTTTTTGGCAAGACATGATCTGTGTTGCTTCGGACAGTAATTCGGAGGGGTCTGTGTTTGGCTTGACCGGAAAGAATACGACTTCTGCAGCAGAGATCATAGCGGCCAGAGATATAGCATGAAATCGAAAAACTAAAGAACAAGAATGGATGAATTCAAAGACTAGTAGCCTTGATTTCGAGGACCCAAGCTCTTATGCATTCCCTAGATCCTGTTGGCTTCTGGTAAACAGTCCTTGGTATTGTGATCCAAATGAAGAAAAATTCACGATATGAAACATGACGTCAGCAACGCTAGCAGAATAGCATCTCGTCCCCTCACACATGGTACCTCCTCCCTCACCATAAAAATCCCCGATAGCTTATCAACATCAGTTAGATTTTGACGAAGACTGAGACCAAGATTTTTTCACGCAGAAGTTCTATCTATCTGCTCTGAATTTTATGAAATCTCGACATTTATAAATGCGGAAGAAGGATAGTAGCTACAGCATGTTGCCCTACAACGAGAGAAGCGTGCAAGGAAAGGGCCAAAACCCGTATTAGTCTTCTTGAAAACAGGCGAGCGATCCAATAGAAGCTGGGAGATCAATTATTATTAATGCTAAGACTCCAGAACCTTGCAGCCAGATATGGGTTGTCAATATCGTCGAGGTGCCTCTGTTACTGCAGCAACACTGGGAAAGGTTACATGGTGGCAAGGGTTTTGGATGCACCTGAAATGGAACGCCACATGAGAGGATGTCCCTGACAAGCCAGTTGACTCAGCAACCGTGCTAACGCGTTCCAATAGACCACTCATCCGCCAGCTCACCAGTCATCTTACAATCGCAGAACACGCAGAAAATCAGAAAAATAGACCTGAAAATATATCAATAATGTAACAGTATGTTCTAAGAATTTATGCCCAGCCTTTTATACCTATTCTAAACTCTTAGTACATTCCTAGATATATAAGTCTTGCTGTAGTCAAGATATTAAAATTTTGCTCGAATTGTCTCTAATTCTGCTACATCTTAAGAACGTAACAAAATCTTCTGAAGTCTAATATGGAGATAAAACTATCCCTAGTGAGCAAGCTGAATAATTCTCAGAACGAATGATGATGTTATCCCACCGCCACTCAGACTATACTAGTAATTAAAGGCCATCATAAGTCCAACACTATATTGGGATGTGACATACTAAATTCTCGGACTGTGGTTGAGGAAGACATAGAAGCTTACAAGGCATGTGAGCGGCATAGCCTGATGATAACGGCAAATACCTAGATGAGAATAGGATGCGGATAGTAACCCTGAATCTGGTGCACCGTGACTTGCGAGCAGCCCTTTGACCACAAAGAGATTTGGCTCGAAGATGGAACTGGCTTTGTTGCAGGAGTATTTACTGTACCGCAGGAAATTGGTGAATGTATGTTACTTCTTGTTTCATAGTTAGAAGGAGGGTTTTGTCCAGTTCTTATATATTTTATGTCCCACTAGTCTCGTGCAGCACAAAATCAGTTGATGCTCCACAATTAGAAGTCAAGCAGGGCTCGAGGGGCCTTCCTAAGATAACGAAATCGACTTTTTAATCCCTTAATTGACTAAAGTCTAACGACTTAACGCTTGTTCATTCATTTGATTCTCCTTTAGACATGAAGTTGTGCGGCTGTTAGAGTGACTATCTGCATTCTATGATGAGAAGCGTTGTAATCCTATAAATCGCCTAATACGCCCTTGCCACTACCTTGTTTGAACTTGCGACTACTTTTGCATGTGTAGGTTGAGGCGTATAATTCGATTTGCGACCGACTCAGAGGGGTTTAGAGATTTTGTACTAAAAGGACCAACGATCACTGCACGGTAATCGACCTAAGGGATATTCACACTAAATATACGATAGTCTTTGGCTTCGCAATCCCTTGTCAACGGAAGTTACGCCCACCAAAGCCATTGGCATAATAATGTCGAATATCCTGTGTCTTTTCACGGGATACGACCTTGAGAAGTCTGAGCAGTAAATGTCCTTCAATTACCGCATAGCTGTTGCAAAAGAAGGGCTATGCATATATATTGGGGCTTTGATATCCCCATCAACTAGAGCAGAACTTCTCCGGCAGGTTCATGCTGCCCCTGGTCATATCGAGCATGGGTCGAGGCAATATGACACAGTCTGGGACAGCTCCCCAATCGCTACGTCGGCCTTGAACCCGATGAAATTCAGCCCTGATGGCGAAATACATGCTCTAATCCCAACAAAGGGCTCTTAAGACAATTTGGAGATGACTGGAGTGTTTACTGAGCCTGGGGATCCTGGTCAGCTTGCATACAATTATTGAATCTTGTTGCAAGAAGGTCTGGTTCTCCTTTGACCTGGGATGAAGACTTGCCTTGTGTTGCAAAATACTGGGTTGATACTTTGTGCTAGAAGCGGGTGCATGGATTAAGAGCTGCCACCTTCCTGCTTTTTACTATTAGATGGATGGAGGCTTGATACCGACGCTATAACAGCACTGGCATTGAAAGGAATTGCTTATTGCATTTGGCGACATACTAAAATGGACATTACACAAATGCTAGAATTGGAGGAACAACAGACGCTTTCGGATGGTGGGAGGGGCTCAGACGCATACAAATTCTTCGAAGGGACGAATGTCTATGCTGTTGGACGAGAGGTTCCCTTAAGCTGATACCGAAGCAACGTGGCGAGGTAAAGAGACACCTCTTTCATATTTTTTGATGTTATCCTTCTACTCCTAATATATTTTGGTGGGCAAATGTGAGAGGTATCGAGAAGGGAGCACAAGTCACAGAGAGGGAATTCAGGATAGGAGTGCAAATACATACAGTGATAGTAAACCTTAGGGGTCAGAGGTAGAGGTATAGAGGCCGAAGAGCGTATATGATGCCAAGCCCTAGGGTTACTAAATGCCGATGTAGAGTCTCTCCGTTGCTGACGGATATTGGAGGCGAGACAACGTAGACAATGGAGGAAGGTGTAAAGTTAGCAGTGAACCTATGGTGGACACGGTGCAAGATATAAGTCAAGAGCGAGAATACTCTTAATGGCTGGTGAAGACCACCCTGAACGCGGTGCACGTAACGGGAACGGATCACAGCGGCTTGGCATAAATCAATTTTCGACTTCCATCTCAACATCAAAGAGATGACTGGTCAACAACACGTCCCAAACGAAGGCAGATACTCTAGTAGATACTAATTTGACAGTGTTTGTGGAAGGAGGCCTTTGAAGTAGTTTGAGCGAGGACTGAGTATGTCGTGACTGGAGAGTGAGCTGGTTGAGGTTTCTACCTGTGAGTGTGGTGGCTTATGCACGGTAAATTCTTGCTATTCTGATAAGACGTATTCAAGTGTCCCATGGTCCTGTAGAATATAAATTATGAAGATGGATAAATAATAGTGATAGGTATCAACCTTTCTGACGTAGGTTTAAGCTACCACCGCCAAGCCCACTAATCCAGGACTAGCTTATCTGTCTTGCCTCCTGTTGTACTAACTCTCCCGACTGATACTATTATTTTCGCTCCGATCTTTGGGCAATGCTACTATAGGGACTGTTACACGGTTACATGAGAACTCTAGCGAAAATTCTGAGAAGGAATTTAAGTGGAGATAAGCTATGTTCTCAGAGATATAACTCAGTTCGGCCCCCGGTACTGGAACCCAAATAACCTGCTCGATCCACCCCCCGCTGCACTATCGTACAAAAGCCCCGTTGGAATGGCATGAAGGCCTGTCCGAGGATGAAGCTCTGGAGGTCTACTGCCAATCTTGAAAAAATGTTGATCGATTCTGCTGATTAGGATATTACCATGCAGGAGGATGTCGTCAAAAATGCCTGGAACTTCTTTGCAACAACACCCTCGTGATGGGACTTACACGGCGGCTTCCTCGGGTTGATTAATGCTCGGATAAACATGACGCCGGAAACGCTGGAAGCTTTCCAACGTACATTCGATTGTGGCATTCCGGTGTTTAGAGAGTGGATCGATGAACTGAGGTACTTGACGCCTGAAGACCCTGAGTGTACACAATCCGAGGAATATAGATTTCGCTAAAGAGCAGGGCATCTCACCAGATCTGCGAGGCAGGGCGTCTTGGCTCTGAGATTTTTGGGAGCAAATGGAGATTGAGGATGTTTACAACGTTGTAAACCTCAGCTACGCACCAAATACCGCAATTGGAAGATGATTATGGAGGCTATGGTGCAGATCAAAGTACATCTAGATCAGATTCACCATTCTGCTGAATACCTTAGACATGTTCCTGTCGACTATGCTTTGGGAGAGACTAAGTATCTAGCTCGGGACACCAAAATGGGTAATCTACAACTTGGGGCTCTTGGAGGGCGCCATAGCCTGGAATGTGCGATGAAAACTCCTTTCTAGTGTGACGCCAAATAATATCGAATTTTAGACGAACCGGCTATCGAAATGTAGTATACCTGTCGAGATCGCATGAAGGCAATCCCAGAGGGGAACACTGGATCCTATCGAGAGGAGGCCTGGCGGGAAGCGTGTAGTTATATTTCATGCATGACTAAGATGTCCTCTGACATACCGCTCTTTGTATACTTCCATTTCCTTGATGAAGATGAAGCAAATGGCGATTTTACCGTCGCATGGCCGATCCATGATATAATTGAGGCTGGGGCCATTGGACCGCAGGCACAGCAGCTTGAGGAGGTACCTTAGAGCTGCCAATGGCTCCTACAGCAGTTTACATTAACTGAATAATGGAGGAAAGCCGATCAAATTGGTATAGCAAATATCCACAACAATGGTAAAGTAACAGAAGTTGCAAAAGGCAACATCCGTCGTTCTAAACCATGGCCCAGTATTGACTCGGTAGAAATTGAGGCCTGGGAATGATGGTTAAGGGAGCAGCAATCAGGGGCTTGAATGGACTGATTTAACGTATGATGAGGTAAGCCACGCGCCACGCGTAAAGCGTAGCCACACTTCAGTGCACCTTCACAAATCTGACACCTAACTACCTTTGACTATGAGATCTCCCCTTTCTCTCGCCATGTCGGTCCCCGCACGCGCCGCAGCATGAATTCGTCTCGCCCTTTCACCCGCGGCGCAAACAAACTCTTCCGCCCTGCCTTCGAGTACCTAAATAACGTTTCCCGCGCTCCGCAACAGTCGTCTCGTACCGACAAGAAAATAGAGGGTCGTCGCAAGAATTCGGCCAGCTCCCTCGATGATACAGACCATTCGGATATAGAACAATACGCCGCCATGGGGTCGTCCCGCACTAGCCATTCGTCGAAGAATTCGCGCGACAACGAGTTACAGCCTGGCTTCCCCCTGATCGATCTTAGCAGGAGCCCCTCGCCATACCCGAGGAGTCGCAGTGCAGCGCAGAGCGAGGATGAAGACGAAGATTTCGAGCCTGCGAGCTCAATTCGACCGCTCGTAAGTAGCCATGCCGGGCGGGGCGTCTGGAGGCAGGGTGGTCTCGGCGGCTTCTTCTTCGGGACGTGGATGGGGTGGCAGGTGTGGGTGGGGTTGCTGGTGTTCTGGGTCGGTGGGTGTTCGTTTGGGTTGTTGTTGATGAACAGATTCATTCTGTTGACGGGCGTGTATAAATTCCCATACCCGCTCGCCGGAACCTACGTCCAACTCATCCTAACCCACATCCTTCTCATTGGCTTCTCCGGTCTCACGAGAGCACTCGGCGGCCCCCTCCGGAGAATTGGATTTGGCGCTGCTGTTGCTCCTGCGTATCCTACTGCACCAGCTGGAGGCGCCTTTAGGGGATCCAACAAGCAGCCGTCTATACTGCAATTCGGGCGGTGGCTTGCCAACGGCACAGGAGGTATTGCAGGCGGAGGCCTATTTGAGTTCGACAAGCAAGTGGCTAAGCAAGTGTTCCCACTAGCAGTCATTTTCGTGGTCAAGGTGCTTCTTAGCAACTTCTCTTTCGCGTAAGTGTCGTGGCACCCCTCTTGTCTGTGTTAATCGAGACTAACCGATTATGAATAGTTATGCACCTCTACCGGTCTACCAGCTCGCGCGCATTGGCGTGACTCCCATGGCCCTGATCTTCTCCTGCATTTTACAAAAAGAGAACCACAGCAGCTCGACTCTCTCCTCCGCTCTCATCGCCACCCTTAACCTCCTCTTCGCTACAATCCGCTTCAACGTCCGCGTAACCTGGGAATCCATCGTCGCCGGTGTCTTCTCATCATTCTTCGTCGCTCTCTACCCCATCCTCTTGCTCCGCACCTACCGCACCCTTGTAGCGGGGCTCATTCCTCAGGGCGACGTCCTGACAGGCTACCCCTCCACAGCCGATGACTCGCTCTCTAACCGCGAAGAAACCCGCGCCTACTACCGCACCCTACACTACACCTCCCTCCTCTCCCTCATAATCCTCACGCCCATTGTCCTCATCAGCGGCGATGTCGGTAACATCTTCCGCAACATCCCTTTCCTTGATGTACCATTCTTCTGGCTGATGATCTGGTGCGGTGCCATCGGGTCGTTCTCCGTCTTCGCATCCACGCTTCTGCTCATCAAAGCCACATCTCCGCTTACGACGACTTTCATCGCTGTCCCGCGCGGCGCGTTTCAGCTCGTTATGTTGAGTCTATTTAAAATGCCCGCGCATAGTTGGATCGGGGTCGTGTTGTGCTGGGTTAGTAGTCTGTGGTTCTTGGTGGCCAGGAGGGATGAGGGGAGGAATCTAGACCGGTTGAGGCTAGAGGGACGGTAGAGGTCTCCCCTCAGACCTCGTTATGAGTGCATTGGAGTGCAACTTTCCATCACTCGTATAATTCTTTACTCGTGCTTGTCTTTCTCATATGTGCGTTTTCTCGGGAAAGGTTTACTTAACAGATTTTACATAGAAATTGGATCGATCAACCCCTGTGGTCAAAAAGGGGTGAATAGAAGAGTGATCTGCCGTAAGGAGGATCAACCGGCTCGGCCTTCAGGGAGTGGATGTTCCGATGGAGATGGCATCCTGGCCCTCACCAGAACAGGGCGCCAAATCTTTTGGAGTTGAATCAGTAGCTTTCATAGCTCCAAAGTTTCTTCTACGCATATTGAAGTCGCTATAGGGCCCAAAGAACATTATCGCAAAACCTCATGACTTCAAATGTATATTTACCCCCAGCCACAAACACCATGTTTGCGCGAGCGGTCTAGGCGCAATTGTCAGTTGAACAGTACCATGCGAAAGCCCTTTTTCAATTCCTAGTCCGTCCAGCCTCTGGGCCAATCCCATCTCGACCTCCCATCACGCTCCATCCAACCATGAAACCTTCTCAACACTCGTTCAGTCCAATGTATACATCGCACCCATTTCCCCCATTCATACTGTTCTCTCGCCCTACTCCACCCACCCAAAATCCCCATGTCTTTCTCCCCTCCCTTCCAAGCCATCTCCCAAATCTGTCAAATCAAATCGGCTTCTGCCTCTATATTCCGCCCGAGACATGTATTTCGCTATCCAAATCGGCGTGTGGAAGGTACGTGAATTGAAAACGGCTGTCGTGGGGAAATGAGACTTTTCAAGAAAGTTCATTGGAAACCCCATTTATCCATGTTGTGCTGCTTACTGCGCAGCCCACTTCGAAAGAGGAGGTAGTGTAAGACATGGGTTAGGATTCGGTATGGAGGAGACGGGAAACGGGGAAGGCTGGATAGGGAAAGGGGATGACGGAGAGGGGGAAAGGACGGCTTGGTTGTATGTATGTTGCGTTGTTGAGATGGAAGAGGCTGGCACCAGACTTCTTGCTTCATCTACAGTTCAACTGATAACGCTGCTTTGATGTGAAAGTGTAGTGCTAGGAGGTAAAGTGGCAATAGAGTGGCAAACCCTAGAGAGTGGAGGAATGAATTAGTAAACTGCATCTACTCTAAACCGAGACAGCACTACTAATCCTGAGGCCATCCGTTGGACCACATCTTGATTACCTAGATATATCTTTAAATATCGGCGTCTCGAGGTCATTGGTTGGGACAGAGCCATTGCGAAGATATGAGCCCATTTAACGCAGGAGGGGGTGGCACTTGGGAATTACAAAGCAGGAGAGGAGAGCGCCTCCTAGTAAATTCCAATAGCTGCAATTGCTATAAGTTGTCGTACAGGTCCTAGGTCACTTAACTTTGAGTCGGAACTAACCCGTGCCTGTTGCTCATTCACTTCATCCTGGGCAACACCATAACTGACTCCGAATCGGCAGACCTCAAAGCATGAACTCACCAATATGGATCATGTCCTTACCGCAACGTCCATCCCCCAAAGCAAGCTTCTTTTTGCCAACGAGCGACATGGTGTTACACCAAAAACCAGACAGTGCCCAGAATTACCAACAGTTCTGGGGGAAACATACCCCAGGATGTTTTCCATTCAGAATCCGCAGAAGTAAAGAAAAAAGCCGTAACCCGCCTATGGTCATTCGCCTTTGCGTGCTAAGCAAAGCTGACGAGACAAACCAGTAACACCAGAACCGGACATTCAATGCAGTCGTTCCGTTATGCGTACTCGAACAACCCCGAACTTATAACTGGTCCTTGGGTAGGCGCTTAAGAGCTGCTTCAACATCGTTGTGATCGACCACCACGCCGCTTTCTGAACAGCGAGCTTTGGCGCGAAGTTCCGAGCATAAATTGTCGATATCGATTGTACCATCTTTGAAGTCTGGGCGATTGGAGAGTTTGTCCCTGGCTAATATTAGTACTAAAATAATAAATAGGAGGAAGACAGGGGGCATACCAAATCTTGTGGCAGTTCAGCATCCGAGTAGTATCCTCCCCAGGAACGACCTCTTCGTCTGGTCCGTCCTGCTGTTGTTCGATTTCCTCCAACGGATTTGGCTTTTGCACGGTAGGCGTATCACCGAAATGGAACGGGCTTCCAAAGTCGGAGATAGGGAAGGCTTCGTTGAAGAAACCACCGGTGAAGTCACCCTCACCAACGATGGCGTTTTGAGATTCGCGGTAATCACCAAACAGGGTTGGGTCGAACTGACCTCCGTTCTGGTTGGCGAAGAAATCGATGCCGTTGACGTTGGCAGAGGGGGTCTTGGTGGACTTGGCGGGAGCTGCAGGAGACGGGTTGGCGTCAGACTGGGACATCGCACGAGGAATGGGGTTGCGTGGGTTGCCGCAGGCCATATTGAGCTTTTCGCAGAAGGTAATCTCACCTTCCGAGTTTCCATGACACACATAACCATCTGTAATTGTATCCGCAGGATTGTTGGGCGAGTTGTGGCTGGGCTCGGGAGAGGTGTCGCAGGATGAACCCTGCCCAGCTTGCGAATTCGATGATGCAGAGGGAGAATCTGAATGTGTGGATGAACCGCTGTTAAACTGAAAAACACGAGATTGCATTGCGGAACTGTCACTACTACCACGATTGACCTTGTTTCCCGAAGTCATCGTGCTGTAGTCAAAGGGCAGTGTATGGTTACTAAACAGGCCATTGAGGCTGCTGGAGGTTTGCACACTGTTCGTTGGGGTGGTGCTAGAGTCCTTCTCAGGAGAGTTGGCATTGGTGCTATTAGTTTGACTCCTTGGGCTGAGCCGCCCCGTGCTATTTTGGCGAGCTGGTGGGTTGGCTGACGGTATGGAGACAGGTTTGTTTGCTGACTTTGACAGAGGGCCATTGTCGAGGAGCTGGGCGCCAGGAAGTCCACCAAATCGCGGGAACTCGAATTGGAAATTGTTGGCGGTAGAACCGCCTCCAAGCAGGGAGCTAAAGCCACCGGTCACGGGCGGAGAGCGATTCAGACCGGTGCTGTTGAGCGATAAGCGCTTACGATATTCGCGAAGCTCCATTTGCAATCGCTGCACCTGAGCGCGAAGTAGCCCATTCTCATGATTTGTGGCATCAGAGGCTTTCTCAAGCTCGGAGACCTTGGCTTCCAGGTCCTTCAAATGCTTCTCTTTCCGCTCTCGGAACGCCCTTTGAGCGGCGCGGTTTTGGGCTTTACGTTTCTAAAGCAGGTGTCAGTGATGTCCGAGTGAGATGGCTGCCGGACAACATACGGTTGTTGGCTCCGATGTTAGTGGTTTCCTGCCAGGCTTCTTTGCTGTCTTATCCTCTGGTTCTCGGCGCTTCCCTCCACCGTCAGGGTCTTCGGCATCGTCATCCGGGCTCTTCCGTTTCTCACTTGTCTCGTCGCTGGGACTATCTCCGGGCAACGCGCCAATCATTAATTCACTGTTATCACCATTTTCGAAATCGAAACTGTTATCGCCATCAAGGTAATCGGCAAAGGGACTTTCATCAATGCTAATGTTGTTAAAATTGGTGGCAGGAGTGGATTGTTGCGGCGATGCAAAGTAAGCTGCATCGAGGCTATCGACGGAATATTGGAATTGAGAGCCAGTGATGGATCGTTTGGTATCGATGCTCGAAAACAGACCATCTGTATTCTGGTTGCTGGATGCAAGGGCAGCGAGGAGGAGGTCTTGCTGGTTTGGGTCGAGATAGAAGGGCGCACCGTTCTGGAAATCGTTCGCTGACGTTCCAGCCATCTTTGACGTCTCGGTGCGGGGCTCAGACTACTTCAAGCGTTCAAATTGCTGTTCACGACAATGTCCAACTCGCGGAACGTCTAAGTCCTTTAGATGGCTCAGTAGACGAAGAAAGCCCAGTTGGAGGCAGAAAGAGTCGGTGATGATGACCAAGTCCAGTGGGATTTTCGACCTGGAAGTGCGAGCAATGCGGATCAAAGCGGACGGACGGGTGGGGATGGGGTTGACAGAATCGGGGTGTGGCTCCCCGATGTCAATAGCACACTGCGCAGGCAGGGCGCTCGATGAAGACTCGATATTTTGACGGGCCACGAGCGTTCGCTGATGCAGGCAAGATGGTGGAGGAGAGCAGAGGAAGGGATGGCGGCGAAATCGACAATCCACCCGGGCCTAAGACTCTCACAGATGACCCTGTCAGATTGCGAGTGGGCGAAACGGTCCAAGGTCGGAGGAAGGACCGCAAGCAGGGCGCAAAAGCAGCGAATGGCGGCTGGACTGCAGATTTGGAGGCAGTGGTGATAGGCTGTGTGTGGTACGTCGATGAGTCTTCGGCATGATTATCAATCAAACTTAGAGCAGCGACAAGCCGAACGGCATGGCGGGGTACGACCTGAGAAGAAAGTCTGCGAACGCCATCGAAGGCCAAGGCCAGGGCCAAGGCCAAGGGCCACAATGGCGTCGCATATCAGATCGGATCATCACGGCGCTGTTCCTGAACAGACCTTGTTACGCTTGTTAGACTAGTTGCCCTGGAACATGCGCGCCTGTCTGGAAGCTCTCGTCATCATGCAGGTGAGGCAGGTGAGAGGCGGTGAGTGGTAATAAGACGAGGAGGAGGCTGATCGTCAGAAAGAACAGGTGTATCAAAGGCAGCTGTTCCTCCTGTGCAGTGTGCATTTACTCTTGGAATCTCTGCTCGATGTCTGTCACGATCACAAAAGGTCAATCTACCTCCCGTAAGCTGTTCTTGGGATGAGATCCGTGCCTGGGTGTACCTGGGTGCCTGGGATACCGCGGCAGGAGGTTGACGCCTGCAGGTTCTTGTAGATTAGTATAAATATATATAAAGTAGACCTACCAAATCTAGGATAAATTTATCTAGTATTCTATATCTTACTTTTAAAGCTATATACCTAAAGAGAATAACGTACCTCACGGGCGAGTTGGCTACACAAGCGAGTTGGCCCTTTAAAACCTATATAAAATCAAACTGTCACGGTTATGTTACAGCTATATAAAATCAAGCTGTCACGGTTATGTTACAGCTATCTAACCTGTGAGTACCTTGGGCTTCGCACGGGGTATATAGGCTCCTCGGCTTCCGTACCTCTGCCTCCGACCCAAGGTTTACTCTCTCTTGTAGCTCTGCTACACACCCCCTATCCTGCATTCCCTCTCTGTGCCTCGTGCTTCCTGCTCGATACCTCTCACAACCGGGCTCTGTACCACTGCGCTAATACAACTAAAAAGGTGCGAATAATCAACCAACAGTTAATTCTGCGTACAGAATAGTATACATACCTGTCGCGCGTAAGGATCCTAGTACAAGCCGTTTCCGGCCTTACAATAGGGTTTAAAGTAGCTAATTTGCCTGTGTAGCTAATTCGTGTAAGGACTGAGCTCTGTATCACTGCGCTAATACAACTAAAAGGTGCGAATAATCAACTAACAGTTGATTCTGCGTACAGAATAGTATATATACCCGTCGCACGTAAGCGCCATCTCGGCCTTACAGTCCTTACGTGCGACGGGTATATATACTATTCTGTACGCAACAATCAACCGTTGGTTGATTATTCGCACCTTTTTGGTTGTATTGGCGCAGTGGTACAGAGCTCCGTCCTTACAAGAACCATCTCGGCCTTACACTAACTACTATCCCATCTTTACATTGCTTGTGAAATACATTATAAAAGTACTTTTTTTATAGTTAGAATACTGCTAGAAAATCGTTACTATAAATATATATTAGAAGAAGTATATAAATAAATAATGAAGGCAGATATAGCTAAAAGTTAGAAACAAGGTATTAATTTCTAATAAATATATAAAATTAATAAGGCTTGTGATAACTAGCGCGATCTTCACCATTGATCAGTCATGTGGCTGGCCTGCCGCGTCCAATGCAGGTCTGTTACAGGGTTAAAAAAAAAGTTAGACTAGAAGTTTATTAGACTAGAAATAGTTAGGATGCTATGCCACTTGCCATGCCACTTGTCCTGTCACAGCACCCTACTTGAAGTCCTCTGCCCACTGAATAGTCATGCCCATAATCATTCTGCAGCCTGCTGGAAGTGGTGAAAGGTCTAGTCACGTGCCATCGTCAACCCGCGCCAAGAGCGCTAGCGTCGTCACCCCAAATCTCCGCGACCTGACAACGACCTTCTCCACATCGTTTTGCGTACGCAACGCTGCATCACCAACCCCCCCTCCCAATACCAGTCGCAAGCATGGATGCCGACACGAAGCAGAAGAAGAGGGCTATTGGTGACGCGAAGAAAGCGCTTGCCCAGGTCGAGACCAAACTAGCAGAGCTTTTGGAAGTTGTGAGTCTATCTCTCTCGGTTGTCGACCACGCCCGCTTTGCTAACAATGGGGATCACTAGCTTGAGTCTCTGGAGGCTATGAAACTTGAAAATCCCAATCATGAAAAAGACAAGGCCGATATCCTCGGAATGATTGCAGTTGAAGAAGCTAACGCCCAGGACCTCCGCAACCGTCTCGCCGAATTGGAAGTCTCCGCCCCACACGAGCTCGCACCAGAAGCTCCCAAGTTCGATGTCGCAAAGCACCCAATCCTTAGCAAGACGGTCGAAAAGGCCGAGCCGGCAAAGCCAGTCTTCTTCAATACTGGCGATGTCTGCGAAGCCCTCTGGACCGACAACAAGTGGTACAAGGCGAAGGTGCTCTCCGTCCTTGGTAGTGCTTCAAATCCGAAATACCTTGTAACTTTCACAGGCTACGACGAGACTCTCACCGTGGACCGCGATAGTGTGCGTCCGTTCCTAAACGAAGGCAAGAAACGGAAGCTTGACACAGAGCCCGTGGCCCCTTCTGCAACTCCGGCTCCGCAAGCTAGATCCCACGTCATTGTCGGCGCGGCTAGCGTCAACCCTGACGCAAAGCGTGCTGCCGATGATTTGAATAAAGACAAAAATGGGAAGGCTACCGGTCCGCCTCGGAAGTATAACCTCCCGAACGGCAACAACTTAAAAAAGAACCAAAACAGCTGGCAGGAGTTCCGCGCCAAGGGCCCTGGCAAGAAGTTTGCGAAGAAGGATAGCATGTTTCGTGTTGGCGATGGGGTTGGCGCCAAAGGTCAGCATTATATCAATATCAATACCAATATACAGGCTTGCTAACATTTCACAGTGGGATTCACCGGCTCCGGGGCGGGTATGACCCAGGACGCAAAACGTATTAGAGTTAATGTCTCAGAGAGGGATGAGATCCCGGATCAGGCTGACACGGACGGTGATAAAATGCGCGAGATGATGCAGCGCGGTCGAGATGGGAACAGCCGTGAGCGTGGTTCGTACCGCAGTCGAGGTGATGGTCCTACCGAAAGCAAGCATGACGACAGCTACCGCACCAAACGGAATGACAGCTATCGCGAGGAGGGCAGGTCCGGCCGCGGCCATCACAATCACGGTCGCTATTGATACCTCAGCCCGCGAAGTGCACCCTACGCTCGAGGTAAGACAACTATTTCACCTTTCCCTTCTTTCTTTATGCGCGCCTGCCATGGCGCGCCACCCGGAGTTATGTTGCCTTCAATGTTCAATTTTTGCGAGTGTGGTTGAAGGAAGATTGCGATGAGAGGGACCAGGACCAGGACCAGGAAGGGTTATCTAAGATTCGTCCTCTGTGATGAAAACATGTACATTAGCAGGATACCATGAGGAGGAAAGTAAAAGTGGGCGATTGCTTCTCTGCATTTACATGGCGAGCTAGGGCGTTTGGATGGATGATACCATGGGCGGATTGCATAGCGGAATGCTTTGGGTAGCACCTACCCCTCGAATACCTACATGTTCACAAAACATGGGTATTTCTTGCGATGAAGTGAAAGATTCATGCATCTATTTCGTGAGGCTGCCAAGTGCGCTCTCCATGGGTGGCTTTGTTCCCGTGCCCCACCAATCGGGGACGGACCAGGGTCGTCAGCTTCGCGGGCTTCAACCGCACCCTGACCTCACAACTCCTCTCGCAAAGCGCGTCGTGGACTCCTTCGTTGGAGATCGGCTGCGAATGAGAAGAATACATGGGGTATGTCGGAGTGTCGTGAAAGCAACAAACTGGTGATATTGCTGTCATCATGGAGGCTGATTGGGACGAAGTGAGCCCCTCCACATCCGCCTGCACCTAGTCCCCACAGCAGCCGCTTGCATTGATAATTGATGACTGAAGAGATACTAGGTTGCCATCATCCAATTGCCCCCTTCAGCAGCCCACCACCCGGCCACACAGGTAGCGACGTTTGCCTTTGACACGTCGGAAGAGCTGCTCTGGACCGGCAACGAGTATGTGAGTACGTTCTACTGCCTCAGCTTCGCATGTGCTTCGGGCTAATGCTTTTTGTAGGGCCGGGTAACGTCGTTCTATGGCGCGCATCTCGAGCGCTATACATCCTACCGCGCCCATGCTCCTTCCGAAGGCTCAGTGAAGCAGTTCCTCTTCACAGAAAAAGGCATCGTCTCCATCTCGAAGCAAAGCGTACATTTTTCCTTACGACGCGGCTTGGCACAATGGCATTTGACGTACGTATGGAGCGTCCTGGAACGTCTTGGAGCATACAAGGCAGCTGGAACCAGTGCTGACCTAAGGCGCACAGGAGCAACGATTTCAAGGATCTGAAATGCATGAACTTCACCTCAAAGGGGACGCGGGAGATCTTAGTGGCGGGATGTCAAGATCAGATGTTCAAAATCGACGTAGACAAAGGAACCATCACCGACACGCTCACCGCCGAGGCCCAGTACACCATCATGAAGCGGGCCGGCCAGTACCTTTGCGCCGCTACAATGACCGGCGGCATACATATACTTGACTCTGGGACACTTGCCGTTATCAAGATGTTTGACGGCCACACGGGTAGGATCAGCGATATGGACGCCAAAGGTGACTTCCTTGCGACTTGCGGCTGGTCTCCCAGACAGCAATATGGCTTCATGCTCGACCCCTTCACCAATGTCTTCTCGCTGAAGACTCTAAAGCAACTGCCCCCAATTCCGTTTCACACAGGCGCAGCTTTTGTGCGGATGCACCCACGCATGTCAACGACGAGCATAATAACATCGCAGAATGGCCAAATGCAAGTTATCGACCTAATGAACCCTGATTCTGCCAACTTGCGTCAGCTAAGTCTCTACGATTCGTATCTGACCGGCTTTGAGATGGCTCCCTCTGGGGAAGCATTCGCATTGTCTGACTCTAATTCCCATGTCCACTTATGGGGATCTATAGCAAAAATACATTTCCCGGAATACAGCAACCCGACAGAATTTGCTGATCCTTCTATACCGCCTCCCTCTATGGACTGGGCTCTTGACACGTAAGTAATTTGGCTGTTTTCTGGAGAGGTATGAGACTCACTTCCCCTAAGACCTCTGAGCACTATTGGCATGCCCTACTACAAGGAGCATCTCCTCTCTGGGTGGCCAAGCCATATGGTCTTCGAGGTGGGAGCTCCACCCCCAAAGATTGACTCAGCCATCCTCAATACTATGACGCGAAGCGAAATCGGCTTTTTCGCAAAGAATCCCCGAACGAAACGCCGATACCAGGTCGAAGACAAGCGTCAAACTGACCGGGCGAGCGATTCTCTTAGTGCCCCAAAATTCCTAAGTGAAAAGGCCCGAGCGGCGCAGACGGCCAGTGAAACCGATGCAAAGACGGCGGAAACCATGGAGACACTGACTGACATGCATCTCGACGATGTGACAAGGAAAGACGTTCCTGCCATGTATGGAAATGTGGAGATCAAGTATAGCAAGTTTGGTGTCGATGACTTCGACTTCGCGTATGATATTTTCTCTCTTCGAAATCTACACACACACGTTCTAATCAACCAATAGATACTACAACCAAACACAGTATTCCGGATTGGAAACACATATTGCCAACTCTTACGCCAACCCCCTTCTGCAGCTTTGTCGGTTTACCCCAATGATCCGCAATTTGGCACTTCGGCACACTGCATCTCCTTGCCTTTACGAATCCTGCCTCTTATGCGAACTCGGGTTCTTGATCGACATGCTCGAGAAGGCTTCAGGCCTCAATTGCCAAGCCTCCAATTTTTTGAAAACTTTCAGTGGGCTATCTAACGCTGTATCGCTAAACCTGCTCGAGGAGCAAGCGCCAAATGTTGCGTTGACGATTCTGATTCAAGCCTTCAATCGGTTCTTTCTCGATAAGATCTCAGAAGAGTTCCGTCGGATGATACCGAACCATGGTGGCCCCTCATTGATGGACCAGATCCTGGAAACGCAGACTCGGGCCACCACGAGATGTGCGCAGTGTGCGAACGAGACTATGAAAGGTGGCAAGACGTTCGTAAATGAGCTCGTGTATCCTGCGAAGCATGTGGTCAAGAATACCCGAGGCCCACGCCCTACCTTCTCCCAGATTCTTAAAGCAAGTGTAGAACGGCAGGATCAGACACGGGGTTGGTGCAATAAATGCAATCGATACCAGCAAATGGTACAGAGAAAGACGATACAGTCTATCCCTCGTGTCCTCATGATTAACGCCGCTATTCAGAGCCACGAAGCCAAGATTCTTTGGTCGATACCGAATTGGCTTCCTCATGAAATCGGAATCATTGTTGATCAAGGCCAATTCTACTGTTTCGAAGGGCAAGACCTGAAGTTGCACCTCCAACGTGGCGTCTTCAACATTATGGTCTACGAACTCATCGGGGTCGTAGCCGATATCAACAGCGGCGAGCATCAGAAGCCTCATCTTGTTGCCACCATAAACACAGCACCCTCTTCTCGAGATCCTAATGCCGAGGATAAGTGGCACCTCTTTAACGATTTCCTAGTCCGTCCTATTCCGAGGGAAGAAGCGCTCCGCTTTGAACCGAGCTGGAAGCTCCCCTCTGTCTTGACATTTCAATTGAAGGCAGCAAGACACCAGATCGATGACTCCTGGAAAGACCACCTGGACACGCAAATCCTTTACCGGTGGTGGTCATCTAATCCAGAGCCACCTCCTGACGAATTCAAACTCCTCGACCCATCCATCGAAGCCCCGCAACCTGGTCACGCTGTTGCCATCGACGCCGAATTCATCCGCCTGCAAGCCGAAGAAATCGAAATGAAAGCAGACGGGACTCGCGAGACCATCCGGCCGGACCGCAAAGGCCTGGCTCGCGTATCCGTTTGTCGCGGCGCGGGTGAAATGGCCGGGCTCCCCTTCATAGACGATTACATAGCAGTGGCGGAGCCTGTCGTTGACTATCTAACCGCCTGGTCTGGCATCTCGCCCGGCGATCTCGATCGTAATACCTCGCCTCACGCCCTCGTCGGGCTTAAGCACGCGTATAAAAAACTCTGGATCTTGCTTAATCTAGGTTGTATATTTGTCGGACATTCTCTTGCAAACGACTTCCGCACAATTAACATCCACGTCCCGCGAAAACAGGTTGTTGATACTGTGGACTTGTTTTTCAAACCCTCACTGCATCGTAAACTCAATCTCAAGTTCCTCGCGTGGTGTGTTCTGAAGGAGAAGATTCAGGAGGAGGAGCATGATTCTATTGAAGATGCAACAACGGCGCTGAAGCTGTGGAGGAAGTATGAGGAGTTTGTTGATGCCGGAGTTTTGGAGCAGATGTTGAATGATATATATGCTACGGGGAGGGAGGTGGGGTTCAGGGCGCCTGGGAGTGTGGGGTTTGGGGGAAATGGGATTGGGAGGGAGAAATTGGGGATTGGGGGGATGGGGAGGGATACACATACGCCAGAGCCAGGGGGTGGGGGTGGGGGAGAGAGGGCAGGGCAGACGACGCCCGTGAGGAAGGCTGGGGGGTTTGGAAGGGTGGGGTTTAGGAGTCCGATGAAGTGAAGGGCCGAAGGGAGGGTATGATGGAATGTGTTTGGAAGTGCGAACTGAATATCAGGATATTTTGGGTATGTTCATGGGGCAGATATGAAAGGAGACAGTCCATAGGGGATTGCGGGTACGACTTTTGGGGGGAATACTGACCTTAATTGTTTTCGTTTACTGAGACCTTTGCTCAATATCCCGTGTGAATCTTCATATGAGGCAGTTGCGGAAAAAATTGCGTATACCAATACCAGCTGTCATATCATTCGCTCTGATATATCCATCCAAGATGATGCATACTTTATTCTAACCCATTTTTGCCACCCATCCATCCCAAACCAAAGACTCCTAACAGTAAATAGCTAAACTCCTTTTCCCATGCCCGCAACAAGCTCGCCCTCCACAAACTCGCCCGCCACAACATCCCCTCTAGGTAGACAGACAAACCGGCAAGCAATTGCGCCCTAACGCTCCTCAGCCGCATCCGGCATCTCCGTAATCTCTCCAATAACACTCTTCAGTATCTCAGGCACTATCTGCGCGGCATCCCCCTCGAAGAACCAATCCCCCTGATACATGCCACTCGCTGGTTCATCATCCCTGTCTACATTCACAACGGCAACCCGCGCACCCTTGGATCGCGCCAGATCTACGTATCCAGCGGCCGGATATACCCGCGCGCTCGTACCAATCACGATAATGAGGTCGATGGTGTTGGACTCGGTAATCCACCTATCAATATCATTAAGCACAGCCGTCGGCAGCATCTCGCCAAACCAGACTACGCCGGGTCGTAACAGGCCTTTCTTGCAGTTCGGACAGCGAGGCAGGTCGCGGATGGCGAGCTCAGGGAGAAGGACGTTAGAGTCGGAGATATCGAGTTCGCGTGCTTGGAGTGCAGAGGTGGTAGTCGGGTCGGATTCGTCAGTCGGGATTTGGAGGGCGGGGACGATCGGGTCGGTGTAGTTGGCGGTTTCGCTGTAGGAGCAGAAGAAGTCGGAGCATTTGACGTCGAAGAGAGAACCATGCAGGAGTTTGAGGGTTGAAGCAGGGTGGCCGGCGCGGGGGGAGAGGCCTATTTTATTTTACAGGCACTTGTTAGTGCATTTGGATGGGGAAGGGGCAGGTGAGGGGAGGGAGGGGAGGGAAGGAAGGGGAGGGGGAAAGAGGGAGTTGAGGTAGGGGAAGGTGGGGGGTGGGGTGGATAGCTACCATCGACGTTCTGACTCAATGTCATGAAGCCCTCCTTTCTCTTTGCCAATTCCGCCAATGCATAATGTGCGGGGTTGGGCTTTGCTTGGAGCGCCATGTGCCGTCTGTAGCTGTAGAACTGCCAGACCAGCCCTGGGTCGCGACTGAAGGCGGAGGGAGTCGCAAGTTGCACTGCATCGTGGGTCCTCCAGAGGCCACCTGCACCTCTGAAGGTAGGAAGCCCCGATGAGGCCGAGAGACCAGCTCCAAGTAGCGCGAGGATACGCGTGGACCTGTTCAAGTGGGCTTGGAAGGATTCCAGATCTGCGGGAGGGACAATGGGTCGGGTGGCCGTCGAGGCCATTCTGACGGCGGAAGGCACGTACTTGAATGACAATTCGAATGGGCTAAGCTACAAACAGGAGATGATTGAACAGACTGCTGTGGATGAGCCAGACTGCCAGTCTGAGGGGTGAATGTCATGTATGCGCTTGTGTGTGAATGTGTGTGTTTTCCGGCAGTTAGTAGAAGGATGGGAAGGATGGGGGGGGGGGGGGGGGGGGGGGGGGGGGGGGGGGGGGGGGGGGGGGGGGGGGGGTGGGGGGGGAGGGGAACTGCACACCTGCTGTGCCACCGTGAGCGACATGCATGTGGGCGACCCGGAGCTTATCGATAAGAGGAAATATCTTCCCGTCCATCCTACTTTCAAACCTACTCTGGTTCTCACGATTCGAGCATGACGGTTGGATTGCGCACGCTGCGGCCCGTATTAAGAGTAGGGGGGCGTGGTGTGAATCCAACATGTTGGATGGGGAGGAAGCAATTGAGCGTGTCCGCAGCAGAGCTCCGATTTGGGCAACCGCTCCATGAGACCCATCCGCACTTGCTGAAAGCCGGTGAGGGTACAGGACCAATCTCTCATGCCTAAAAGGCAGCTCAGTTCTGACAATATGGCCTAGTTACTCCGGGAATCACAGCCCAAGAATACTACAACCGCCGCGCCAATCTTGCACATGCCCTTCCTCCGAACTCCATTGCCATCCTAGCCGCATCCGACCTCAAATACCGTTCCGGAGCCGTGTTTTACAAATTCCACCAGGATCCTGATTTTCTTTATTTGACTGGTACAGGCTCTGGCGACCAATATGCGAAGAATTCACACTAATTGTGCTAGGTTTCAACGAACCCGATGCTCTGGCTGTCATAGGTATGCTTTCGGCACACCTCCGCCCTTCGAGCAATTGATTGATGCATCTCAGAAAAGACCAGTAACGACTCCGAACACACCTTTCACCTCTACGTCCGTCCAAAAGACCTTAAAGCCGAGCTCTGGGAAGGAGCCCGCTCCGGCGTCCAAGCTGCCCAGGATGTCTTCAATGCCGACTCCGCAGGCAATGTGAACAACCTCCCGAAGCTGCTTCCGGAGATTCTCCAGAGAGCGAAGACTGTCTATACGGATCTACCAAACAGCATAATCACGAAGAACATCCTCGCGCGCTATCTATCTGGCATGGAGCCCGCACGATCAGGCGGCGTAGCCCAAGCCCTACGTGACGCTTCCGGCTCAGGCATCGCCATCAAGTCCCTGAGACCATTCATGAACGACCTCCGCGTTATGAAAAGCCCAGCCGAAATCGCAAACATGCGGCACGCAGGCCAAGTCTCCGGTCGCGCCATCACAGATGCCATGCGGCAATCCTTCTCCTCCGAAAAAGACCTTGATTCCTATCTCGACTACCGCTTCAAGCAACACGGATGCGATGGGCCAGCCTACGTCCCTGTGATAGCCGGTGGCATTAATGCGAACACAATCCACTACGTTTCCAACGACCAGCTCTTCAAGTCTGGCGACCTCGTGCTAGTCGATGCCGGCGCCGAGTACGGCGGCTACATCACCGACATCTCTCGGACCTGGCCCACAAACGGAAAATTCGGTGACGCGCAGCGCGATCTTTATTCTCTCCTTCTGTCTGTCCAGAGAACGTGCGTGTCTCTCTGCCGTGCAAACTCCGGCTTCAATCTTGATAAATTGCACAAAACCGCGTCGTCGAGTCTCGCTGGTGGGCTGAAGGACCTCGGTTTCGATATGTCGGATGATGCGATTGATATCCTGTTTCCTCATCACGTGGGGCATTATATTGGATTGGATGTGCACGACAGCCCTGGCTTCCCGCGGAATCGACAGTTTGAGAAGGGCATGTGCGTGACTGTAGAGCCAGGTATTTATGTCCCAGATGATGAGAGATGGCCTGTTTGGGCAAGAGGTATAGGGATTAGGATTGAGGATAGTGTTTGTGTGGATGATGACAGCCCGTTGGTTTTGACAACTGAGGCTGTTAAGGAGGTGAGTGGTGTTCTGCCGTATTAGTTAGTGTAGTATGTGAGACTGACAGATTGTAGGTTGTTGATATTGAGGCATTGAGGGATTAAAAGATGTCGCCCTTTCTGTGTAAGTTGCGTGTATGAACACTGCATGTGAAGAAATGTGGGACCTTGTTCGGAGGAAGCTGAGAGCATGATTCTGGAGCACAGATACAAAGAACAATGGCTTGATAGCTTCCAGGCGCAAATATACTTCCATTCCACTTCCTTCCTTACTACGTTCTCCCCCAATCACAGCCTCGCACTACTCCCCACCCCCACATATTCAATCCACAAACCCCCAACATCATCCCGTCCTCCATCCACCCTCTCCTTCCTGCCAACGTCATCCCCGTCTTCAACCTTGACTGCAAGCACCACATCCCCAAACCAAAACCCCTTCTCCCTAACCCTTTCCTCTTCATCCTCGTTTCTAGGCACCCTCAGCACGACCCTCGGCCCCTCGGCCAATACCTCCACCTCCTTAACCCTCGCAATTTCAAAAACAACCTGGTTCTCCACCTCCTCCTTCGTCCTAACTCCACGGGCAGCCGTCCCAAGAATCCCCTCATAGACAGCGGAAAGGGAAAATAGTTCTTGCGTCCCTTTCACGACAACTGTGAGCTCTTTCACACCCACGGCTTTACACGAATGCGTTGTCGAATCCCCTGTCATTGGGACCCGTAGTTCCCGGGGGGTTTCATCGTGGCAGAAAAAGGGGACTTTGCCGCGGATGGCTTGGCCTCCGTTGTCGCCGTGTGGAAAGGTTACTGCCCATTTTACGTGTTGACCATCTGGTCGCTTTCGTCCGCCTCTAACAGGCTGAACATGGGTGGACTTGATTCTTTCATAATTCTCATCAGAAGTGGTCGGAGGCAGGGTGGTTAAACACCAATCCGTCCAACCGCGCCTATTCGGATCCGGACCCCACCAGTGCGTCGAGAGGTTTGAAGCCGAGGGCGGGAGAAAGCAGATTAATTCGATGTAGCAGCCATCGGATAGTAAAATGAGGGTGTTGGAGGAGAAGTTGTCGGCATGGCGGCCGCCAGGAGTGAGAGTGAAGGCGGTGGTTAAAGACGGGGGGATTAGGGGGAAAGAAGTTGTGGGGGAAGGGGGGAGGAAGAGGATTAGGTGGTCGAGGAGTGGGGGTTGGAGTTGGCTGTTGGGAGACATGTTGAGGGGATGGGAGGGTTTATAAGACTGGAAGGGGGTTAGTGGGTGGTTTTATGGGGGTTTAAAATGAATTATTGGGGAGTGAAAGAAGCATATAACATGATAGATTGGAGAAGAGGGTATTCATAGGTAGGATGTGAGGTTCATATGTTCCTGGACAAAAGAGAAGCAAGAACTGCATTAATACCCACAAATATGCGGCAAGTACGGGAGAGATATCTCTAGCAGAGTGCGGGAAGTTCGAAATTGCTCGTCTAAACACCCCTAGGGCAGAGATGTCGATGGCTTAAATCAAGTGTCGTGGGACAGAACTCTGTAAGAGATGTAGGAGGTCTTCCCAAAAAGGTTTCTTAGTCATATTCAATCATGAGAAGAGATGAGCGGGATTGAAAACCACAATGCGTCGTGGGCTTTTCTGTCTGTAGGTAGAAAGGGTTCGGATGTGAATGTGAAGTGACTCACCTGTCCTGTGTAACCTGGAGGTGCAAGGAGTGGGGCCCGATATTGTGAAGATGGTCACGACTTTTGAACAGATATGCAAGGCCTAGATTTTCGTTCGTCTAGTGCCAAGTGCTCAATTACTAGAGAGAGGGGAGTTGGCGTAACAGGAGCTTAGATAGAGTTGTTGTGATGCTCGCATCAGCATTGAAGCATCATTCCCGAGGCATCATTGTGAGCCCGCTCCCTATCAACTGGTGGGTAAAAGGCGAAATTATCGAAAGTAACTGCAAGAATCGTCCGAATGGATTATTTTGTAGCTGTAACCGAAGCCTATTGTTCACCTATTCTCGAAATCGTCGCGAGGAAGTGTCAGCTAAGGTGCCTACCTTTTGTTCGAGGCAGCGCACCTTTAAGCCTAGATCTTCATCGATCTCCACTTGCTTAGACGACTGTCTGGCTTCTTGTAAGGCTATTAAGAAGTTCTGTATTTCATAAATACGTTAGCTTTTCATATTTCACATTTCACATTTCACATTTCACATGCTTGGCCTGTTGTTGTTAGGTATGATAAGGGGGTTCGGCTGCCTTGTTTATACTCGCAAAAGCTAGCCAGCATGATATTCTCCAGATCGACGCTTAAATTCCAGAAAATATACAGATGTATGTACACTTGCAATTCGTAGTTTAGAAGCGGTCGATGAACATGAGTGATGTTTTTGCGCTTCAGTTTAAGGCTAGGGACTGTTGTCGGGATGCTGGGAAATTTGAGTTGGCAATGATGTTGGGAAAAACAAGTCTTTGGCCACAAAAATAAGTTGGAAGTGGTAATGTGCCGACGCTGCACTCGATTGAGCGGAGCCACCGTCCGTAAAAGGGTAGCAGATTTCATGCCTAAAATAGGTGTGAGAACAACATGCCCCTAGTGTTGTTGGCTAGATTGTAAAACATAGAATAGGCTCGCTGGGCTTCTCGGAGCTCACGTTGAAGAGAGCGGATAGTTGATAGAGACGGCCCTGGTACGTAGGTCTTGGCGCGAGCTAAGAGGATTTTGTTGGGTGATGAAAGTTAAGGCGCCCGAGTACCTAAATGGTTTTTGGTGAAACTGTATGGCGCTGTGGAGAGGCACAATGGTTGCTGTGAGAGGTAACGCTTACTGCCGCTTGTTGGCGATCGGGTAGTGGAAGTGATTTCTCCTAGGGAATGTGAGACAAGCCATCATGACGCTCAAATGGCACTAAGGTTGCGAGGACGTTGCCTGGTGTCACATCCCCCGCTTGATGCGTAACCGTAGAACGACAGCTGAGAACGGTGTAGTTTGGTTTCGAAGCGCCTTCTTCAAGGAACCCTAGTCTCCAAGTTTAAACGGCGCTCGCAATCATCTGCATATGCTTGATTCTCGAGAAGATACATAAGCAACACAGGTTGGTGAACGATGGCTATGCCGTTTGACATCTTGAACTCCATCCGAAAAATAACTAAAGCGAGAAGGGTTGACTAAGCTAGCATGCATGCTTTCCGAATCCTGGGACGGTGCACTGCGCCTAGGAGTGGAGCAATACTTCCACGAGAAATTACCAGTGGATAAAGTGCAACAAAGAGGTGGAGACGAACTCAATGATAAAGGCGCATTTTCCTTTCAAAGATTCGGAAATTACTGTTTTTTTTTTTTTCGAGAACGTACGTGAAGAGACGTCAATGGCAAATTGCATAACGTCGGAGAGGAGTTAGGAAGATCTGCACTAGCTCTCTTCCGGCTAGCTCGAGGATCGCCTTCTCAACAAAACATGACTCCGTTCGACATCGCACTGCCATTTCTCAAGTTATTGTATACACCACAGATACTTCAACATATTTTCTTAAATAATCAAGCCTGAGTTTACCACTGACACAGGAAACGCATACCCTATTTTCCAGGGCAGAAATGCCCTAACAGCCCGAATATTGGCCAATAGTACAGTTGGCAAGCTAACAACACCGCGATCGAAAGTAATGTAAATGTTCCGAAGCGCTTTGCGATAAGCAGGTGCATGGGCTGTCAACCCATACTGAATCTAGCAGACATCATGCATAAGAGCATGGACTTAGAGCTGTCGAAGTTTTGTTCAAGCCTGAACAAGCTTAACGTGAACTGTTGAACCAAATTTGCTATGCGCCGGGAAAGCGCCCGAAATCGCGTGTGGCTCACATATCAACCCGAAGGCTGATTCTCGTCGCTAAGTAGCCGGTAAGTCAGCCTATGCGGCCTCCTTTCCACCACATTGCACTGACCATGTGATCGCTGATCACACAGTCGTTCCAGTGCTTCTTAGACCTCGTGCTGTCAAGCTCCTGCCCTCTGAAAGGCTTCCTTTATCTCTGCAGCAACCTTGGACCTATCTCAGCGAACGGTGTCCATGCACGCTACCTAAAGAAGAACGCTTCATGCATGTCTATCCGCGATCCTCAACTGCGTCTGCAGACATAGTTCCACATATATCAGGTTATGGATTCCTCCGCTTTTAATACGTTGGACCTTTATTTGCCATGGCAACTACGCAATGGCGGAACCTCTCGAGTCTTGTCCCACATTAGGCAAGACTTGAAGGACCGCATTATCGATGTTGTGTTTGTAATTATGTGTAAGGACTCTGAGTGTCAGCCATTGTTACATAGATTCTTCTACTTGAGGATTGAGGAGTTCTTTCTTTCGTTCCCCGAGAATTTCGTCCGTTCGCTTCTTACCTTTTGGCTCTCACGCTTAATTCTTACCATCGTCTACATCTAGTCAACGGGTTAAATCGGCCCTGTTTCCATAATACATTCCCCATGGGAAATCTGAGTTTTTTACTCGTTTTGCTCCTTTTCGAGTCCGTACGATCGATTGCATATACAGAAATCAGTCATGATGGACTGTGCGGGCACGGTGTATCTTGTTTGGGATCCATGTTTGGAAACTGTTGCAGTAAATACGGATTCTGCGGCTCGTAAGTGCTCCAATTACCATGTATAGGTAGCATGGGCTGACTGGTTTCAAAGAACGCTTGACTATTGCGGTGTAGGTTGTGAGGTCCAGTATGGGTACTGCGAATCGATACAAGGGAAACCGTCCCCTGATGGCACCTGCGGAGGGGAAAATGGCTTTACTTGCAAAGGTTCGAAGTTCGGGTATTGCTGCAGCCAGCACAATTACTGTGGCAATTCAACGGCCTACTGTGGGACAAGATGCAAACCTGAATTCGGATCCTGTTGGAAGTCTTCATCCACCAACCCAAACCATACAACTGTCTCTTCGGATTTAGCCTTGCTTTCTTCACCAATATCCAAAACTTCCCCAAGTCCATCTCTATCGATAGCTACCGTCTCTTCAAGCCCAAGCCTTCAGATGTGCCCAGAAGCCGATAAAGCAGTGTTCATAGCCAATTGCGGGGCTCAGTTTGAGATTCAGTGTGGTATGGATCACCAAGGAGGTGACATGCCTGGAGGTGGATTTTTTGAGGCTAGCGTTCAAGATTGTCTCGCAGCATGTGCAGAACATCCTGGATGCATCAATGTGGCCTGGATCCAGGGAGCGCCGAAGGGAGCCTGCTATCTCAAGAACTCTATCGGAGCGGATATTCCGCGGGACGACATTCACGGAGGTATCCTGATCAAGAACTGTACAACTGCGAACTCCACGAGTTGGCCTAGTACAAACACGGTTCCGCGAAGCAGTGCGCCGGTCCTGGCTTCCCCTACCGCAAGCTCGACCCTCTCTTTTGTACCGACCAAGACTCAGGAATCAAACACTCCTAACTGCTCTACAAGGTCTCGGCCCACCATGAACTGCATACCTTGCGACGGCCAGGCTGGGTCCCTTCCCTATTGTGGAGCAGATATCACGACCAACAACTACAATTTCACGCCCAAAACCTGCCGAACAGTGTCCTACAATTTCGCCATTACAAATTCTACAATTGCCCCTGATGGAATCCCACGAATGGCTCTCCTTGTCAACAACCAGATGCCTGGCCCTACCATTGAAGCAAATTGGGGAGACACAGTCATCGTAACTGTCACTAACAAACTCGAAGACAACGGTACCAGCCTCCACTTCCACGGAATCAGGCAGCTCAACAACAACGAGCATGATGGTGTTCCATCCCTAACACAATGCCCAATTGCTCCCGGTGAATCGATGACCTATAAGTTTATTGCTACGAATTATGGAACATCATGGTGGCACTCGCACTTCGCAATCCAAACTTGGGAGGGTGTTTTCGGTCCAATGATCATTCATGGCCCAACCTCCAAAGAATATGATGTTGATGCAGGAACGGTCGTACTCCAAGATTGGAGTCATAAAACTGTTGATTCGGTGTACAATGCTGCCGAAGATGCTCTGACTGGTGGACCACGAATAATGGACAATGGTTTGATCAACGGAATGAACGTCTGGGGAACTGATAACACGACAAATCAAACAGGCCAGCGCTTCGAACTCGAGACGAAATTTGAGCCAGGCAAAACGTATCTTTTCCGAATCATCAACGCCGCGATCCAATCTACGTACAAGTTCTATATAGATGGACATACTCTGGAGGTTATCAATATGGATTTTACGGCCATCCAGCCGTATACCACGGATATTTTGAATATCAACATCGGTCAACGGTACATGGTGCTTGTGAAAGCTAACCAGCCGTCGGGCTCGTACTGGCTTCGTGCCGACAATCAGAATGGCTGCGCAATTACCACGCAAGGAACCGACATCAAAGGCATAGTCAGATATGTTGACGCACTAGCCGTCACACCAACCTCCACATCATACAGCTATAACACTTCAGAGGGATGTGTTGACGAGCCTTATGCTTCCTTGGTGCCTATAGCCCAACTAAATGCAACAAATCAAGACTTGGAGTTCGAATATGACATCACGGTCAAAGGGGACAGCAAAAATCTGTTCCGATGGTACCTCAACTCCACCACATTTATGTCCAACTATTCCGATCCCACACTTCTCCACCTCCTCTCTAACACCGACATCACCAACTCCAGCCTTTCCATTCCAGCATACTCAGGCCCCCTCCTCCTAGACTTGCCAAACCTCGATGAATGGGTTTACGTTATCATGGAATCCGACATCGACCTCCCACACCCAATCCACCTCCACGGCCACGATTTTTTTATCTTAGCAGAAGGACCCGGCGGTTTCTCACCCTCAACGCCATTGAATTTCAATAATCCGCCCCGGAGAGACACTGCGCTTATGCCAGCGAAAGGATTCCTTGTTATCACGTGGAAGACGGATAACCCAGGGAGCTGGCTGCTTCACTGTCATATCGGATGGCATACAGCCATGGGCTTTGCGATTCAGATTCTCGAGAGTAAAGACCGGATCAAGGATACGATCCAGGATACTTGTATGATGCAAAATATGTGTCGGGCTTGGAATGAGTGGGTGGAGGGTAAAAAGTATGAGCAGTTCGATTCGGGGGTTTAATGGCAGGTATGATTAAAACATGGAACAGGAACGAGAGCAGGAGTCGCAATGGATGATTGGCATTTAATACTGATGAAAGGGGTTTAATATTTAATGTTTGTATCGACAGCATGCCTTGGTGTTTAGGGCTTTTTGGAAAACATTCGCGAAGTTACTGGTCATACGATGCTTAAGGACGTTTATGTAGGATATTTACTTAACGAATAGATGAATAACTTCCAGAATGGTGATGGTAATTAAACTGCTAACTTTGGTTTGTTGGTTATTGCGCCGATGAACCCCAAGTGTAGGGCTTTGACAAGGCTCCGACATATGAATTAGAAACCCTCGAAATTGAGTCCCGCAGCTGGGACAGAGTAGGCAGTAAACGACCATGTTCGAGGGAGTCTGCAAAATTAGGGGTTGTTAGCAAGTGCAATAAAACTCCCGGGGAAGCTGTGTGATAACATGCCCCCACCTCGACAACCTTCAGGGTTCTAGGCAAGATTGAATACGGTAACACTCATGCAAAGTTATAAATTACCACTACAACTACTAGATGCAAACCGAACCCACCTGCACTAAATAGCCAAGGTATCGTAAAAGAGAGTTATAATGAAAACCTGCTCGCTTAGATTGACTCTTATTGGAAGAAGAAGAGAAAGAAGAAAGAAGTGAACGCCGAACAATGCATCTTGGTAAGTCACTTCACTTTCAAATAGCCAGTCTCTACGACCACACCAACCCCAACCCTTTCCTTCAACTCCACAAGCCTGCCTTGGATTCAAGTTTACGGTAGTGTATGCTCAAGCAGCGCCGTTATAAGCAAGGTAGTTGACAGTACCGCTCGGGATGCCTGAAATCTTGCTCTTCTGGCTCAAGGCAGCAATACGACTGCAAAGCTGGGAAGTCTGGAGATTCTCATAGCTGAGCAGATAGGCGGCAAGGCCAGCGACATGGGGTGTCGCCATCGAGGTCCCGGAGATAGAGTTGGTTTTGCCATCGTTCCAGGTGCTGAGGACTTGGACGCCTGGGGCAAATATGTCGACCAGAGTACCGGTGTTAGAAAATGAGGCCTTAGTATCGGTGTTATCGGTAGCGCCGACGGTGCAGGCCGTGGGCTCAGACGCTGGAGAGTAGTTCTTGGCATCGCCGTAGTCGTTGCCTGCAGCGACGGCCATGAAAAGACCGGCTGAAACGGCTGCAGCGACCTGGGGCCTATGTTAGAATCTTCAGTTGGGTTGGTGGAGGCATAGGACGTACAGCTTGATTGACCGCAGTGTTCTTTCCACCGCCCAAGCTCATGTTTGCGACGGAGCCCTTAGGGCAATCGCGAGTCTTCTGATCATTCGCAGCAAAGTTGATACCCGCGATAACGCCAGCGTAAGTACCCTGAATCGGTCAGAGATGAAAGATTGCGCTTACTGGATAACTCACAGAGCCAGAAGAGTCCAAGACCTTCACAGCATACAACTTCGTCTTTTTGGCGACACCGTAAGTCTTGGAACCAATGGTCCCAGCGACGTGGGTGCCATGACCAGCACCATCAGAGTCCTGACCGTCACCTGCGAAGTTGCCAAGCCACGTAGCACCTATTCGTAGAGGTAAGCACGGTGCGAAGTTTAGATAAAAGATACGTACGGCCTTCGAATTCAGGATGAGCAGTGTAGATGCCGGTGTCAATGATGTAGGCGCAAGTTCCTTCACCAGCAGTCCTGTCATATACATATGATGAGTTTCCGTTCGCGAGGTGGGAGATGCGTCCCAGACCCCAAGGAGCGCCATCCTCGGTGAGGTAGTCTTGTGTATGGACTTGGGCGTCCTTTTGGATATATTCGACCTAGCGAGGAATGAGCAAAAAGCATTCTACCTGCACGAAAGAGAAAGAGAAAGCGACTACGTACCGCATCCAGCTTCTGAAGGTTGGCAACAGTAGCATCGGAGATCTTGCCAGCAAATCCGCTAAAGCTTCCAAAACCATACTCGTGATCAGGAGAGTGGGCGAGCAGTGCCTTGGCCTCTTCCAGGCTGGCCTTTGAAGCACCCGCCTTCATCTTGACAATGTACTTGCCTGGAATGATAGTAGAGCCCCTAGGGGTGATGACTGGTGCCGCGAGGGCATAGGGCAAAAGGGCTAGGAGGAGTGAAACGTGCATGTTGAAATAGTCGAAGGTATGAATTAAGGATAGATGGAAGACTGAAAAAGTGGATGTGTTGGCTGCTTAGTCGCTGTAGCGCTGAACTCTGCTGGCTGGAGAGCAGACAATCTGCGACACCAGTCGCCTTTTTATATTTGCTCCCAAGAGTTTGGCAGACGTGAATATTGCCTTGAATTCTGAACCACCTTGTCGACCTTCCAAAGTGGTGTCCCCAACATCAGGTCATTCTTAATTGCGTGCAGCCGTTTTGCTCCCAAACGGGCATATCAGTATCAGTATGCGGTGAGACGACAGTTGCCATGTCGCTATGGTGTTCAGCAGGATTTAGTCGTAGGCATACCTTCCGCATGGACGCAGTCAGGGTAGGGTGCTTCGCCACGCCCAGGCTGTTGGCGCGCTCTAACATTTACGTTATGGAGACCCTAGCAACCTCTGTATTCCAAAATGATTGTTAACGAGTGACCTGGGTCGGATATCGCGCAATCTTGCTCTTGTGTACCCGCTGGGGACGTAACTGCAATCATTAGTAGCGTTACTGAAATTTGGGCTACTGTGACGAATAGCGTGCTGAAGAGGAGTAATGGGGCAGATATCTTGGCTGCAGGAATTTAATCTAGAGATGAAGCGATCGAGAACGTGTACATCAAGTGCAAGGGTTTTTTCCCAGGTGGCCCTTGAGATCGACGTAGCATCCGCAGTTAAAGCCGTGGTTAGAACCGTGCGAATGCCGGCTTGGACTGTCGTCAACCATTACCGGCTGGCGGCACGAGGGGCGAAGATTGCAGCAAACCGTGTTCCATTATCTCCCTAAGCAGCACCTAATGATAGGAGTTCGGCGGATGCAAGTACAAGGTGGGAAATATGTCCGATGATATCAGAATCGTGGGCGAATGTTATTCGAGCAGGGTCTGGGATGGAGGACGGCGACTGGTAAGCACCGTTTTCAGATAAGGAAAGCAAATGATAGTGAGATCCAAGAACTGGACGGATTGGCTACAGTTGAAGATGTTGAATAAAGGTCTCAGCGGCATACTTCGATGTTAGCCACCAATTGCGCCTGGAAGATGAATAACGTCTTTTCGTGCTCCAAAACATTTATTGCAGCGCTAGTGGCCCTACAATCAAGTCGTGACCGTCTGTGTGAAGTTCTTCTGCCGTATTCGATAACCTCCGAAAGTGCACGAGGACCGTTAGATGACCGTACTTAGAAGGATCCAAAGAAGCGAGGCGTTACAGGGGAGAACGTGGTCATCGTTCAACTAACATCCTGAGCACTAAGTCCTGTGAGATGTCCACGCATGACAAGGCGGCGCAGTGTTCGAGCTGGGAGTGAGGTGGTATCGCTGCATGAGAAGGAAGGTAGTAGTGCCCAGTGTATGGTGGGGGAGTTGGTCTCGTGAGGGTCTCTGACGAAGAGGTCCGTGCACAAGATATATTAATCCTGTCCACTTATCTGGGAAAGTCCCTGGGTGATCTGTCCGGCCCGGACTGACCCGAGAGGTGTACGATTCGCTGAAACACATATCTATGTGACTGTTAATTAATTCGTCATTCTATTGAATAAGACGAAAGCTTAAAAAGACATCTGATGAAAGACGACCTACCCGAAAGGGACCGCACCAGGGAGCATTGCAATATCTCAAAGGCATGCATGCCAAGTCATGAGAGCGAGATAAGGGGATAAGGCGTATTCCATGGTGTGCCTAACAGGATGACGGTAGTTTTGCCTTGATTCGGCGGATGTTCAGATGTCTTCAGGAATCATTGCAAGTGGATGGAACTGGCTTTATTCCAAATACGATGATGTCCTTGCACAGGACGTCAACGCCCGAACCAAGTTTAACCGACTGTCAGAGTACTGAAGAGTGCTTGGCTGTTTCGACAAACTTTTGGATGATCAACGGACCCGAGAGTTCGGCAAACGGAACGGTTCCATCATATTATGGGTTTAAGATTCGAATTCCCAGTAATGTTGCGGTATGGAGGTGCGACAGATTGGTAACAAAGTTTGATGCTGGGCAATTATGCCAGATCGTCGCTAGTGAAAGTTTCTAAGGGCCAAGGAATGGTTGCTGACAATGATAAAACCCTATGAGCAGCTACCTTTTGGACGGCGCACAGGCTGCAAGAGGGAGATAGGGGTCTTGGAAGGCGTGTTAGGGGCTTGTGACCTGGGAAATCGTACCAGCTGTCAGAAGCATCGCTTGTTCTAAGGGATGGCCCGTCAGTTGATAATTGTCGTTCGAGCGTGGATAATTCCGGAGTTGCTTAATGTCGTCCGACTGCACTTCAAGGAAGAGCGCTGGAGATTGACCGCGGAAATACGAGGCTCATGTTGCGGCCCTTGAGGTAGCTGCGCCAGTACACGGTAACGGCGACGATATTTTGCTGGTATTGGCGCTGTTCCATCTTCAGAAGGTTACAAGACTGTATTCAGTGACTGCGAACTTTGCTGAGCCCTAAGGAAGCCGGGTAAAGATGGGTAAATGAAGAGACTCACAGCTGGCCTCCCCTCAAGCTGGAAGGTGAAGACCCTCTAAGCCCCCTTCATCAACGGGCGGGCTCTATTCTCACTAATGAGGTATGAATGCTCCGAGAGGAGTTCACGTTTGCTAGGCCAATTGAGACTGCGCATAAGTTGTGCGAAAATTGAGCGAACGCACCCGAGGAGCGGAATCAGTGACGTTCGCGAATACTCGAGGGTAGTTGGAGGTGCGCTTGCTGTGGTACTTATAAAACGAGAGCCCACCGCTGTTACGGCGAGGGATACCACCCTTCATGTGGTCATAGTGCTCATGTGCGAGGGATCCTGTCAGATGCTGTTTTGCTAAATTGGACCGGTGGCTTTATTGGGAGGTCGCGAGCGCAAAGATAAGAACCTTCCTAGCTGCATACTCGAATAGCAAGCATCAAAAAAACTCGAGGATGCGAGGTCAGTTCGGGAGAAGGAGTCTGCAATTCATGGAGCAAGACTATGCATCTCCTACAGGATCACGTTCAACTGGAGACGCAGCCTGTTGCAGGAGATGAAGAAGTCGAGTCGCATTCTTTGCAGCCATTGCGAATCGTGATGGACTGCTCGCTCCAAGAGCCTGCTGCATGTGCAGAAATGGTTGTCCAGCTGACGGCTAGGTTCAAAGGTCTCGCCCGAACTCGATTGACGGCATCGAGACCAATGAGAATGAGAGCGCATCGCGGCACCGCCATGTTCTTTTGGCCTTGAAGTGGTCGCGCAAGCTGACAGTGCAACCCTATTCCCGGCACATGGACTGCTCGACGCGTGCGCACTTGTCGGTTCATGTTGATGGTGTCCTGAGTATCGACGATGAATCGGACGCGTCATTGGAGGTGGTCGGCAAGCCAGCTCAGGGAGTTGAGCTCTATTGTGGTTGGTGTCAACCCTAGCTGTGCAGCAGGGTGCTGCCAGTGATAGCTTTTGCATCCCGAGAAGGCCAATGGTAGTGGTACAAGCTCGGAACAGCTTTTCAGATGATCATTTAAGCTGTAAAATAGATTTTTGGCAAGAAGAGGCTCGATTAAGGACAGCAGGAAGCTCCGACGACGCGTCGCATGCACCGGAGTCGGAGGAAGCTGCCGATATATGAGGCACTATTGTCTCACTCCAAAGCACGCACATCGGGAGCAGGCAATTTGTGGGGAAGCCTCCACTTCATAAGCCTCCACGTCCCGCAAGCCCGAGCATAAATTAAGACAATCAATTTCCTCACCACTGCGTGTCTCGCATGCCTTCGCCTATTAATTTCATTCGTTCGTGCTATGGGTCGTACCTTACTCCAGATTGACCTCGAGATGAAACTGCAAAGGAATACGCATCGAGGACGACGGATTCCACCAATGTCCTTAAACCCAGCGACCTGGATCGGTGCTGGTTTGATGCAATCTACGATGCATATCATTGATGTACAGGATCGTCTGACGATGCACTTCTTGGAACTGAAGCGGAGGCAAACGGAATTGGGATCCGCAAGGTGAGGATCACGAAACCCGAACCTGGTTCCAAGATTATCTGCCAGATTGAATGCATGGTTTCCGAGAGCTTATTTCAACCATCAATGGCCGTTAATGAAAGCGCCACATTTTGAAGTCTATATCTATGAGACCGTTTAGCAGAGAAAATTGGCCTTAATATTGGGCACGTCCGATCAAGTCGAACGGTGACGTTGTTCTGTGTGGGCTATGTAATACTGTGATCAATGAAGTGAATCCTACCTTAAACGTATTATTTATCTTTTTTTTTAGCACAGTAAGACTATGTTAAGTAAAGATCATGGAGTGAGGGCACATATAGCTCCAAAGTCAATCAGACCAGTAGGACTGCAGATCAAATACACCTCATTTGAATCATACACATCTTCAAAATAGAAACTAGAAACTACGTTTAATCATTTACCCATTCAAGGAGAAATTCCTAAATGCACCCAAAGCACGCAATTTCGTAAACTCCCAGAAACCACTAACTCCCATCTGTTCTTTTCGCGTGTATGATGAGATGTTATCAGGCTGAACTAGCGAAGCAATTGTCGAATCAATTCACTCAACCAGATGAGTTTCCGTTGAAAGCAAGGTAATTGACAGTTCCACTAGGGATGCCAGAGATCTTGTTCTTGTTCGAAAGAGTCTGGATTCGAGAGCAGAGGGCGGAAGGGGTCCTCTTGCCCTCGAAGCCCAAGAGGTAGGCTCCAAGGCCAACAACGTGGGGGGTGGCCATCGAGGTACCAGAGATGGAATTCTGTGGTTTCTATATTAGACAAGGTGTATCAGACGGCGAAGAAGGGACTTACAGTGCCGCCGTTGTTCCAGGTGGAGAGAATAGACACACCAGGGGCGAAGATATCGACAACAGCCCCATAGTTGCTGAAGGAAGCTATTGCGTCACTGCTATCAGTCGCGCCAACAGTGCAAACCGTAGGCTCGGAGGCTGGGGAATAGTTGGCAGCATTAGCGCCATCATTCCCAGCGGCAACACCCATGAATAGACCAGCAGTGACCGCGTTAGCCGCTGCGGAGTTGACAGCAGTAGACTTGCTACCTCCAAGGGACATGTTAGCAACAGCACCGTTGGGGCAGCTGCGGGTCTTCTGGTCATTGGCAGCGAAGTTAATACCGGCTATAACGCCAGAGTTGGTTCCCTGTGATACCTATCAGCCAATTGTTTCTTGATGACGGATTAGATGATTTCGGACATACAGAGCCGCTCGCATCGAGGACCTTGACAGCATAGAGCTTAGTCTTCTTAGCTACACCGTAGGTCTTGGAGCCAATTGTACCAGCAACGTGGGTTCCGTGGCCGTTGCCATCGGTATTTGAGCCATCACCAGCATAGTTGGCGAGGAAGGTAGCACCTGTAATCGATTAGTATTCTGTAGGGACCTGGGTAGTGATAGGAACATGACTTACGCCCTTCAAATTCAGGGTGCGAGGTGTAGATTCCAGTGTCGATCACATAGGCGCATGTGTTTGCACCAGCACTGTCATCGTACGTATACGAGGAAACCCCCTTGTTGACGTGGGAAATACGTCCAAGACCCCAGGTAGAGGATGACTGGGTAACATAAGCCCGATCTACGAGGTCTACTTGGTGCTGCACAATGGCATCCTTCTCAATATACTCAACCTGTATCTGGATTAGCGATGGGGATCATCTAACTGAGCGCCATTAGAGAGATGTACCCCAGGAAGAGCAGCGACGAGCTGAACTATAGCATCGTTCATCTCTGCGGCGAAACCCTTATAGGTGCCGAATCCGTAGACGTGTTCCGGGGTCTTGTTTAAGAGCTTGAGAGCCTCTTCAAGCAGATCCTGGGCGGCCTCATTCTTCATCTTGATGATGTACTTTCCAGGAATCACCTGACCAGCGCGAGGAGTGATGATCGGGGCGGCAATTGCCAAAGGTAAGACCGCGAGGAGAATAGAGAGACGCATGGCGATTGTTTGAGTGAGACGGCTACTTGAAGTGTGAACGAAAGACTTTGTGCAGAGCAAAGGGTCTGAGTGATTGTTGACTGGAGGGTAGAAAGAGGCCTCTTGGGCTTTCTTATATATTCGTGGTTCAAGTCTTCGGTGTGGAGGCAAGATGAGAGCGGCAATGCTCACCTTCCGGTTAGGATTAGTGAACAGGACCTAAAAGAATATCGCGGGTCTCCGACATGAACTGCAGACGACACCGTAGACTAGGCGTAGTGGAAAAAGCGGCTCAACGTGGGCTGTGATGCTTGGTTCCTGCCCAGCTGGGGAGGTAGCACAGGTCAGGACGGCTGTTATTCCTACAAGGCCACGGCATTAGCTTTGATAGAGAGCTGTCGGAAGGTGGGATCATGAGAACGAGCTGGCGAATACCGCCGAAAGTTCAGCAGGCTGGAGCTTGGCAAAATGCACTTGATATTACGCTGCTTACCATTTTAGGGATGTGAATTTGCTTCTCTTCAAGCGTCTCAACCTAGAACCCGTTCCTGATGGCTAGTTCAGTGTGGGAGAGTGCGGATCGGCAACGGGGCATACTAGCTCCAGCGTCTCGCTATGGCCTGACTTTGGCTCCATAAAACGCTGATTATGAGAGGGCTTCTCCTCTCATAATCAGCGTTTTATGGAGCCATGAGGAAGGACGTTGCTCATCGGCGTTGTTGGTAGAGAGCAGAAGTTGGGGAAAGTAGGATTCATTGGCTCAGCCTGTGAGATTGGAGCGGGGCGCTGGCTCAAGACGGGTTAGAGAAAGGTTGACAAGATTGCTGATATGCATGCGCCACTGCTCCCCTGAAGCCCAGGGTCCATGTGCTCGGGACGAGCCGTCACCGCCACCTCTGTGGGCCAATCGTAGGAGGTCGGTCGAGATGGTGATCAACTAGAGATCTGGTTTGTGCAGAAGGTAAGAGGGGACATTGAAAGCCGCAAAAATGTGAAACAGAAGTAGATGTATAACAATGGAAGAGATATCAGAATAGCATAGACAACTTTTCAAATCGAGGAGAGGAACCCTTGACATCCATCTCTTTCCAGGTTACCCATAGACCTTCGGCGACCCTGTGATAGGCCGCGTTTTAATTAACGATGCTCTTGTTTCTCGCAATTTGAGAATGTGCAGTGCCGATCGTATTCCGCCGCCCGCCTGGTCAGCAGAGCCATGGAGTGTTGAAGATGTAGGTTCGGAGGTGGTGGACCAATGAAAGACTTGATGACACTTCAGACTCATCCGAAGAAGCGAAACTTTTTTGTAGCCTTCCTTTTGAGGGGACGACGATCGCTCGGCGTCGCTCATGACTCGATCCAGGAGATGTGCGGACTTGTCTGCCTCCTAGCAGGCTATTAGGTGTCGTATCGATCGCCTGACCATCAAGCTCACTAACGTTAAGCTTAAAAGCACGGAGCAAAAGCACCTCCTCGTTTTGGCAAGAGTGGCCGAACATCAATTTAATTCAAGACAGACCCTAAGCCACACCACCAGATAAGACGATAAAGCGGATACAAATCACAACAAATAGTAACGGAAATCGTCTGCTACAACCGTCTAACAGCAGCGGGAATGCCAGGTACCTACTCTGTATCTTCTGTTGTGGTTGCAGGTTACCTAAGTGACCTGTTCGTAAACTGTTCGATGACTAGGCGCCTTAGCAAATCGCCCAGATATGGCTCTTGTGAGAGTTTACGGAGGGCAACAGTCCCTCCCCAGGAAGAAGAAGGGTATACACGAAAGCGGAGACGATTGGACAGAGAGGTTTGCTGATACTCGCGGATCTCGCGCCACTGCTAAGTCTCTGTTGAGCAACGGATCTCCCTGTAGACGGGAACGGGAGGTTTCCAGAACGAAGTGACAGCCGGCATTTCTGCGCAGATTCTGCCTGGAAGTGCTTTTTGTTGAGTGCCGTTGTCACCATGGTGTCATGAGGGCTTGTTGTGCTGCGAAGGCACAGATTTTCAGGATGGGGTGTGGAGGTTCCAAGGTTTGCTGCAGAGGGTTCCTGGGGCCACGGCTTTTGTTCGGAGCGGCCAATGACCCGAACACCTGTTTTATGCGAACCCAGAGCCGCATTCTCTTCATCTATATTCATCTATTGCGACCAGAAGAAGTTTCCATTCATTAATCCATGACGGTGCTCTCATGGTAATGGATCAGCGGTCCTTGCGGTTGGGAAAGCTTGAACTCGATGTACCTACCTGCCGTCTCTCTTGATGTTGTGTCGCGGATGTACGAAAGGCTGCACCCTCTTACACCTCGCCCTCCTCAAGTACAACCTGGGGCTGTCCCACAAACGCTGCTCTTGCTCTCATACATCGGCAAGTGACCACCTTCAGTGCTAGGGGCAGGCGCTCTAGAACCCACCCGGCTATGCTAACGACAGGCTGAGCTTTCGCCAAAATGTAGGATGATTTCCAGAATACATCGAGGATTCTGTTACTCAATCGAAAGACAGCACGCATGGAAACAGGCTAGAACATGCCCTCTTTCTAGAATAGCCGCCGAATATGTAGGTGAAGGTGTTGCCCCTGCCCCAGGACCACACTACTCGCCACATCCCCTCCGCTCCTGCAGGAAATCAGGCTCTTCATTGGGTTAACCCACTACCCCTATTGCCTGTCCCTTCCTACAACACATCAGATGTTTTTTCCAATGTCTACTGCATATGCTTCGCTAACCCGGAACCTGCAGCCACTCTAATTGATCACACACTCAACTGCTAAGCACGGCATTAAGCCTCGCTGCTTCAGTTTAAGCGCGGTTTTGATTTGCCACACACCAGATCGACGTCAATGAAAGAGACCTTGGAGAAATCAGCGTCTTTTGCCTCTTCCTCTTCTAGGCCTTCTTTGCACGGATTAATGTCCCATATAGGGATCTCTGTTATGCGCAATACTTGTATGGTGACAACCTTCCTCGAACAACTTCGCTTCGGTGCTCTGGAAAAAAACGGAACCGGGAGCTCATCTTGGGATGCAGCCGCATAAACTCATAGCCGCCTGCCGTTTCAATCGAACTGTGACCAGCACCTGCCTGTATTTGTTGGTTAGTAAATTGATTTGCCCGCAAAGATGCAGATTGGACGATAAACACATTTCCTTGGGGGCAAATTCTAACCCACTTCCCTCAATTTCCGCATTTTTAGGCGACCTGATACGAGCGGTTTCCAAGGTTCCCGTGATGGTAGCCCAATACTCAAGCATATTTAAAGGAAGCGTGGTACGTCGTATACTTTGTCCTGCCCTCACTTAAGATCTTCATTCAACGCGATCACCCCAACCATAACTTTTGTGCCAAGTCCTTAAGGAAAGACCACGGATATGAGAAGGGTGAGGTTTAGAAGAACTTAGGCACTTCTTCATTTCGCATCCGGAAGGCACATCTCTGAGCCGGACCCTGGGCATCCCCGATTGACATTTGAACCCTGGCTTATATATATGCTCCTTACGGGCACTCCTTACAGTTCAATGGACTTTCATTCAATACTGCGTACCAAACAACGGTCATATTGAATTACAGAGCCCTACAAGCACTCCGGTTGTACATTAAGCCACGCATATCTTCGTCATATCCCTGTACGAAGTCCACCAACTGGGGGGCTTTGGTCACTGCGGGTTATGATCTTGAGGACGGTCCTTTGTGAAAGAACTCTTGTAAACTTCACTGCTCTTTCTGTAGGTAAAGCATCACTAACGAAAAGCGAAGAGAGGGGTTGGACTAAACCTCACTAGACTACCATAAGGGCTGCAAATTTTTAGAGCTGGAAGATGGATCATGCTTGGCTTGAGACAGTAGCACGATGGATCAGTCATATGCATTCCTTACCGAAGGTGGACTGGGAAAATTCTACCAAGGATACCGAGTTTCTCCATTAACGATTTAACACTGTTGATATATCGGACGGGCATGGTTGCTTCACTGCCCTTGCATAAAATTCAATCTCAGATTCTAGGTTGTTTCAACAGTGTTCGAGAGTTCGATCTAGTCTGTGCGGTCAGGAGCGACCCACGCTTAGAACCTATCGGCAAGTGCCGCTTCACCGTTTACGAAGACTACAGTTGCTATAAAAAAGCAGAGTTAAGCGTCGGAACCGTCAGTCTAACTCTAGTTCGTTTAGAAAGGGGGTTAGAGGATGTTTAGACAGCTACGGCGATGTAGCCTAGAACTTACATCCATGGTGGTTAATCGACGGGGTTAGACCGAATTCGATGCATCGTACCAAATTTAGTTTGTAAGCGGTCATTCTTCCATCCTTGTGCATACTTCGGGACGGTCGACTTATTATGTCGCTCATGGAGCATGGCATGGCGTCGGTGGGGGGCTTAGAGAGATAAAGAGTCAAATAGAGTTTGAGAGAGTTCCGAGAGCGCGACCAGCTGAGTAGATAGTTGCTAAGGATTATAGAGTGCTACTAGATAGTCGTTAATTAACGCTCTTGAGTAGCTCTCCCACCCGAAGCCTCACCCATCCGAATGGGAATACTTAAAGCCTATACCTCAGCCTTAACTCACCATATTCAGTCTTGGGGCGCGTTATCAGCCTAGACCGACTCCCGGGCTAGGCTAGGCCAGATTAATATTCACTCCGACCATGCCCAACTAGCTAATCAGACTAGTAGTCTGACCAAGCCCGCCCTACTATTGACAGAGTGGTTACTATTCTTGCGTCGCATGCTAAATGTCAACTTACCACCCTATCACAGTAGAAGAAAGTATACTAGGGATAGTAAATGGTATTTATTCAGTAGTCTGTTTCTACTTTTAACTGGTAATGTGTGTGCTAAATCATCTGATTTTGAACATTGAACCGTTTACGCTTTTAGCCTCTAAAGTGTTTACAAACCCCTTCTATTTCATATTAGTACTAGGATGTAGAACCACTATAGCTTTCGATTACTAACTAGCATGTCACAAGCAGACCTCTTAGAGCATACTGTGAAGCTATTGGGAGCACCAAAGCCATGGGAAACTGAGTTGATTGTTAAAGGGGTGTATCT